CCATGGCTGTTTGTGCGATGTTGCTGCGTGCATGTTAGCTGCTGTGTTCACCTACAAAATACAGTCTGTACAATTTAGAAGTTTGTTTTTGTGATTAGGCACTATATCAAATGCAAGGGTTATTATTATGATCTGTTCAGCTACTCATGCTTTATAATAACAATCTTTGCATTTGATATAGCACCTTATCGCATCTTCTAGATGTCTCAAAGCGCTTCACAATATACTGCGAAACGCGGCAGCCAATTGTGCAGAGCAGTGTCCACAAACAGTCGTGGATTGAGTGACCAAATTCTTATTCCTTTTGTATATTTTTTTCTTTTTGAAGGGATTATTATCCTCAGAAAAGCAATCCGCCAATTGACGGGTTCCTACTGACTGCTTGGTAAACAGTGGAGTAAGGAAACTTGCCCAATGATTTGCACTGCCCGGGAATCGAACCCGGGTTCTCTTGTTTGAGAGGCGAGTGCTCTAACCGCTGAGCTACAGGACTCCACATTTGCCTTACTGTTTTACGGTATAACGCTTATATGCACATTAAGAAACAACTGATATAAAAATTTAAAATGCCCAGTTTCAAACAAAAAAAAACACTGCTCAAAGTGCAGAGGGAATTTTTTTCAGCTACAATTTTATTATTAATTTTACTGAAGCTGTAATCTTTGTATGTGAAATTGCTCGAGGACTGAAGAGCCTGCTTACCAATTTTTCTAGAAAGTGCTAGAAAACTGTTATGCAGATTTGAAATTGATCTGTTTAATTAATTAGTTGCACAGTTGAAAAGGATGGGGTATGGGGTGGGAAGAGAGGGGACTAGAATAAATGTAAGGCTTTCTGTAAGAATGTTGGTCAGATGTCATTTGGAATATCTTGTTTTGGGCAGCTAAGATTTGGAAGGATAGGACAGCTTTAGAAGCCTTCCAAAGATGATTCACTAGATGTAAAAGGCTAGATAGATTTGGGTTAGATGCCCTGGTGGTATGAAGGTTAAGGGTTGATTTGATTGAGGTGCTTAAAACAAATTAAAATGAGGGACAACCTTTCCCCGCTCTGCTAGAGGAATCTCCAAAAAAGGTCATGTGGAGTCCTGTAGCTCAGTGGTTAGAGCACTTGCTTTGCAAGTGAGAGACCTGAGTTCAATTCCAGGCAGGGCGAAACCTTGGGCAAGTTTCCTTACTCCACACACCTAATAATAATCCCTCCAAAACCAAAAACAATAATAAAAAAAATTGGTCATGTTCAATCTACGACTGTTTGTGGGACATTGCTGTGCGTAATTGGCTGCCGCGTTCGCCCACAAATATACAGTCAATTCACTTTACAGTATATTCTGTGAAGCGCTTTGGGACGTCCTCCCGACGTGAAAAGCGCTATATCAAATGCAAGGATTATTATTATTATTATATTATTATGTGCCTGGCAGTGGATTATTGAAATCAAGTTAATCCTTTGGGGGATGTCTGGGTGTGCAGTCTTTGAACAATGTGAGTCCACAGGACTCCCAAGGCACTGAGATGACAGCCAGCCAGCCTGACTTGTTGGTTGAGTTGCCAAAGAAACTGGGGGATTGATACTGCAAGACGATTTGGACATCAGTAAGACGAAGAAACAGATAAAAGAAAAGAACATGGTTGGCAGAGGTCCAAAGCAGCAATTGAATTGAAAATTAAAGGTCCTGTCACATTGCTGTTTGTAGTTTGACGTCATCAAGGTTCAGACTACTTAGCCATCTGGTAGGCTTTTTTTCAAATAATAATTGAGTAGAGAGGAAGGCTGTCTAGAATGTTGTCATTTTCATGTGCGGGATAAGTATTTCACCTATGTGAACAAAAAGGGTAGATATCCGTTTTCTTTCTGCCTGTTGATTATAACTCTGGTTCTGAATAATGTAACTTTTTTTAAATGATCCGATTTTCATCCACAGTCATCGTGGAGTCCTGTAGCATATTGGTTAGAGCACACGCCTCGCAAGCAAGAGGACGTAGGTTTGATTCCCAGGCAGGACGAAACGTTAGGCATAATAATAATAATCCTTGTATTTGATATAGTGCTTTTCACGTCTTCTAGATGTCTCAAAGCTCTTCACACAATCTACTGTAAAGTGAATTTGACTGTATGTTTGTGGGCGAAACGCGGCAGCCAATTGCGCACAGCAGTGTCCCACAAACAGTCGTGGATTTAAGTGACCAAATTTTTTTTTCTTGAGGGATTATTATCAGGCATGTGGAGTAAGGAAACTTGCCCAAGGTTTCACCCTGCCGGGAATCGAACCCAGGTCTTTCGCTTGGAGGCGAGTGCTCTAACCACTGAGCTACAGGACTCCACGACACAATCAATGCAACACACGTAACAGATGACATCAACACAGAATTAATATCATGCAATTGACTGCAGAGTTGAAATATTCTACCTTCTTATGTTATGTTCAGCTCTGCATTGAAGCTATACACCAATTAGCAAGTTGTGGAGTGCACTGCAATATTAACCAAATTCCTAATAATAATCCTTGCATTTGATACAGCACCTTACCACATCTTCGAGACATCTCAAAGCGTCTTTATCTTTCTTTGCTCTACACTCCTCTGGTTACCTAGTAGTAAGTAGGAACCTGGTTGTTAGTCGATTGGCCGTTCGCTTTGCGGATCGCTTTTCAGGGGTTAGTAATCCCTTCAAAACAAACATAATAATAACAGTAATTTGGTCACTCAATCCACGACTGGGACACTGCTGTGCAACTGGCTGCTGGGTTTGGTCCACAAAATATATAATCAGTTCACTTGATAGTATATTCTGTGAAGTGCTTTGAGACGTTTTGAAGATGTGATAAGGCGATATATCAAAAGCAAAGATTACTATTATTATTAATAATTTTATGTATCACAGTCGAATCTGAAATGCAAACTTGCAGTATTGACAATTTGTGTTTTAAAGTACGGGGAGAACTTCGGGCAGAACAAGTTAAGAAAAACATTTTTAAAATGTGGCATTATTCCAAATTTCCTTTGAAATTAGACTGCAGCAGTAATTATAGGTTTAATATCCTTTGTCATAATTACTATGTTATGGTGACACTCCCATCATCAATCATACATTGTTCAACATTTTATTATTAAAAGGAGGTGTTTAAAATTATCAACATGATTAATTGGAGCACTGTATAAATTGGCTTGTGATATTCATTGGAAAACAGAAACTCCTTAGAAGGCTCATGATTAATGATGGGGCGAAAACATATGGAAAAATGTGTCCATTGTGAAATCAGTGGCTGCTTATCCAACCTCTCTCACTGAGATGGGATTATAATATTATAATAATAGTAGGTCAGCAATTGGGTTGATGTTGGTGTGTGTTTGTAAATTATAAGGATGGATGCGACGTAGTGCCAAATAACCCTCCTGCCAGAGTAAACCTTCACAGTGTGGACTTTGAAAAGATCTGAAAATAGGAGTAACTGAGCTTTCAAAGGGTAAAAATCAGTTGTTTGTTAAATACAGTGGAATCTGCTTTAGGCAAACACCGGTTAACCCCAGACGCCAGGCAAATCGAACAAAACCCCTGGCCCCGATTCATTTGTATTCTTACCTGTTTTAAATATGCCAGTTCATTCGGATAAAAATCCAGTTAAACTCAGTCAAAATGTTCGTCCTCGAAATGTCCGGTTTAATCGGCTTCCATTGTATTTGGATAAAAGTGAAGACAAGCAATTTTCGCTTTCAACATTCTCCACGGCCTACCTCTTTGACCTGCTAACCCATATCAACTTATCCGCTCCCTCTGCTCAGCAGGCTCCAGCCTGCTCCATGTCCCCCGCCAGGCCCGCCCCACAATCGGCGGTCGGACCTTCAGCCTTTCTGCCCCCACCCTTTGGAATTCCATCCCATTTTCCTTGCGTCTTGCTCCAGGCCTTGCCTCCTTCAAAGCACGTCTCAAGATCCTCTTCAACCGTGCATTCAGCCATTTTCCTACTCTTATCCCCCTGCCCTCTGCTCCCTCCTTATCCCAACCCCTAGCTCGGGTCCAAATCCCTGACTGTCCAGTACCTGAAGACATCCTCCTGATGTGAAAGGCGCTATAGAAATGTAATTTGTTGTTGGTGCTGGGTCAAATTGGAACAGCAAGACAAAATTATTCCAAGGCTGGAAATTGTTTTTGTCTGGATTCCACAGATGTCTATGGTCCTACACTGTAGGTTAAATTTATCTTATTGGGTAGTCACGTCTGTGGAGCTGGGAGATGGATTAATTGAGGTTTGATGCACGAATTTGGTATACAGTAAAATTTGCAGAAGTCTTATCTTTATAAATCATATAATTGCCTGGGTCATACATGCATTAGATTTCTTTCCACTACTCGTATTTATCATCTCTTAACTTGTAACACTGCTCTCCTATTCTCCATTACTCCCCCATTTACCGGATGCATTGAATCGCAAAAAATGATATCCTGACCTGTCAATACACGTGCACCTACCGGCCGGCTGCATTAAATCGCGGGAAACTTAGTCTTGATCCATTGCCGCGTGCACAGAAGAACTTAATTTCACTCGATTCAATGTGATTCCAGTACTTCCCAATAAGTGTGCATGTGTTAACGGATCAAGACGCATTGAATTCCGGAAAACATAATCGTGATCTGTCACCATGTGTGCACTTACCAGCTCCAGTGACAAGGCTACATTAAATTACGCACTTACCGACTACATTAAATTACGCATGCGCAGTGTAGATTATTGATTTAATCAGATTTTATACAACTTATACTGTTTGACTGTAATTCGGACTTTGTGTAGGTCATTTAAATGTTATGGTCCCTATTGATACGACTTTTGTAAGTTTCACTGTAGTGGAACTGATAGGTACTGATCACAGCTTTCAGAGAATCCTGATCAATTATTGACTTCTGTAGATCTGTGTGTCATTGTTGCTGTAGAAAAAAAAAATTGATATTTATTTGTGTTTTTTTTGTTTCTATGTTCTCCCATCTCTCTCTCGCCATCAAAGGAAATGTATTCAAAAGGAATAATTCCAGCCTCTTCAATAATTACGGTCCGTGGAATAGGAGACAGCAAATTTGAGGTGTTGACCTCTAACAGAACTTTTACTTTTAGAGTCGAGAAAGAAGGTAAGATGTGGAGTGTGGCCCAGTGGCTGAAAATGTTGATCAGTCTCCGAAAAAAGACCAGAAGAGAGAAAGAGAGAGGATAACATTTCTTTAACAATTTACATTTATATAGCACCCTTCACATAGAGTATTTTGCAAGGACAGGGTTGGATGCTGAACAAGGGGAGGTGATGGGTGGAGGGCGGGGTGGCTTTCAAAGAGGTAGGTTTTAAGACAGGATAGAGAGGGGTGGGAGGGGGGAGTTCTAGAGGTTAGGGGAGTAGGATCTCAAGGTTTTTCCACTAACAATGGTGCAGATTTAAACTGAACATGTTCACTATTCTATAACATTTTTCAGTAATCTGCACACATTTTTGAGCTCCCAATAATAAATGTAAGCCAAAGAACTATTTTGTTTTTTATCAATATTTTGGTTCAGCATTAATATTGATTTATTTTTCCTTCCTCACAATGGAGTTCTGCTCCAAGTGACCAGCTACCCAAATTCCCCTTCCTCCTGTCGGACGCACCTGGCGTAGACTGTACCCAGTACTTTTAGTAAACCCAGGTTTGAGGTTGGGGAGAATTGTGGGTGTGAATGCACTTTCCATCACTGTGGAACAGTGCTATTGAACTCTCGAGGAAGGGTAGTTATGGGCAGAATACTTGACTGATTCATAAAAAGCAGCATGATGCTGTGCTTTAGACTCTACAATGTAGAGGATGGTTGGATGGGTCTTCTGGTAGGATGAGATTAAATTGGCTGAAGGACCTTTTTCATCTGGACTCATCTTGGAGCCCTGTAGCTCAGTGGTTAGAGCATTTGCTTTGCAAGTGAGAGACCTGAGTTCAATTCCAGGCAGAGGGCGAAACCTTGGGCAGGTTTCCTTACTCCACACGCCTAATAATAATCCCTCCAAAACCAAAAACAATAATAAATTGGTCATATTCAATCTACGACTGTTTGTGGGACATTGCTGTGCGCAATTGGCTGCCGCGTTCGCCCACAAATATACAATCAATTCACTTTACAGTGTGTTCTGTGAAGCGCTTTGGGACGTCCTCCCGACGTGAAAAGCGCTATATCAAATGCAAGGATTATTATTATTATTATCTGAATCTCTCTTGTGAACTTTCTATCTTCCTGTACTGCCCTTCTTGATTTGATTTTTACATTGATGCCTTTCTATATTGCACAGAAAATTCAGACTGTTTCGAATCCTAGAATAGGTACCACAGTTTGTAACAGAAGCTGTTAACATGCATCCTGCAGTGTATGGAATTTTCCAACCAAAGCTGAGCTCTATGAAGCTGCCAATCTAATCGTGGGGAGCCTACAATTTTGTATTTAAAGTGTTAGGATATTTCAGATCTGGGTATTCAGGTATGAAATGTACAGATCTTTACATCCCTTGTGGCCAGGATAAGGTGTTACAAGTCACGAAAGTGTTCTTGTCTTACGCAGTCATACTTGTAGTATGTACTTTCCAGTTTAACAGCAAATTCCCTCAGTAATACATCTTGAGCTCCTGACCTTAATTGTACAGTCGGCTGAATAACAACATTTTTAATTGCATGTTAACTTCAACGTTACATTTGACATTTTCGCGCCCTGGGTTAATCTTGCACCAAAAGCAGCCTTTGTTTCTAAGCAGTGCTTGCCAATTTATATCAAAAGTGTAAAGCTGCACTGTTTGAAGTAATTAGCAGTGTTAGTACATTGCCAGCAATGCTGCTTATACTTGATCCACTTATTGTGCTAAGTAAATCATTGTGCATTACGTTGGATTGCCTTGATAAGATGTGCGTGTAGGGGGCACCTCTATGATGGACTTTGCAGCTCATACTGTACTAAAATTTAGATGGAAGTGCAGAGCAGATAGTAGGTACTCTCTCCATATGGGGCGATGAATAGTCGATTGAGAAATTACCCTGGAATCCAGTTCCCTATCTCTTAGCAGATGGACTAAGTTTCTGATGATCAGAGATCCAGGCGCAGTTGCTGTCTGCCTTTCTAGTCAATAGATGTACAACACTGGAAAGCATCTCGGGGGTGAGAGGGGTACTTTTCTTTGCTACTTCTCCAGAAAGATGATGAACCCATTCTCAGGAGATCCCTTTCTGCCAGTGTTAATTTCCCAAACCTGAAAGCACTTGCTCAGAAGCTTTGTGCAATTAGTGTATCTTTGACCATTTTCCAGTGGCGAGAAATCAGAATCTAGAGCACCATATGGGTTGAAAAAGCTGAGGAACTGAGGTCTTGTGAGTCTGTGTGACGTGCACAGGCTCCCTGCAGGAGATGGGACATCGAAGCATCAGTTACGCTACCGCTTTCCTGAGAAGCACTTATTGAACCCCGATACAGTGGGAAGGTGGGTCAACAACAGCCTAAAATAGAAAAGGTGTGTCAATCACCTTTTCCTCTTCCTACTGCATTCCTGAGACACGTTCTGGTGCTTCCGTTGAAACATCTCCTTTCAGGCGGGATATTCACCTCCCAGTCTTTCCGGAGCGATACTGACAATGCTTCACACATAAGAACCATCCATTATGGGTCACTGAAAAGTGATTGAAAGTAAGATCTGTAGATGTTTTGTTTCCTTCCCTGCCCTGTGGCATTCAGGTTGCTTGTCTCTCTTCCACTGTTGCCCAGACCAGAGCTAATTCATTATCAACCAGGCCTTTGGCAGCTGTTATGGTTTAACTACTCACCAAATTACTTGCTAAGCCATCCAGAGACATCACTGCTGAAAAAGTTTATAAGAAAAATACTTTTATTAGATACTGAGTTTCTGCCTATTACTGACTCTTTAAAAACAAATGTTGTCTTTAATATATTCCTTGAAACATTTAAGTTAATGTCTTATAATTGGCTATTTTATTTCTTATTATCTATAGGTGAGAGAGATGACTGGATTAACAAGCTTTTGAATGCAGTAAAATCTCAGAGCAACACGTTTCCACATCTGGGCAGCCGGTCCAATGTCTCATTTGAGAAATCTGGCTATCTTGAGCTAAAAGGCTACAAAGCACGAATTTTTATTGCATTGAAAGGTGTAAAAGTGTGGATTTACAAAAATGAGCAGGTAAGACTTAACAGTTTTCAGGTTATTTACTTGTTTCATAATGTATTAACTGTAGTGCATCTTATGCAAACCCCATATCAAGCTGTCCGCTCCCTCTGCTCAGCAGGCTCCGTCCTGCTTCACATCCCAGCCCGGCCAGCCCTACCATCGGTGGTCAGGCCTTCAGCTTCTCTACCCCCACCGTTTGGAACTCCATCCCACATTCCCTTTGTCTTACTCCCTCCCTTAGCTCCTTCAAAGAACGTCTCAAAATCCTCCTCTTTGACCGCACATTTGATCACCCTCCTACCCTTCCTATCCTCCACCTTCCCTGATCCCAACCCCCAAGCTCAGGTCCGAATCCCTGACTATCCAGCACCTTGGGACGTCCTCCCGACGTTAAAGGTGCTTTACGAATGTAATTCATTGTTGCTGTTGATTCTTGGAATTTGGTTGAGCTGCTGCAATGCTTTTTGAGCCTTTTGCTCGAGGAAATATTGTAGCCCATGTGATTTTGTGGTGTTTCTTATTGCAATGATGGTTTTGAGCAGCAAAGATTGACTAGCGCAGTGGAAAATCAAGATACTTTCCGAATGATTGGGGCTTCAAAGCACATGACTCTTATGGCTCTTTTTAGATATAAGAACATAAACCTTTGATCAAGAATAGCAGGATTTCATTTCACCAACTTTGCCCTTTGCAATGAGAATCTGTTGAGCTCTGTAAGCCTCTCCTCGTACAGGTATCTTGGAGCTTGATCATTCTTGGAAGTCTTCTCTTAACGCTCGTTTTGATGTTCAAAGCTGTGCACACAATGCCAAATGTGACCTCCTCACATTAACATCACTGTTTAAAAAAAAATTTGATGGCGAAGTCCACAGTGTAAAACAGGCAAACGCTGGAGAAAAGGCCCATTGAGACATAAAGTGCAACTTGTGCATGGATCCCCATGTACATCGTGCAGTTTTGTGAGAATCGTCCACTAGATAGTTTTTATACTTTAACTACTTCATCAAATAATTTCACTTGGCTTATGTGACATGACTTATTGCTTCTAAATTCATGTTGACTACTCCTTATAACTTCTGTGTTCTTTAGATGATAATTGATAGCTTTGTACACAATGCTTTCCACCATTTTCTCTGGTTTGGATTTTATGGGCTCATGTCTTGTTCCTTTTCTTTTAGAATAACAGATAACATGCTGTCTTCCTGTGCAGCTGAAGTGCTTCTAAAATATTAACCTGGCTCTACTTGTTGTGCACAATTGGCTGCCGCGTTTCACCCACAAAATATACAGTCAATTCACTTTACAGTACATTTGAAGACGTGATAAGCGCTATATCAAATGCGGGGGTTATTTTATTTATTATTTCATTTGATTTCTTAGATTCCTAGAGTTTATTCTTGATAAAAATCAATGGTAACAGTAACATAAAGAGCATCTTAAGTAGCAGTGTCATGGTCGAACAATAATAAAAAAAAGTGGCACTTCTCCAGTGTTATAGGGACATTTGAAGCTTGCAAAGATGAGAAAATGAGATGCCAAGTGTTCGTGTTCGTGTGCACAATTTTCATCATTAACACTTGACTTAAATATTATTGTGGCACACTTCTACACCAGTTTACAGATTGCTCGCAGATACTGAAAATGGTGAACCTGTTTATTAACACAGCAAATTTGTTCAAATTGTGCACAGTGGTTTATTTTAAGACATCTTGGACTCACTGAGGTGATACGCAATGGGAAGTAATCAAGTGACCTGTTTGTTATAATAATCCTTGTATATGATATAGCGCCTTATCGTGTCTTCGAGACGTCTCAAAGCACTTCACAGAATATACTGTAAAGTGAATGGTATACTTTGTGGGCGAGACGCGGCAGCCAATTGCGCACAGCAATGTCCCAAGAACAGTCATGGATTCAGTGACCAATTTTTTTTAAGGAATTATTGCCCCCAGAAAAGCAATCCACCAATTGACCAACAACTGGGTTCCTAGTCACTGCTTGGTAAACAGGCGTGCGGAGTAAGGAAACTTGCCCAACATTTCGTCCTGCCGGGAATCAAACCAAGGTCTCTCGCTTGCAAGGCGAGTGCTCTAACCACTGAGCTACAGGACTCCACAATTGCTAGCTCATGAGTTGCAGGTCAAACTTTGTGACCTACCATTCTAATGCCAAAAGAATCGAAACATTTAAAAAAAATAAACACATAGGAGTCAGCTGTGAACTGCTGTAACAAGTATTGTATAAGGACACATACTTGATGTTCCCCAGGAATTAGCAGGTCATTTAAAAAGATTTTTTAAAATTTCATAGTAACCATGGCAATTTTAGCTTGCCATGCAAATGCACTTATATCATTTCAGAAAATCATTAATTTTTCTAACTCCTGCCTCTTGTTTTGTTTGTTGTTGTGTTGTCTCCCCCCCCAGACCCCCCCCCCCCCGTCTGTTGAACTGCATGATTCATCTATGGTTATGATTCCACCGCTGCCAGCCCACTGCTTTGTCTATTAGGTTACTTTCCATCAGTGAGCTAACACGTGTCAACAGGCTCCTGAACCACAGAGAGCTTTACCACCAAGCCTATTTCCATGCAGTGTCTATTCATGTGCACTTTGCAGACATGATTACTTGATTGTGACCACTTCTGTATGCATGGATACTCCAGGTCAGAATCAGGACTGTTTTTCTCCCTCTTCCCTTATCCAGGGGTATTATGTTTAATTTCCTGGCACAGATGCCCTAAGTCACCACAAGTGAGATTCAAACCTGAGATCTTTTAGTCTTTACAGATTTGCTTTGCACCTTTATCTGTTCACCGTGTTACTCTTTGATTACCTAGCCTCAATGACAAACTCTGTGAATTGAGGTGGAAAACTATACTCATTTGGTGTGACACCTGGTGACCGGAATAAATAAGAATGTTAAATAAGAAATACTGTAATCAGGACATTCAATTAACACTCGAGTCTCTGGTTTTGTGAGCCAGTTGTTAAAGTCATCCTGTTATATATATATATATTAGGAATCTATCATCATTGTTTTATTTTGATCGACTAGCAGTGGAGATAGCATAGAATAGCAGGAACAATGTTACTAGCAAATGCAGTTTCCCGTTCGGTGCTTTTTTCAATGAATACAGGGATCTGTGTATCTTCTCATGCTGTGTAGAACCAATATGTGTAAATTGAACTCAAAATACAATAAATGGATTCTGCTGGGTCCATTCAATATTATCAGGTCATAGTTTAGTACAAAAGGCTAAATCATGATTTAAAACATGGGGCTTTAAAACATTTGTAATAAATATCTTGTCTATAAATCAGAAAATAAGGACCAGGTAGAGAATAGAAGGTAGTAGCCATATCAATGCACATTTTCAAGGTTTAAATGTCACTATAGATATTCATTTAAATTCTTCAAGAATCATTAAATGGCAAAAATGGATGTGCCTCTTTTCCCCCATCTTAGATATTGCAGAGGTAGCACCTGTAATAGCTTCTACAACTTCCCGCAGTGTCTTCCATTTACTGTTAATGTTACTACATTTATTTTGAAAAGTAATTGTCATTTTAAAATAGTTATTGAAGACAAATCCAGTCAATCGTTGTGATTTTGTACAGTGTCATCTGAGTTCCCCGAATCCATATTTAGACTGAAAGGTAATTGTTTAGTAAGTATTTCTATACTTATTCCATAATTATCAACACCTCTATGCTTTCAGGGATTATGGATATTATACAGACATTCTACAATTGGATGGATGAATGACTGCCTTTCTAAGCCCATTGATATCACTTTAGTTTGGGGTCAGATATTCAATGTCATGTTTACTTTACACTGATAAACCAGAGGAAGAGATTAGCCTTGGAAATAGCAAACCTCTCCTGGTGATTTTTTTAAACTTTATTTTTAACAGTGTGAGAGCCAATGAGTATGATGAATATCATGAGTGTGACCAGCCCTTCGCAAACAGTTGGATTTGGCATTTAGTTTACTAAACATGGCATCACACAGGATCATGTTCAAAAAAGTCTTGGATGGTTATTTTTTTGTTTAAATGAAACATATTCCACACTTACCCCTTCTTTTTCTCTTTGACCGTGCCTTCAGCTCCCCTCTCGACTCTCTTCCCCCTTTTCGCTCCCTCCCTTCCCTCCCCTCACCCTGACCATTTCCCCCCTCCTCGCTCCCTCCCTTCCCTCCCCTCACCCTGACCATTTCCCCCCTCCTCGCTCCCTCCCTTCCCTCCCCTCACCCTGACCATTTCCCCCCTGCTCGGGTCATGACCCAACTGTGCAGCGCCTTGGGACGTCCTCCTGACGTGAAAGGCGCTTTATAAGTGGAATCTTGTTGTTGTTGTTGTTTTTGCATAATCGGAAATTGATAGACTTTATAAACTTATTTATCTAATAGTACAAATGTCATATTAAACAGAGTGCAACAACATCTGCAAAACAAGTTAAGAATAATTTTGTCAAACTGTACTTGGTAGGAAATCCTGACTACTAAAATGTTTTGATTCTCCAGGATTTTAAAAGTGGAGTCGGTATAACTACGGTCGACACAAATGTGGCTACAGTCAAAGACGTGGATCGTAAAGGTTTTGAATTATCCACTCCATTCCGAAACTTTAGGTAAAATCTTCTGAAGCTGTATTGATGTTGACTTTGATTTTTTTCTCTCCTCCACCAATCTATTATGTGGTCTACTGAAAGCGAATTTAATTTGTCAAATGAAAACAGAAGTCTCTGCGAACACTCAGCAGGTCAGGCAGCATCTATGGAGAAAGAAATGTGAGTCAACGTTTCAGGTCCATGACCTTTGTTAGAACAGTTCGATGTCCAGGTGTCGATGAGATGGCAGCAAGCAGATTATATAACTTAGACTTGAGGTTTTCTTTTGAAACAAAATAAAAGTCTTGAATCAGACTAGAGGTGAAGAGTCATCGATTTGATTCCTAACAGAAACAGGTGATGTTGTTTTCATGAACTCCTTCAAAAAAGAACCGAATGGTCCCCGAATGCCCAGAGAGTAAAGACATTGCTGGTGGGTAGAAGTCATTGCCTGGTGCCGCAGGTTCGAGGTCCTAGTTTGTACTGAGATAGTTGTTCTCAACTAGCTTCAGCACCATTTGTTTAGGGATGAATAAATCCGCCAGTTTCACTATCCAGTTAGAAAATTATGCTAGAAAAAAAGGAAACATCTGTTTGAGAACAATTTTTACAGGATATTACAAGATATAGGCATAGACACATACTTGTTTGAACTCTACTCCATGGTGTACTATACATAGTGTTACAAGGGCAGGGGGGTGGTTTAGATTAGGAAGACAGGTTTGAATATTAGAGATGTGGGAACGTAAGAATAAAATTCACCTTTTAGTGGATTGAGTTTGATAATTGTATGCATTCCCCTACAAAAATACACAGTCACAACACTTTACAGTAATATCATGTGAAGCTCTTTGAGACAGCCTATTGATGTCAAAGTGCTATCTCAAATGTAAGCATCATTATAAGATTATTATTATATAATCTGGATTTATCTGTGCAGAATTTAATTAGATAGCTTGTCATGTACTATGGAGCGAGCCAGCTTGACACCCTCAAAATCCTTTCTCTTTCCATGCTTTCTTATGTACATAAAGCTTTTGCCCTCATGACTAGCACTGCTTAACACTGGGAAAAAAATTGTATGGAATGGAAATATAATATATTGTCCTTTAGCTTGATCAGCCCAGTAGATCATCTAAAACCATAAATGAAAGAAAATCGGCAAGAAAAACCAAGTGTCCATGTTTATTACTTTTTCGGTGACTTCCACCCATGGAGTTGAACTATGCATTTTTATTTGTTGATGTCCCAAAATGATTATATTATTTGCAACATTTCATGCTGCCGACTAGGTGTGAATCTCAGTTTATAAGACTTTCCGTTGCTTTTTGTACGGGCATTGGTCAGGAAGTAAGAGCACGCAAAGAGTTTTTATTTTTATGGGAATATTTTTAAAACTATTTTTTTTCCCCAATATATCAATACTAAGGTTGACTATGGAGAAAGCATGCAAGTAAACAGAATTTAATTGTGCCTTGGTAAATTTGAACTGGATTTTAATTTATCAACAAATTGTACTGAAAAAGAACCATATTATATCCACTCACACTTTTATTCTATTTGCAGTAGCAGCGAAGAAATATAGAACCATTTTTGATGAACAGAGTCCCCAAAAGTGTGAGCTGAAACATTTCAGGCTCTATAATGTATATTATGTATTATAATTGTCAGCCTTTTGGTATTGTAAAGTTTGTAACTAACATTATGTTTATAATACTTTTGAAAACAAATGAAAATGTGCAATATATTCCAGTAGATAGAATGGATTGCAAAAATTTCAGTACAAATCAGGGTTCAGTTTATAAAATTATTTATGTGCCCTTAATATTGTAAGTTCAAAACGGCATCAAATGTACAAGCACAGAAGCAATGTGTGTAAGCACTCTCAGGACCTGGGACTGGTGTGATCTGCTAATTATGTGGATTGATAAAGAATGCAGCTTTCTGGTGGTAGTGTTATTGCTTTGTTTAGCTGGAAATTTTTTTTGCCTCTTTTTCTGAGTTGGCATGGAGAATGTATTACAAAGGAAAAGCTTTTCATGAGTCCTCTTTGTGAAATTTGTCACAAGGAGAATTCACATATTGGTATTATTTTAATCCTTGCATTTGATACTAAAATCTTCTGTCAATTGCAGAGTGTTTAGTCTGTTTACTCTGATGCAAGAAATGGGAATCTAACTCAAAATGCTGAGATTCAATATATGGTGTTTAAACATCTGAATATTTCCTTTATAATTTACTGCAGAAATGTTCAAGATCTGAAACCATTTATAAATAAAAATCTGAATTTAATTTTGTTCTCACACTCCACACGTCCTCAATCCCTCAAGAAAAAACACAATAATAAATTGGTCACTTCAATCCACGACTGTTTGTGGGACACTGCTGTGCGCAATTTGGCTCCCGCATTTTGCCTACAAATATACAGTCAATTCACCATACAGTATATTCTTTGAAGCACTTTGAGACGTTTAGAAGACATGAAAAACGCTATATTAAATGCAAGTATTATTATTATTTTAAAAAGCTATTTTCTTTCTGATCTTTTCTGATATTTTCTGGTCCTCACATACAAAGCCCTCCATGGCCTCGCCCCACTCTACCTCTGCGACCTTCTAACGCCCTACCAACCCGCCCGTTCCCGCCGCTCAGCCGGCTCTGGCCTGCTCTAGCCTGCTTCACGTTCCCCGACCCACCCGCCCACCATTGGCGGGACAGCCTTCAGCCACTCTGCCCCCAACCTCTGGAATTCCATCCCCAATCACTCCGCCTCTCCCCCTCCTTAGCCTCCTTCAAGTCCCGCCTCAAGACCCTCCTCTTTGACCATGCCATCGGCCACCCCCCTTCCGATCCCCTACCTTAACCCCCAACCTGTGGAGTCCTGTAGCTCAGTGGTTAGAGCACTCGCTTTGCAAGCGAGAGACCTGAGTTCAATTCCAGGTCAGGGCGAAACCTTGGGGAAGTTTCCTTACTCCACACACCTAATAATAATCCCTCCAAAACCAAAAACAATAATAAATTGGTCATTTTCAATCCATGACTGTTTGTGGAACACTGCTGTACGCAATTGGCTGCCGCGTTTGCCCACAAATATACAGTCAATTCACTTTACAGTGTGTTCTGTGAAGCGCTTTGGGACGTCCTCCCGACGTGAAAAGCGCTATATCAAATGCAAGGATTACTATTATTATTATTACAACCCCAGCTCGGGTCTAAAATGCTGTATTCTGTCCAGCGCCTTGGACATCCTCCTGACGTGAAAGGCGCTAAACAAATATGATGATGATAATGATAATGATCGAATGAGTTAGAGTAAGTTACTTGTGAAAACAAATGGGATTGGCTACTGGGAACTGCTGATGCCTGGAAGTATGGGAGTTAGTATATGCTGAAAGTACATATGGCAATATGTGTGCCTATTGTACACCACTTGCTGGTGTGGTAATATATGTCATGGGAGGAGGGAGGGGTTCAGCCTTTCATGTCAAATGTGACATGAATATAATTGTGGAGCTCTATAAAGTTAATAGAATACTGCCTGTAATTTACACAGCAGTTGACTGGAGCTGGATATGAATTTGTGAATACATTGCTTATTTCCCTGCAGAGTGTGGTTTTGAAAACTAATGGATTTTGCAGCATTAGTGGGTGGATGTTTCTAATGCACATTTGACTTCTGTTGAAGTGTCCTGGGACTGGCAGAAGTCCTAGTTTAAGAAAGTTCTTTATATTTCTTTAAGGAAGACTATGCCCGTCAGCGTCATCAGTTTTTATTTTGCCTCGCTGCATAGATATACAAGCTTAAATATAAAATTCTGCTGTCACACCTAATTTGTTGTATTTTGTTTATATATGTGATGGGGAATACCATGTCTGAATTTGTTCTGAATCAGTTACGAAATGGGTTAAAATCATAATTACTAGTAATCCATGCGGATAGCATCTTAACACATCATTTAGATGTCTGAAAGCGTTCCACAGGATTTTACAGAGGAGAGTAGTAACTGCGTATTTATAGGAAAACATGGCAGTCAATTTGCATATAGCAATATCACACAGTCAGGAAATGAGTGAACAATTTGATTTGGGTGATTTTTAACCAGGACACCAGGAGGAGCTGACTTCTCTTTTAAAATAGTGCCACAGGATCTTTAACATCCACCTGAACAGGCATAGACAAGACCTTGGTTTAATATCAGCCTCTCTGCCCCCACCCTTTGGAACTCCTTCCCACATTTCCTTCACCTCGCTCCCTCCCTTGCCTCGTTCAATGCACGTCTCAAGATCCATCTCTTCGACCATGCCTTCGGCCACCCTCCTTCCCTCTCTGCCCCTCCACCCTCACCCCAATCCCACCCCCCCCCCCCCACCCCTTGCTTAGGTCCAAATTCCTGACTGTCCAGCGCCTTGGAATATATTTATAATATCTCTTTTCCAGATAGAATTTAAATATGTATTTTGTATACATTGCAAACCATGTCACATGCATCAGACACAGGTGTGTAAACTGGTTATGTTCTGCCGAGTTCCTCATCCTGCTAAATTAATAACTAGCTTTATATAAACTATTAGACTGGATAATTAAAAAGAAATGCGGAAAATAAAATCAATGTTTCAGCTTCACAGCGGAATCTGAAAGAGAGAAACAAGATTGGATTGAAACTTTAGAAGGATCCATAGCAGAAAGCCTCTCAGATTATGAAGTGGCAGAAAAGATTTGGTTCAACGAGTCGAACAGAAGCTGCGCAGACTGCCGTTCACTGGACCCTGAATGGGCATCCATCAATCTTTGCGTTGTCATCTGCAAAAAATGTGCAGGTAATTAATGGAACAAATGGGGGAGGGGGGAGCGGATGCGAAGAGTAAACAGGCACAAAATGCAACAACATCATATCTGTTCCACTTTATTTTTACGGAATGATTTGAGTGAGCGTTTTTCCCCAACATTTTCTTTCTTTCACTTCACAGCATATTTTTAAAGAAAATTCCCTTTCTTGCTTTGCTTGTTCAGGCTACCTGCGGGGGACTCTTTCAGCTCTTTTGCGATGAGCCTAGTGATTCCTTGCTGGCAATAGAAAACCTCCCATGCAAGCCTCTTGATTTTTATTATCTTCTTCCCCCTCCGACATCTGAGAAGGATGTCTCCCCATTAATGTTCTAATGCTCAGTCAACTGAGGCTTGTCTTCACATGTCTGATATTTGAACGTAATGTGTTGAGTTCTTTGAGCAATCATCACAGTCTCTTTATTGTGTGAATTCACTGGAAATTTAGGAAAATGTGCTTTAAATACATTTCATTTTGAACACTTGTATTTTTTCCTCCATCAATCTCTCCTATAAGTGTTTGTCTCCTTTTTTTTCTGATGAGTTACATTTCTTTGAGTGTGTGTTATCTTTGTACCTTGCCCAAGTGGACACTATTGATGTATGAACCCTGCTGGGTTACTTGATGGGGTCTCGTGCAATATTGTTTGGTTCTCTGATTTTTCTCATCTATGTGCTCTGAGCTGATGGCCCCTTGCAGACATTATCCACAGGCATGGGGTCCAATTTTATATATACCTGGTTGACACACATCTCAAATTTTTATCTCCACCCTGAACTGCAGGACTACTGGTGTTCTGACAGTCTGCCTGTTAGACATCAAATCCTAGATGAGCCATAACTTCCTTAAAATCAACGCCTATAAAACTGAGGCTATCGTGCTTGGTGACCACCAGCACCTCTTTGCCTCTGGTGCTGACCATATTGGCCTCTCCAGTTGCTCACTCCAATTTGCAGAGACTGTGTAGAACTTTGGTGTTTTGTTTGATCCTCGATTCTCCTTTTCGAGTCTTCATTTGAGCTCAGCTGAAGCTGCTTTTGTTCCATCTCTACAACATTGACATCTCTCCCACTACATTACTTCAGAACAGCTGGATCTCTCATCCTCATTTTTGTCACCTCAGATTTGACTTCTCCCAACACACTGGTCACTGACCACCCCAACTCCATCCTTCCAAATCTCCAAAGGCCGACATAAAAAATGTTGGATTGTTTTGCGTACCAGGCTTTTCCTGTACTTTGCTGATGTGAGATTACAAATTTCTGTCTGAAGTTTGTAAACTGGAAGTTGCAATTAAGACAGCTTAATGTGATTTGGCGATATTACAAATTTGACACCAACATCTGCTTGAAATTCCAAATTATAGCCTGCTCCTTCATAGGAACAAAAATGAGTTTCTGTCTAGAAAAGCTTTTAATTCATTAAGCTTGTTGCTTTCTCAGAGATTTCTAAACTATCTTTTGACTCTCCATTGTGTCTGGATACTCTTAGTTTTCCAAAAATACTTGAATTAAAACTTCAATATTAAACCTTGTTCTTTCTCTGTGAATCCACCTCCTTCCCACAGTCAACATTTCCATTTGCCCGGCAGCTATGAAATGAAACCTACCTATTAATTTACAGAGCAGTTTGAATTCTACCAAAGAGCATTTTCATAATCTCCAAAGACTTTGTAGCCTTGAGTGTTTTCGATCATACGTTTAAATGTCAGTTATCAATATAAATTCTTTATTTGTCACAGGTCAGCACCGATCATTGGGATCAAATATATCTAAGGTTCGAAGTTTGAAATTGGATATTAGTATCTGGAGTAATGAACTTGTGGAGGTAAGAGGCCAACTGAGTCCTGCATTGAGAAAGCAGCGAGCAATCTTGTCCACTGAATAAGTGGCAGTTCGCCTGCTCCCTGTTTCCTTAAGTTAAATTTAGTGTACTTGTTATGCATCTTGTTGGAAGTGCATTGGTGAACAAGCCGTGATATTAATGAGATCCCCATTCCATGACCCATGAGCCGTTTTGCTGCAATTCACAAAAGTATTTCTTGGCATTTCTTTGGCACTCGGCCAAAGTGAACTTGGAGCCCTCAGGTTTCTAAATTCAGTGATGCAACTCATTGTAAAATATTAATAAGAACTACTGTTCACAAAGTCACTTATTTTTCCCAACTGGTCTTAAGTTCCTTGGAGACCATTCTGTAGCCTGTTAAGTAAGATAATTGTATGTTGCATCTGAGTACTTTAGTCAGTATCATCAGGTAACGTGCTGTGGAGAGCTTTAACTGGTTCTAATTGACCACTGAAGATGACCACTGCATATGTCACTTCAGAAAACAAATTGCCTAGTGCACAAGTGAGCATTAATAGGTCAAAATAAGGTTTCAGTATTGTAATACTTTATGCTGACCAATGATTCTTAGCCCACTGATTAAAGCTGAACTGTGTCGCAATATAAAGTTACCATAAGGGGAAAATTGCGGAATTCATAGCTGCAATGTTTTCTTTAAAAGATTTCCAAGCTGGATCTGATGAACGTGTGCAAAATCACTAGTCCTGGCCTTTGGAATAAACGTCACCACCTTGCTTATGAAGACAATGAGAGAAGGTTTTGACAACCTTTAATCTCGTGCCCAGGGCAGATCAACTGTTTTAATAATAATAAATAAGAATTATATATAGCACCTTTTCTACTTTAGCGAGATTGATTGTGTATTTGGTTGCAAATGATGCGATGAAATGAAAGTACTTTTGATCCTAATACAAACAATGAAAATCCTTACATTTGAGGTTGAGAGGATGTCTCAAAGTAATGCACATGATTTACTGTAGAGTGTAGTGACTGTAGACAAATTTAATATCATAGCCAGTTTGCACTCATCAATGTCCTAAAATAAGCTATGAATGACCAATTTTATTTGGGAGATTATTGTCAGAACACCAGGATAACTTGCTTTCTTTTTTTGAATAGTGCCATCAAATCTTTAACATCTATCTGAACAGGCAGATGAGACCTTGGTTTAAAATCATAGTGCTCCCCAGGATCGCATTGGGGTGTCAACCCAGATTGAGTTGAATGCTTAATGTGGGGCATGGACCACATTGACTCGGAGATGTGAGTTCTACCACTGAGCCAGGCAGATGCATGCAACATTGCAAATCTGATTCCTGATTTGCCATTTCAATACAGTTTTGCAGTCTCTCACCAATAGAATGTTTGTGTAGCCAAATAATAACATTGAAATAAGGAAGCATGTTTGATTCTTACACATGTTTAATACCTGTGCTTTGATGTACAGCTTTTCATAGTGGTGGGAAATAAGAATGCCAATAGTTTTTGGACAGCAAACCTGAAAGCAGAGGAAGAGCTGGATATGGATGCACTACCAGACCGTCGCCTCGAATTCATCACTCAGAAATACAAAGAGAGAAAATTTCGAAAAATTCCTTTAACTTTTCTGACTCAGGAAGAACTGAACAAGGTAATGTTATTGTGTATATATAACAGAGATTTGATTTGAGAAGAACTTATTCCTGCTGTAGTTATTGTTCCTCTAAACTTTCCTAATTTTTCCCTAAACTCTAAATATACTGTTTTACACAAGTTGCTCTCTGCATGTTCACTGATGAAATGGAGTCTTATTGCATTGTCTCATACTTATTCTTTCTCATTAAATTCCTGTTAAATTCTTGTTAACCTCTGACAACCTTTTAAAACCAACATTTTGCACATCTAACATTGCTTCTTGACTGCTGATATTTTTTATTTTAAATCTTAATAAATCATGTAGTTTGGCCCAACTAGATTTCTCAATTCAAGAAATGAAAGCAGAGGTTTGACACTGGAAATAAAAATCATTATGGGTCCTGGTGAATGTATTTAATCCTTGATGACAATAACTAGCGCTCCTGTAGTGCCTTTCCTGTTGGATGAGCATCATGAAGCAATTCACTTGTTTTAGCGCACTTTACGTGTCTGAGATTGATCCAATCCCATTTGGTATAACTGTACCAACGTCTGCTTGGGCTATTGATTGGGTGACAAAAATAGTCTTTACAAGCTGTTGTAGCAGTACGGAGGTTTTAAGGTCTCATTGATTAAGTTCTCATCAGCTTGATGACTTGTGGTCCTAAAGAACTCGGTAGCTGCCTAGTACTGCACTTATATCACATTACGACCTATGCCCAGAAATCTCTATAACTTAGAAGTATTTGGATTGGCTATCTCACTCAATGTCTGACAGACATTCTGTCAGGACAGCAGTGGTCCTGGAGTTGAGGGTGGAGGTAGAGAGATAGAGTTGGGTGTCATCCACATACATGTGGAAGTTGACCCCATGTCTGCGGATGATGTCACCTAGAGGGAACAAATAGATGTTGAAGAGGAGGGGACCAAGGACAGAGCCCTGAGAAATGCCGCATGAGATGGTGAAGGGCTAGAGGAGAAGCCGTTTGTAGAGATGAAGTGCAGGCGGTGTGAGAGGTACGATCTGAACCATTCAAGGACAGAGCCGTGAAGTGAGCGGAGAGGCGATGGATGAGGATAGAGTGGTCAATGGTGTTGAAGGCAGCAGAGAGGTCAAGGAGGATGAGGAGGCAGTGGGAGCCCTGGTCGCAGATGGACAGAATATCATTTGTCATTTTGACCAAAGTTCTTTCTATGCTGTGGGTGGGATGGAAACCCAATTGGAGGGGTTCGTGAGGGAGTGGTGGGAGAGGAAGGAGTGAAGCTGTGAAGAATTGACTCATTCCAGGACCTTGGAGAGGAAAGGGAGGTTAGAGATGGAGCGGTAGTTTGAGAGCAGGGATGGTCCAGGGAGGGTTTTTTAAGGTTTGGAGTGCGACCGACATTTTTAAAGGGATGGGAACAGTACCAGTACCAGGGAGACGTTTATGATGTCTGTGAGTAGAGGGGCAATGAGGTGGAGCTGGGAGGTAAGGAGAGGGATAGGAATGGGGTCGAGGGAGCAGGTGGTTGGTTTCATGCGGGTTACAGTGGTGGTGAGAGAGGAGTGGGAGACAGTTTCAAAGGTGTGGAGGGAGGGATGGGTAGGGGCCGGGGGGAGATGGGGAGGGGATAGTAGATGGAAGGGCAGAGGCAGCTGAGCAGATCCCCTCGACTTTCGATTTGAGGAAGTCCAGCATCGCCTTACAGTTGCTCCTTCCTACCTCTCCGACGTGCTAACCCCTTATTGACCTGTCCGCTCCTGGCAAGTCAGCAGGCTCCGTCCTGCTCCATGTCCCCTGCCCAGCCCACCCCACTATCGGTGGTTGGGCTTTCAGCCCTCTGCCTCCACTCTTTGGAACTCCCATTCTACATTCCCTTCGCCTCGTTCCCTGCCTTACCTTCTTCAAGGGAGGCTTCAAGACCCTTGTCTTTGACCGTGCCTTCGGCCACCTCCTGCCCTCTCTGGCTGCCCTGATCCCAACCTCCTCCCCGCTCCAATCCTAATTCCTGACTGGACATCCTCCTGACGTGAAAAGAGCTTTACAAATGTTATTTTGTATTGTATCTGCAGAAGTAGACAGTTGATCCTTCTGAGAATAACATGTAACATTGTCTAGTTTGTAGACATCAAAGTTGATGCTTCTTAAAACTTGTTCGAACATTTTTTCTGATATAGTTTATTTGTCTATACCTGAGTGTTGAATTCTTTTCTTGCGTCCCTCATTTATAAAGTCTTCTAATGTTTTTGTAAACTTAGAGCTTATGTCAAGCAGTGGTGAAACAGGATGTCTTAGAGACCATGTCACTGGTTTTCAGCGGAGCAGATGCTATGTGTGCAACAGGAGATGCGACTCACTGTACCCCCTATCTCTTAGCCCAGAAAGCTGGTCAGCGGTTGCAGATGGAATTTCTTTTTCACAATAAACTCTCAGGTAAAACGCTTGGTACATTTGAAGGCTTTCAGCTTAAAAGTATACTGCCATCTAACCATAGAATGTGAGCATCAAAGCTGTTTGATCTGTATTGTGAAGAACTTCCATTACATTTCCCTTTTCAAGTGCTCTGAGTTGTTACCCTGCGTGAAGGCAGCTGTATCAACGCAAGTTGTTGTTTCCCTTGGATTCAGAGACTAAGCTGGCCATTCCGCTGTGAGAGTTGCACATACAGTAATAATCCTTGCATTAATATAACGTCTTATCACATCAGGTCCCCCGGCTCTGAGTTGTGCTCCACCATTGTCAAGCGTTCTGGGACGCTACCCTGCATGAGGGGCGCTATATAAATGCAAATTGTCGGTTTGGTTGTTGTCGTCTTCCTCATATGTATGCCACCTATGCACTGGAAATTTCCCTGTGTCTGGAAGGGAATGAGAACTGTCACCTAGGAGTGAGAAGAACAACAACAAATTGCATTTATATAGCACTTTTCAATCCAGGAGATATCCCAAGGCGCTGGAAGAATGCACTCTGCTTACTTAATTCTGGAAACAGACACAGCCTGGCAAAAGCCAAGATTTTGTGTATTCCAGGGTGTGGGATCCCCGCCTGATCCGCCCTACCATTGGTGGCCGGACCTTTAGCCTCTCTGACCACCAACCTCTGGAACTCCATCCCACAATCCCTTTGCCTTGCTCCCTCTCTTGCCTCCTTCAAGGCACGACTCAAGACCCTCCTTTTTGACCTTGCCTTCAGCCACCCTCCTACCCTCTCTGCCCTCCCTCATCCAATCCTGCGCCCCCACGCTCGGATCCTGCTCCCTGACTGTTCAACGCCTTGGGATGCCCTCCCGAAGCGAAAGGCATTTTACAAAAATGTAATTTTGTTGTTGTTGTGAGTTAACCAGCTAGACCTGTATAGCTCGGCATTGGGAGAACTGTCTGACAAGCTTCCCACTGCTTGCCCCAGCTAGGATCGCCTTACTTGGACTTGAGGGTTGATGAGAGCTAAGTGGGAAGACTCCCTCCCCAGTGACTGGTCTGCCTCTCTAAGTCCTGTCGATAAGCCAGGCTGGTTGGTGTATCTTGGAGTATTGCAGAACCGGACTATCGAGTTCACCAGAGAGGATTGACTTGAACCACATATTCCATTGCCAGACATTTTACCTTGGAGCCAGATGAGCCCCAAGAAGCTTGATAATCCCTAAACTTGAAAAATAATATTTTATGATTTTAAAATTCCAAATGTATAAAAAATGGAAGGGTTCAGTCAAAAATCCTGTAACTATCAGATGTAAAGATGATCTCATAAGTGGATGCACCGTTGCATGAATCATTGCAAGCAGCCGCTGTTTTATTACAACTGGAATGTTTAATAATAGTTAAAAAATGCGTAGTTTTAAAAAACTCATTATGTGAATCACTACTGACCTCTTCTGTTTCTCATAGTTATTCCAAAGATTGACTCACCATCCGAAGCTGCCGTTCATTCTCAGACCTCTTGCTCCACCTTCCTTTGTGGTTTCTTATACAAGGCCATTAACACTACAAAAACAGTAAGCGAGAAGAGACTGAAGGAAGGTACGTGATTCAGTCATGGTGTTTTTACTTAGAATAAGTACTCAGCACTGTTAGCCAGAGTGAACACACATGTAGTTAAGTGCCATTTAATCTGAGGAAGATTAGGGTCTCTAAGTTCACTATGACTCAGATATTGCAAAAAAAACACTTCTACACTACAGTTGCATCTTGTCATGAGTTTCTTAAGTGCATGTCTAAAATAACTAGAATTTTGACCAATTGAGTTTCATCCCCTTCCTCCAGCCTTGCGGGCAGTCACACTGTGTTGAATTGATGGCTGTCCAGCTCTTCCTTACTTCTCCCTCCTACAAGTTACTTGTTTTATTCTTTTGTTCATGATAAACCAATCTATCACCTGTTTTTGTTACAAAAATAACCAAATTTTGCTTCAGGTGGAATTGTTAGATTTGTCATGTGTAAATCACATTTTTATAAAAATGCATTTCCTATGTTGGGACTATGTGAAAATTGATGTTATTTGTGTCTGACATGAGTAACGTGCCGAAATACTGAGAGTGAGTCACCAGTGTTCTTAGAACCATTTTGCTTGTCTAAATCAAAATGAAGAAATGAAATGTGAATCAATTATGTGCTCTGTTTAACGACTGCTGCTTGTTTGAGGTTCATTAACGCAATGGAAAATGCAAGACGCCATTTAATTTAGGTCCTTGAATGATCTTTATACTTAATGCCACTTGCTTCCCCCCCCCCCCCCCCCCGAGATGAATAAAGATTTGAAATTTGTTGTAGCCATTAAAATAATTAGGAGGGCATGTGATCCCGATGAAAGTGTGGAAATTAAAATATTTCAGCTCCAGATTTTTTGTGCGCTTACTTTCAACTGCTGAAGAATCTGGTAATGGTGTAAGGAAGCAGCTATTGATTCCATGGCAACAAATGAACCCAGAGAAGATTACTGGTTTGTTTTGAAGAGCTTGATTAGAATCTGCAGACTAGAAAATGTTGCTCTACTGTCCACTGCACTCCAGTTTTGTATTTAGTTTCTTTTTTTGCCAATAGATAATCTCATGCAGACAAGCATTATTTCTTTCCTTTAAAGAAAACGTTTCAACGAATCACATTCTGTGTAGAGCTAGCCTTTTAATGCCCTCATTGAAATCAACTGTACAATCCACAAGAATAATTCTTCACTAAGAGTTTTTCCTCTTTTTTTCGTTAATAGCAGACATCTTTTTCTTCTATTTTGTATATCCTTGCAACTTTGCAAGAGACAGAATGTACTAGAGTTTTCGTAACTCTTAGAGTTGGAGGGTCTGCTGATGCATTTTTATTAATAAAACTGAAAAGCTTTTATTGAACGAAAAACTGCAGGATAATAATTATCACCAGTGTTTGCGGAAACAAAATTTTAAGCTATAATAGGTTTTATGTTTTTTTCTCTCTCTGGGAATATCGAATCCCTTTATTTGCTGCCTGGATAGAAGACTACCTGCAGGGAAGTCTCCAGGCAACCAATGGTGTTGTTCTGGGTTGGCTGCTATGGGTCGCTCAACAGTGGGGATGATAGAAACTCCCTTTCATGTTGAGGAGCTTCTATTATATATTGCTCATGGCAAGATTGCTGAAAGCTTCAAGTGTTTCTGTTTGTAAAGGAAAGCTGTCTGTATTCATGGTGTTTCTACCACATGAGCACTGAAGCACTTTGTTCATTTAGCTTCCACTCCCTGCTGCACATTGATTTCAGTAGAACAGTGAGGGAACAGCTTGTTTTTCGCTAATCTTGATTGGGAGTGTATTTTATGTGTATGTGTATGTCTTTTTACTTTTTTAGTAATTTCAGATGGTAATTCCACAATTACTTTGACAAGTAGTATAATGTAAACACATGCTGGGCTTTAATCTACACTCCTCCTTGAATACAGTAGACGTTTCTTAAAAGCGACTCCCCTGTTCTAACTCCTGGGTCAAATGTTCTATATGTCTGCAAAACATGTTATGCTTCCAGTTGTGTATAGCTGTCTATGCTTCTTGGTTTGTATGGCCCACTATCATAGTGGGTGATGCATTTTCCCAGTGTCCCATATATTGAGCTTTTCCTGTTCATTTGTCTGATTTATGGTATTTGAAGGATACGGGATTTGACCTATCCAGCAGGGATTAGAAGATTAGATTTGTGGCCTGTTGTGATTTCTGCCCTCTGATATTTTCTGCTAAGATTGTTCAAGGGAGGAACAGCCCATGGAAACATTTTGTCACAATAGATCCAGGAAATTGTACCATGGACTAACATGCTTTTTGCAGTTTTTAGATAACACAACTTGTCCAGTTTTGTGATCTAAGGCCATGTTGACTTGTTCTTTCTCTTGACATGGAATGTAATTTCGCCAACTGTGACCTTTGTGACCTTTTATGGTAACATCAACATTTATGAGAGGTTTTGATTGTTTTTGTTCTATGCTGTGACATTAAGTTGGCACTGTAATGCCACCATGTAGTAGAGAATAGATTGATTCTGTCTCAGCTGTTATTTCCACTATGTGTGAAGAAAGACCAAGACCTTTTGCTATTATGTGCTGTAAAGTCAGCAATAGATTCTGCAATCAAACTGTTACGAACTTGAAATATTTTCTGATGCTTTGAGCATCTGAGTTACAGTTGTGTGTTTCACATCTTAGCAGTTGGACATATTAATTTGGTATTAAGTTACATTAAAATTTCCATCAGTTTCATCATAGGTATTAATAGTAAAAGCTCTCACTGGAATATGCAACCATATATTGTTCCTGCTGATACAGCCATTGAATGCGGAAAAGGATCTGGAGACTTGCATTTTGTTTAACTAAATGCAGAGCTAAGATTTTGATGCATTGCTGAATAGTTTCTGAATCTTAAGGTTAGTCAGGGTGCAACTTGTGACTGCCTCATGATTCACTGTATTTAATCAAATCTAAGGTAGCCTTGAATCTAATTCAAAGATGGATTTTAGAGCTTGGTGAGGAATTCACAGAAAACAACAAAAACTTTTACATAACGCGCTTCTTGTAGGTGATGACACAGAGCATTTCACAGCAGCAGGGTTAGATGTGGAACAAGGAGTAGGAGGTAACTATAGGTGAAGTTGAAGAGGTAGGTTTTAAGGTGGGATTTAAAGATGGATAGAGAGAGTACGAAGCAGAGGTTTTGAGGCAGGGAGTCCCAGAGGTTAAGGGAGGAGTGACTGAGGGTTTGTCCTCCGATGGTGGCATGGAGGAGCAAGGGTGTCACAGGGGGACAGGGCCTATCTCTCTGACCTCCTTCAATCTTACTTCCAAAAAAAAGTGTATTGAGCTATACACACCTGGAAGTATATTGATATTGAGTCATATATAATACACAGAACATTTTACCAAAGGTAGAGGAGTCACTAATAAAGCCCAGTACAATCTTCTATGTAATGCAAAAATTTTTGGCATGGGATCAAGGCAAATGGAATGCTGATACAAATACAGTAGATGTTGTCTTCACTGCTAACATTTGGTTAAGGCAGTAGTGGCTAAGCTGTATTGGTTGGCCAACAAAATAATCATAGAAATAACAAATAGCATAGATTCATGCAATAAATCAATAAATCAATATTCAATCAAGAAACATTGATTTTGTTGGCCCACCAAAGAGGATAGCCACCACTGGGTTAAGGGATTATTTGTGTTTGATTATTTTCCTGCATGTGTCCCCATTGTTATTTGTGGCTATGTCACCTTCACAAGAGCAGCTTTGGTACAAAACAATGAAAAGTGCTATAACTGAGCCAAAAAGTGCAATTTGCTCAAACTTGGACCGAATCAGAAATTTCCTTTGCAAGTATCCTTAATCTAGTGTCCAATAGTATATTGTAATTACTGAGCAAGGGAATGTCACTGGAGAACTGGATTACATTTGTATATTCAAAGCACTCTTAGTAGCCTTTAAAATGAAGTTTTAGGTGCTCTACATTATTGTGGTTGTGAAGTCCTGTGGTTAGACCATTCGTCTTGCAGTGAGAGACCTGGGTTCAAATCCCGGCAGGGCAAAATGTTGGGCAAATTTCCTTACTCCACATGCCTCTATTTACCTAGCAGTAAGTAGGAATCCATTTGTTAGTCGATTGGTGGATGACTTTTCCGGGGGTAATAATTCCTTCAAAAAAAAAATTGTTCACTTCAATCCACGACTGTTTGTGGGACACTGCTGTGCACACTTGGCTGCCGCGTTTCGGCTGCAAAATATACACTCAAATCACTTTACTGTGTATTCTGTGAAGTGCTACTCTGCAGTGTATCCTATGAAGCACTTCAAGGCGTGTCGAGATGTGATAAGTCGCTGTATCAAATCCAAGAATTATTACATTCTGTCTTCAGAGGCTATATGCCCCTTTGCTAATGAACCACGTTGATATGTCTGAGAATTGCTGTCTTCATGATGCGAGGTTCCATTCTAAGACATTAGCAGTAGCATGAAGAAAATGCTGGAGTTGTGTCATGGCTGTGTATCTGGACTATGAGCAGCTCTTTCTCTCTGAAATCCACGAGCATGCAATTACGGGATTCTGGCTCAAATGCGATTTCATTGCATAGGCAGAACTTAACCTTTTTAAAAGAAAGCCCAGAATTAAAAACAATAAACCCGTATCATTACAAGTCTCGTGCTCTCAGTTTTTTTTTAAAAGACCTGACCCATTCGCCTTTTTCAAGTTTTATATTCTCCGGATCCTCTGGCTGCTTTTTGGAATGATTAATAAGACTCCACTATGGGAGGCCTGTTCACAGAGATTACAGAAGTTTTTTTTGCTAAACCTAAACTTCTTTCCTTTGTTTGCAGAATTCAATAAACGATGGTGCACCCTGGAAGGTGGATTTCTCAGTTATTATGAAAGTGACAAGTCGGCCACTCCCAACGGAAGGATTGATATCAGCGAAGTTGTCTGCTTAGGAGTGAACAAGCCTGACCTCACGTGGGGTACTGGGTGAGTACTGTGAACTGTAATCACTTTTGTGTGTGTGGTTTGGATTGGAGATGGAATTCCCTGAACTTCAAGTTCTGGATGACTGAGAGAACAAATTATTCTGCGACCTGGCAGTTTAATGTAGCAAGCGAGACCTGGTTATTAGTGGTTGGAGTTGAATCAGCACATTGCTTGCTGATGACACAGAGAGGGTAGAACTTGACATTTTATTAAAATAATTTTTTATCCAGTTGGTCTTATCCCTGGTGTTCTTGTGAAGCGACCATGTAGTTTTATGAAGTGTCTAATCCATGTGAAACAGCGAAGATGCAACTGTTCTTTTTTTCCCCAGTTGGCTTAATCTTTGCTTTGAGATGATGTAAAATACTTTTTTTTATAATGTTTTAAATGTATTCCTGATCATGCAAATTAATTTTAAGTGATATTCTGGTAACTTGAGTGCCAGGGTGCTTATAGTTGTAAAATTCCCGACTGCTGCTAATTGTGTTCCGTGCTGCCGCTTCTTTTAATGTACTCAAGGAAGTTTTAATGTCTGCAAAGGGATTTTGTAGATTTAAGGTGAAGCCTTTTTATTATAACATTGTTGTTCATTCTAAATTCAATCATAATGCTCTGAGGCAATGTTGACATGTAGTAGCTGTCAGAGATCTACATTAAAGAAAATCTACACACGCTTCTCTTGTGCGTATAAAATTGCAAAGTTGTAAAAAATTCATGATCCCAAAGCAAAAAGTTCCAAACTTGGTGGATTTAGAGTGTGATTCTTGTAATGCTTTCATAGAATTTGTTCTATTACCCTAGACGCTACTGGAGATGAGAATCTTAAGTCTGTGTATTGTCTAATTTTGGGAGCATCATAAATATATAAATTGCTATGATATCCAGTATATCTACTCTTCTTCTCAGCACATGAATCCCTTTTGTAATGTTAAAAGTTCAAGTATTCATTGTTATAGTGGAGAGTTGATTGTATCTATCAGTGTATTGCAAAGTCTTCCTGAGGGCATCTGCAGTAATTGCACCCTAGTTCTATAAGGCTCCTTAAGTTTCCATAGAGAAGGAATAATTGCCATTTGAGGGTAAACTTTATTTGTATACTTACTTTGGGACCATCATTTACTCCACTGTACAAAATATTGTGATGTGGTATTGAACATGAAATTCTTAATGTCAATTATTTGAATTTGGGCTCAGTGATGGCGAGTTTTACACAGCAATCAATATACTTTATTATCCAGACGTCTTGGTTCAGATTGTGTATACAATAACACATTGGTGAAGATTGAGGGGAAAAAAGGGAGTCAGAAATTAGTCCAAAGAGAGCATATATAAGCACACCAATTTTATGGGATAGATGTTCTGCACAGCATCACTCTTGTGAATGTGCCACTTTGAACTTGATGAATGCAAGGCTTCTTGAGTAGATTATTGACAAAGGCCCTGTAACTATAGTTATTGGAAAAAACAAAAGGTGGGGGAAATAAATCATCTAGATTTATGTTGGCGTGACTATGCATCACATTTGTACTTACAATAAAGGTTGTGTTCAGTATCAATCTCTGAAGAGCACTCCCCCACCAAACATAGGGTAGTATGACATTTCCTTCTAAATTGTAACCTCCCACGTGAAAATGCTATTATTGTGATTCATGGGCAGTTTTGTACTGTGGCTTTGAACGAACTAGAGACTGGGTTGAGAATGCTCAGATTCATTTCATTTAGGATGTTTGCTGCTGGCAGAGAGCAGAGATTTATAATCCCATCAGTCTGGATTGGATTCATCTCTGTCCCCAAGGTGAAAAGTCAATATTCCACCCTTTCACATTATGTAATTTCCTAAATTAACATAAATTCAAAGTGTAACTAAATTTTAAGAACGACCAGATTTGAACAAAAGCATTAGGAGCGATGGAAGAAAAAATATGCAAATCTGCAGCACAAAACTGCCTACAAATTTGAGCGTTAAATTGATACACTCATTCAGAGGCCATTATGATGGCTGATGCAACAAATGAAAATATCACATAGAATGCACAGGCCATAGAAATTATTGATTTTACTGAAATCAGAGGCTAACATGTTATGAAAGTTGACCATTAAATTGCTTTCAGTTTGAATGGGAGTGGATGAAGACAGTCTTTTGTTACAACCCCTAATGAACCGCACACAAACTGCAATGCAAAGCTGAATTTTTAGTGTTAAGTTTTACGATGAAAACACAAAGCTATTAGAAGTGGGTTAATTAGATAGGGACAGCATGTTTCACTAGCACATTTAAGATAACTGAAATGTGAAAAAAAATCTCATTTGGAGGGGAACTAATTGCATTTCACATACCAAAGGAAAACAAAAAGATAGAGAATAAACAGACTGTGCCAATCTGCCTTCCTGCAGTTCAGTGCAGTGCAATGCTCTTTGTAAAACTTAATAACCCAAGTTTTAGATAATACTGTTTAGACAGGAGAATGATCAGATAACATCGAGTATAACAGTGAGGAATTATTTTTTCATAAGAAAGTTTAAACCTTATTTATTATCTGTTCAGTCGTGCTGCTACAGAAACAGTAGTCTCTGACTGTGGTGTGCCTTGTATCTTGAGGTCATGGTATGTCATTTATGGTTTTGCCTCAGTAATTATGAAACTGTATAAAACATGCTGCTTACAACTTGTTTCATGTGGAAAATAATACTCTTGTATGACTCCCACATTTGTAGTATAGTGGGATAATAATCATATTGAAATGCCAACAAAAAAATTACTAGATAATGCTATATTTGAAATTGTACAAACATCTGAATTATTCAATACAAGGGCTGTGACATGTTGCAAGAAATGTCTCCTGTTTAAAGTGTGGTGTGTGCATGGAATCATCAGTGTGCAAAGCCATTACATCCTCCTGTGCATGTCCGATTGGTTCAGTTACAACTTTGAAGGTGGATGCAGTAAATCCCTGTTTAACAAGCACTCTGCTATAAGGTGGATTTGATTATAAGGAATATGCCTTGTGGATCTGCCCTATTGACTTTGTGCTGTGCATACAATACAAAATCACATTTGTATAGCGCCTTTCACATCGGGAGGACGTCCCAAAGCCGCTGGACAGTCAGGGATTTGGACCCGAGCTGGGGGTCGGGATCAGGGAAGGTGGAGGTCAGGGAGGGTAGGAGGGTGGCCGAAGGCTCGGTCGAAGGGGAGGTTTTTGAGACTCACCTTGAAGGAGGCGAGGGGGGGAGCGAGGTGAAGGGAATGGGACGGAGTTCCATATGGTGGGGGCAGAGTGGCTGCATGATATGTACAGGAAGTTTCCTGTGCATGGATGCCATGCATATGTGCAACATATGAATTGGTGGTGACCTTTTAGTGCAATTAATGCACTAGAATTTTAGTGCAGGAAGCCACATATGCAGCGACGTCCCAGGTCGTGTGATCAGCGACATCACCATGCAGGAGGGCTGACTTGTGGCCATTCTTGATCGTGCCCCTTTATATGGTTTTGTAATTTTGTGAACTACTGCCTTTAAATGGGATTCTCGTGTTTTAGACTGAACAACACCAAGTTGCAGAGATAGATATGTCCTACTCTGATCTGCACTGAAAACCTTTGCCTTGCAAATGTGATGGAGTCCTTATAATGAGGGTTGAACACACATTAAAATGAACGATGACCTCTATATAACTTTCTAGCTCTCAGCAGGACTGGATTGGGTTGCAAGCTTTGTCTTCTGGTAACACCAGATCAATTCTTTCCTTTATAGTGTCATTTGTTTTGCTTAGAGTGCCAATAGTTTAACTTTTGGAAGTGATTTGTGATTCCACATTAATTATATTTAAATCATAATTAATTTTGCAGTTATAAAAACACTGTTTTAATTGAATCAGTTCAAAAGCCCCACACTTCACATGCACACCAAGCAAATAAAAACAAGAGGTGATTTTCACACCAGATTTAACAGGAGATATAAATGGTGCCATTGAGCTGCTGATGATGGTAAATAGCAATGTTTTGTTTGTGAAGGAAACGAGTGGCTTGATATTCTTGCAGGAAACTTCTGTGTTCATTATACAGCTGCAATGCCCAGGATGGTGGATTACTCTTTCTCTTCTTGTATTTCACAAAGTGCATTAATAAAAACTTTAAGCTTTACAAAAGATGTTAAGATAATGAACTTCTGATTGTGCAGCTCAGCATTACTGACTCTATTCCTTGTTGAGTCAGCATCTTGCTTGATCTACAATACTCCTTGGAAAGGGCAAATCTGAACGCTGGGAACTTGAGCAGTTTTGCAATCGAATAATCTTATCAATTATTGAAAGCATTGATGGAATATGCACTTACATTTAATCAAATAGTAAATAGCACAGTTCCTGAATAAATGTGCATTCAGCATTTTATTGGAAATGTGTTGGCGTCAGTGTCAGCTCATTCAGATTCTGCTGTTTTAACCATTAAATGCTTCAAGGGTACTTCAGTAATCAGAACCACATCAACTGTATTTGTTGTATCTAAACATTACATGAATATTTCAGTACAGAACAATGAGTGCAGGACTATATGGACACTGTTTGGTACAAAATAATGAGTGCAATTCCACATGCATATTGTGTGATATAGAACTGCAGTACTATATGGACACTATAATATAAGACAATGCGTGCAGTTCAATATGGATATGATGCAAAACAATGAGTGCAGTACTATACAAAACAGTATAATGCAACACAATGATTACATTTTTGTCACAAATATTCATACCTGAACAATTAGTTGGTTATTTAGTCCAGCTCTGAAGTTAACCTAGTGAATGGAGGTAGCAAATTCAGAATTTTTTCACTCCCTTATCAGTTTGACGTCCAGGAGAGATGACCAGTAGAAAACTTTTTCTGTATGTGTTTATGGAGGAACACCTTCTAATTATAATATACCTGGAGTTCCTGATAACCAACAGGCTTTCTCATTTACCAAATGTTCTTTACAGCTGTTTAAACAATGATAAGTTTTTTTTTAATGTCATCATTATCTTTCAGCAAATAACTGAAAATATGAAAAGGTTATTTTAAATGAGAAGTACATTAGCAAAGCAGATGTATAATTAGCATTTCTCAAGCTTGGTTAGCGATGTAGTGTAACTATTGATATTGTTAATCAAGCAGGGTTAACTCCTTGAATATTATGTTGATTTCTTTGCATTCATTTTTTGCACATACAATGGCCTTTGCAGATTTCAAAGTGGGCATTTTTTATCACATAATGCCACAAGTGTGGGCTTAAAGTTTCTAATTCTGAATTTTTATAACTGCACAGAACCACAGCGGTGTTCCATTCAAAGCTTTGAACAAACATAATAGATAGTTCAAATGGTTGAGCATCAGATATGAGATCAGAAGGTTTTGAGTTCAAGATCGTTCGCTCATTTGCCTTGGTTGTGTTAGGTTCATCCCCCTGTGGATTGGTAGATAGTAATCTTTATGACAAGGAAGCATTCAATCTCAATAAACAGGTCTAACAAAACTAATTCAACTCACTTACCTTGACTCACACATCCTTGACATTGCTGAGCATTCACAGAGCAGTTTATGAAGAAGTTTGCTGACTAAACTGGGTTGCATGGTAAAAGAAAGGCATGCATCATAATAATAATCCTTGCATTTGATGCAGTGCCTTATCACATCTTCAAGGTGTCTCAAAGCTTTTCAAAGAATATACTGTAAGGTGAATTAATTGTGTATTTTCTGGGCGATATGTGGTAACCAATCGCGCACAGCAGTGTCCCACAAACAGTCATGGATTGAAGTGACCAATTTATGATTTTTGCCTTATCATGCCAAAATGTCAATTAATTAAGGTACTTTCAATTGTAGTAAGTTTGTAGGCTAACCATTTACACCAGTAAGTTTCCACTAACAACCATGAGATGAACGATCAATTAAACTGGAGAATTGTTAGCTGGAACATTGGAAGAAATTCCTTTCGCTTTTTAATTGTATCATAGGTCCTTAACATCAGACATTAGGTGATCTTAGCTCGTTGCTCTGGAGAGGTTCAGCCTAAAAATATATTTAATGTGGAATCTGATAAGCCAATATGTACATTCAATGGTGGAGTTTTGCTTCAGTATAAAGTACTTTAAAAAAAAGATACAGCTTAAAGCATTAAGACTTGAACTGTAGCTCCTGCTGTCATATTGCAAAGATCTAATGCTCTTTTTTATTTTCATTTGCTTCAGGGTTAGTTATACATTTGAGATGTATTTGCTGTCAGAATGTCTCTTTTCCTTCGGAACTGATAGTGCTGAAACTCTAAAAGACTGGACACGGGCAATATGCAAGGTGAAAACAACTTTTGGAACATCATTTCAGTGCTAAGTGAGGCAGAAGCCTTGTGATGACTGATATGGGAATTTATATTTGCATGTTGATTACCATTGGTATATGTGGAATGGATTTTTCAGCTCTTTGTAGCAAAGTTACAGTTTGCCACATACATTTCTAAAGTATGCTAAATTTTCCTTAACCTTATCTGAACCCACAAGCATACAGACATTACGATGCACATCATGCTGTGCGTAAACCATTGAGATAAAACTCTCGGATTTCAGCTGTTCTAAATGGATTTTATTCTTCAATAGTAATAATAATCATAAAAAGTAAATGTTTCAAAATTGACAGACTTCATCCTTGAGTCCCAGGCAAGACAGAATCTGCAACCTGAGTTATGTTGGGTGATATCAAATTAAGATTGACTGAGTGACTTTGTTACTCTGACTTTTTCATTCCTGATGAACTGCTTGATCATGGCCAACTTCCCCAACGGAAGATACTGATACAAACGTAGAAGTGAACGCCATTAGGTGCTGTGTTATCTGATCTCTCCCAGAGTAGCTGGTCAGGTCCTGTGATTGGATGAAGGAGAGGAAAGGGAGCCAGGGTTCCCACACCAAATCCAAATCCCTATCTAGAGCCGAGAACTGGCAGCAGCATGCCCATAGACTTCTGTTAGTTAAGGAAAGAATCTGGATTGGTTGTCATGCCCACTGTTGAATGACTTATCACGACACAAGCTATTTATCAAGTGATTAGTCTAGTACATTCATCAGAGGTCAACTTACAACTAAGGAACCATGCTCTAGTACAAAGATGGGGGAAGCTAAATGTCATCAGGATAGACTGAAGAAAATCTTGTATAAGTAAAATTGATGGAGGAAAAATATAGAGATACCATATGTCTTTTTTATATGAATCAATCATTACTGTATAATATGCTTCCATTGAAGTATGAAGCTTTCTAAAATGAGGAACCGAATCTAGATTACTTAGATTATTCATCAAAATTATGGGAGTTTCTCAACATTTTATTTCATGTGTATATATATATAGGCTGAGTGTAAATTTTCTGATATTAGAATCACCCATCAATCAATAAACTTATTTCTATCTTCTATATAAAACTTCACTACTATATGTGGGGAGGCATAAGTAAACTTTACTGTTTATAGAGTCTATAGATTCCGGGATGCTACCCTGTGGGAAGGGCCACTATTTAAGTTGTTGTATATATTTTTCCTCCATCAATTTTACTTAATCAAGATTTTTTGCAGTCTATATTTAACTTCCCCCATCCCTGTACTAGAGCATGGTCACAGCAGCCTAGGACATCTTTTTGACGTGACGAGTGCTGTACAAGTGTAATTTGTTGTTTGAAATTGAATTTCAGCTCTACAATATTGATTTTATAAATTGAAAGTCTTTAATAGTTAACATTAAGATTCTATTTTATGTTGTGTTAACACATGAAAAATTTACTATTGGTATGTGTTTCCTCAGTGTTGGTTTCGATAAGTAGAAAGATTTCAGTTTTGTATATCTTAACTAGTTGAGACAGATGCAAAAGTTTTTTCTAAACACAAAGACCCATAATGAATGCATTTGTGCCACTGTCTGCCTAACATAAAGACATATCGACAGTCTAAAGTTGCAATAATCCAAAAAGATGTTTTGTTACACAGCTCTGCACAATGCAGGTTGCAGTTGAATTTTAGTGGATATTATAACATCACTATAATTATTCACGTTCTCTTGCTGTCTGTCATGCTTAATATATCTGCAGAATTGCTTTACTGTATTTGTAAATGTGTAAGACTGACACAGTCAAATTAGAAAATGAAGAAGTACCATTGAAACCTGTTTAATTCATTCCATTAAATATAACACATGTCCTCATTTTATTGATGTTTTAAGATTTATTTTCCAGATATACCAATGTAAACCTCTGTGGTGTAAATTGCTGTTGATTGACCTTCTGTGCGTTCCAGTGTTTTATTCCTGCTGTGGTAGAAAACCTGTTAAAGAAAGATTACGAGTTGATTGGTCGGCTCTACTACAAAGATGTGCATAATTTGGAACGCTGGAGTGCAGGCTGGTTTACTTTAGAGAAATCGAAACTCTGCTTCTGCCCTGAGCAGGATGGTGCTGAAGAGGATTCTGTGTATTTAAAGAGACTGCAGGAACTTAGTAAGACTTTAACATCCTACACTCACTCGTTTGCTTATATAATAATAGTAAATAATAGTAATAATATTTGTGTTTGGTATAATGCCTTGTCACATTGTTGAAACATCTCAAAGCACTTCTTAAGATTTATTGTAGAGAATCAGTGACTGTATTTTATAGGTGGACCAGCAGAAAATTTGTGCACAGTAAAGTTCCCCCAAACAGCCATGAAGTGAATGACCAATCTTCTTGGGAATTGTTGGCCCAGAGAAATTGCCTTCTGATTTCAAAAAGGGTCATGTGATCTTTAAAGTCCACTTGAACAGGTGGAAGGGGCTTCTGTGTAACATGTTATATGAAGGATAGCACCTCTGACAATAAGGCGCTCCTCCAACATTGCCCTGGAGCATCAGTCGAGATTATTTTCCCAAATTCATGACATGGAGCTTGAACCTACAGAGACAGAACCTGTCTCAGAGACAGCATGTTATCATCTGTGCCAGGAGTAAAGGGTATTAAGAATTCAATGTGACTACTTTGGTCCTAATGGTGAAAGGAACCCGAACGGTGACAGATTTTCTACTTTCCTCTTGTTGCTTCTCCCATTTGGTGCTGTTCTTGCATCCTTGTATTTTCATCCTTGCATTTAATATAATTCCTTATCACGTTCTTCTAAACATCTCAAACCTTGCCAGATTTCCCTTCCTTTACTAAGATCTAATAAATATGAAGTACCCTATTCAGACCAGTGGCCTAAATAACTGCAAACATTTCTCCTCCTGGAAAGACAGATAATCACAAAGAAAGTGGTTTAAACTCACGAGTCCTAGATTCTAACATCAGTTCTCCTGCCAGACACTTGTTCTTCCCTCCACTAAATTTGAGAAGGTTGTGTTTGAAGAATTGTACATTCCTACTGAAATTTGCTTTAGTAAAAATGTCTTAAGTAATTGTGAACATTTTGCATTGTAGAAATCTGGCCCTTGTGGGATTTTAGAACCTGGACGATTAAACTTGTGTTTTGTGTAGTTTTGTCTTCATCTCCTTTTTGGATTCAGCATCGATTTTTAAATACTAATTGAATATGTAAAGATCTGTACTTACAGCAGCAAATAGAAAAGGCTGTACATACTTTATCTGTAATAAAATTCAAAACCTGTGAATTGTAGTAGAAATGTTTCTGACAAGTTTTTGATCTCTGAAGAGAATTTTGGCTTGTCTTTGCTCAGACATGTGTTTAAAAATGACCAATTTGTTCCTTTTGTTCTATTCACAGCTGTCACCACGCAGCTTGAACACAATGAGAAGAAAGACGTCTTACTGCTGGTAGAAAAAGGAAGGTAGAGATCTTCTTCAATTCATCCTTATTTTTGGCAAATGTCAGTGTTACTGGGTATGCTAGGTGCTAGACTTGTTGAAAGTTCTGCAATGTACAAAGTTAGCAATACATATATACAGCAATAGTGTAAAATGGCATCTGCTGAGGCACAACTGAAGATCTCGAAACATTTGCAGCTTTTATATATTCAAAAAACTAAACGTTGAAAGTACTGTACTGCCCATTGTCTTAAGAAGCCCCAAATTACATTTTGAAATATTGCATTAAGTACGTTTGTCAGAAATCACAGAAAGTCCAGGCCTTTTCTGGGATAGTATTAATATATTTTATTAAATATATACAGTTGCATACATACTTTATTAATTTAATACTTTATTACAATTGAACAGTTGTATTTAATACAGCTGGGCATGTATTTTATTCTAGCAGTTCAAGCAGTCCTTGGTTAATATCTGATTGCTTTCCGTACACTGGTGTTAGTGTTATAGTATTATTAATTATTCAGTACTGTCATCAAAACTATGAATGCAACAGATTAACGTAGTCTGAAATCCTCAATGTGATTACTACTGATGTAGTCATTATTAGGTGTCCTTTATTCTCTGCTTCCTATATACTCACGATTATTCATAAATTTCCAGCAAATAGTTCATGCCATTAATCCTTCATTGTGGATATCAGCAGAGTCCACTGGAGTTCAGCATCCATCATTAAACCCAATACTAGCACAAAATGGGAAAACTGAATAAACCCAAACCTACAAGCTTCATAACGCGTATTATATATGCATACCGGCTATCAGCGATGCCACAAAACTAATCTCACTAAGGTGTTCAGATACATTATAAAACTTGAGGAATGAATTGCAAGTGTAAGTGAAGTGCCTGTTGAGGTGAGGTTCATTGTCATGTAATTTATTTTGTGAAAGAAATGATCAACATAGCATTTATTTAGTGCAAATAAATTCCATCTGAACTGTCACACCAGTGGTCTGGAATGTGGTTTATTTCAGCAGCAGCTGTAATGTCAGCCAGACCAATCTGTTGCATTGATGTTCAATGCCATCCTTGATGAAAGATTGGTGATATTGTCATAGCAATTTAACTTTTAGCAAAAGACTAAGACATACCATTCCTTCAAATATTTGGTGCGGCTACATTGAATAGTTTCCAAGACTGTGCTCTTGATTTATAGTTCAGTTGGCTATAGGTTATCAGTCTAATAATGTTCCTTCCAAAGTTATAGAATCTCTGTAAACAGAGAAACCCTTCGAGGTCTAAAAGTTTGTTTTAACCTTGCAGAACTTTGTACATGCATGGCCATACAAAGTTGGATTTTACAGTCTGGCACATGGCCATCAAAAAGGCAGCGGGCACAGATGGCAATGCACTGCGAGACCAGCAGCTCAGCAAAAATGACATTCCCATCATTGTGGACAGCTGTATAGCATTTGTTACACAGTATGGTAAGCAACCTCATTTTAGAACTACAGAATGTCACCGTGAGTCATATCTATTTCCTTCTTTAATGCCAAGAGCTATTTTCTCCATATGCTTTATAGTTGGCTTTGATTTTTTTTGAGAAAAATTGTGAAACATAGATTTAAATGAAGAGATCTAATTATTTCAACTACACTTCATTAATTGTTCCAAACAGCCAGTTTGATGCTGAAATAAACATTTTCAGTCATTTACCAATCACAAGAATGTCCTTTGGTCTATTTGATCTCGTCCTTCCAGAACACCCACCCTGTGATCCTCCTGTTCAGCATTGAGCTGTTTTTTGAATTAGTCCCCTGTTCTGACCTCCACCACCATTCCTGGGAACCTGTTCCAGTTGTTAATTACCCTCTGGATAAATAAATACAACTTCTATCCTGAAATTGCCCTTTGAAATCCTAAATTTGTATCTTCTTGTTCTGCTGTCTTGATATATCTGAAAATGTGCAAGCCACTGTTTTTCTGTGTTTACTTTCTCAAACGCATTTAAAATCTTACATACATCTATAAGGATCTCTTCTGAGTTTTCTCTTTTCAAGAATGAAATGCCTTAGCTTATCTAATCATTGCTCAAAGCTCTTTCCTTAAAACTGGGGATCATCACTGTGGCTCTCCTCTGCTTCTAGACTCTGGGCAATCTCTTATGTCCAGCAACCAGAATGTCATGCAGTGTTCCACGTATAGCCTGATCAGAGCACTATATAACTTGAGTATGGGATCTGAATTGTACTGATTTGACTATATAACTTGGTGTTGTCTGTAAATGTAACTACCTTACATTGGGTGTACAAATCCAGGTCATAAATATACAGTATAAACACATCTCCGGTTTATTTGACTGGCCTTTGGCCATCTTCTCCCGCCCCCCCCACCCACTTAGATCCAACTCCCAGCTTGGTTACAAACCCCTGACTGTCCAGCACCTTGGGATGTCAAATAGCACATTCAATTTGCTATTGTTAGGGTTAACCTTTTGATATCTATTCTTTTTTGCAGCACTAAAAAATATCTAATATTTATCATACATATGCTCATATTTTTACTTCTTTGTTTCTCCTATCTCTCCTGACCCACTCCCATGCTTAAACCTACTTCTCATGCCATGTTTAGTGGACATAGGAATATTCTGGGCCTTCCCATAAGAGGCTAAGAGGCATAAATAACAATCCATATCAGTCAAAGAGGTTCTTTATGTGGGAAAGGGCATGTACATATTTTGGTATTGTAATGTGTCTGTCTCCCACCCCCCATTAACTGTTTAAGTTATGGGATGTCTAGACCAGGTCTAAATCTGACTGCTTAACAGTGTATGTGGAGAGGGGTGGCTGAAAGGTTTGGTCAAAGGGGTGCTTTTGAAGGTGGGGAGGGATGGAGCAATGCCGTGGCACTCTGGGATGGAGTTTGAGAGTGAGGAAGGAATTACTACGATGGAGTGGGCAGAGGATGTGAAAGTGGCCAGTGATTGGAAAGTAGGAACCAGGACAGAAGAGGTCATGCAGGTAGGCTGGGGCGAGGTAACAGAGGGATTTAAAAGTCAGGACAAGAAATTGCCTATGAGGTAGCCGTTCAAATCCAGGTGTATGGAATGAGAACTTAAAGCCTGGTCGCTAAAACTACTCGGCTGCAAATCAGTGAGCTATTCATTTTGGCACTTGTCTACTTACCCAGGTGAGGGGCAATTATGTTGAGTTGTACCTTTTTTCTACCTTTGTCTACATTTTAAGTACTCCTGTTTCTGTGCTACTCGTACTTCAGCTGCAGTGATGGAAGAGTATGTCCTACTTGCTCTGTATGACATTTCCATTTTCCACTCTGTCTATTCCTGCAGTCTGTCTCAGTGAGATTGTCAAATCAGTCCTGAATTATGGGCAATTTTGTGCACTTGAATTTGTAGCCACTGGGAATTGAATTGTGATTACCCGTCTTCAATTCACCAGGGACCCTCATCATAGTCACCCAAGAAGTATGTTTCGAGTTCCAGGCAACCCATTTAAAAGCATTTGATTTTCTTGTGTGTCAGGCTGCCTAACAATTGAGGATAACAAAATGCTTTTAGTTTTGTTGTATTATTTGCATATTTTACATAACTTTAGATAATTAATTTCAATTATTTTATCTGATTGCTATTGATGTAAATAACAATATCTATCTAATTTTAAAATTATATCTTCTAGAATCCCTTATTCTTTTGTTTCATTTTTGAGTGTAAATTAAGGACAAATGTGAACATTTGAGCAAGCCATCATTAAAAACTGTTAATCTGTCGTCATGAAGTGTAGAATCTATGGTTGTGGATAATAAATCAAGATAGAGTAAAATGCAAATAACTAGATTCTCAAAAAACAGAAATCTTTAGATGTATTGAAACCTGTATTAAAATATGATTTTTTAAAATATGTTTGTATTTTCATCTTCTTCAAAAATGTTACAGATTCTGTTTGTTGTGGACGTTCAAAGTATGAACATTTTTACCCCACGCCACACAACAATGGATTAATTGTCATTCAAACATTATCCACCAACACTTAAAGTAACCTACTTGTGGGATATAAATCCTATCCCTTATGTCTTCATAATAAGCGGACTGCAACAGACTATTGCGATCCATCCTGCCATTACAAGCAGGATTTGGATGACCAATTTACAATTTGGAAGGTTGGTGGTGAATACCTAGTGTTAGAAGGATGAGGTTAGTGTTGAGGAACAACAATTGAAAGGGACTCTTCAGAGCATACGTTTATGCTTCAGAGCATCTCGAATTCAAGATCCTCATCCTCACCTACAAGGCCATTCACAGCCTCGCTCCCTCCTAACTCTCCGACCTAGTATCCCCCTATCTACCTGCCCGTACCCTCCGTTCCTCTGGCTCCGGTCTGCTCCACATCCCCCGCCCCAACCGCCCTCCCATCAGTGGCCGGGCCTTCAACCTCTCAGCCCCCAGGCTCTGGAGCTCTATCCCCCAGTGCTTTCGCCGCCTCCTCCCTTTCCTCCTTCAAGGCCGGTCTCAAGACCTTTCTCTTTGACCGTGCCTTCAGCTCTCCTCTCAACTCTCTACCCCCTGCTCGCTCCCTCCCTTCCCTCCCCTCACCCTGACCATTTCCCCCCTCCTCGCTCCCTTCCCTCCCTCCCCTCACCCTGACCATTTCCCCCCTGCTCGGGTCCTGACCCAATTGTCCAGCGCTTTGAGACGTCCTCCTGACGTGAAAGGTGCTCTATAAATGGAATCTTCTTCTTGTTGTTGTTGTTGTAAGAGTATACAAAATGTAAGACAAAGTAAATCTGAACAATACTTTCAAATACACTAAGGGAGCAGTAAAAGTGTGTACAGGTCCAACATTGTGAAAGTTTAGGATAGATATGACCTTCTTCATCCAGACGTCTCTTATGATTTCGACAGATGTTTGCTTTGATATTCAAAGTCTATGTGGAAATGAAACCATTTACAAATCCTTATTGTGTTTCAGGGTGGAATGCTTTCACTATTGTGTCAGTCAATTTTGTGTAGTAGGTAGCACTCTCGCCTCTGGGTTGGAAGGTTATGGGTTCAAGCTACACTTAGGAACTTGAGCTCATTGTTTAGGCGGACACGAGTTGAGTACTGTAACATTGTAGGTGCAGGTCTTTAGGGTGAGATATTAAACTGAATTTCATTTGTCTCTTCAGTTGGATGTTAAAAATTCCATGAAACTGCTGTCTTTGAAATAATTCTCCCAGTGTCCAGGCCAACAATTCAGATTCATTGGTAATTCACCTCAAGACTGTTGGTGTGACCTTGCTGGCAAATTGGGACACTGCATTCTGTTTTCAACAATTGCACTTGACAGAAGCATTTGAGACATTTCAACATGACAAGTTGCTATAGAAATCCAAGTTCTGACTTTAAGAATTGAAACAAAACCACATGGTTTAGAAATTCATGTTCAGTTCTGTAACTTGAGTGCCAATAATTTTAGCCCTTAAAATGAGAAAATTGTAGCTTATATTTGTTCTGTTAAAGGTCTTGGGTACAATCACACACCAACTATTCTAACAATGTAGTCTATTGAGTAAATGTTTCAAAGGTCTTCATTTGGATAACAGACAGTCATTCAGAAAGAGTAGTCCTGTTTTTTGAGCCTGGTGATATTTCTGCAAGAACATTCTTTTTCCAGGCAGTAATGTGGACTATGATTGACATTGGGTACAAATCCTATGTGGTAAAGGTTTGTGTTTTATTCTCTGTTTGATCAGTAAAGTGACTGAGCAAAAATAAGAATAGATTATTTGCTTGTAGTGGAAAAATAATAATAATAATATGATAATAATAATTGTTGCATTTGATATAGCGCCTTATTATGTCTTCGAGACGTCTCAAAGCGCTATTTTGTCGGCACAAAGTAGTGTAGTGGAAATCTGGAACTCTCTCCCCCAAAAGGCTGTTATCCTGAATCAATTAAAATTTTCAAGATTGAGTTGGATAGATTTTGTTTTAGGTAAGAGTATCAAGAGATATGGGGCAAAGGATGGTAAATGGAGTTGAGGTTCAGATCAGCCATGATCTAATAGAATGACAGAATAGACTCGAGGGGCTGTGCTCTTGTGCTCCTACAACTGTTACTACGCTTTACAGTAAATTCTGTGAAGCATTTTGAGATTTCCTTCAAACATGAAAGGCGCAATATCAAATGCAAGGATTATTAGTATTATTAGTTTTGTCATACCACACCACAAAAAGGATTGCTGCTCAGTTTTCTCAAACATTGAAACAATATTTACAGTTTTGCTTAGGCCCGAATTGTGTGTTCCCCCCCCCAACCCAACCCCTTCAAGACTGTTCCCTCTTCTCCTGAAGGTGCTCATATCCTTTTCCTTCTACTGGAAGCACTGTTCTATCTGATCCAAGGCATCATTATTTTAGGTGTGAGATTTCAGTCTTCAACTGTATATGTTCGATACAAGGTGTGTGTGTGTGGGGGGGGTGCGGTGGGGGTGGGTGGGGAGGAGGTGGACTTTTTAAGAAGCTTAGATATTTCTTTTTATCCTTCAGGCCTCAATTGTGAAGGAATGTATCGGAAAAATGGCACACCATCACGGGTTAGCCAGCTACTGGATCAGTTTAGAAAAGATGCCAGAAATGTAAAGCTGAGAGCCGGAGAACATCAGCTCGGCGATGTGGCTGATGTACTGAAGCGATTCCTGTTTGAAATGGATGACGCACTGCTCACCAAGGAATTGTATCCATACTGGTTGTCTGCATTGGGTAATATAGCTTTGTATGCTCTGTGCCTATTGTCTATAGTTTCTATCTGTATAATGCAACTAATGATTTAGTTTGATGCAAAGTTTTAATGAGTATTTTATTTTCAAAAAGACTTTCGTAAAGAGATCGTTGTTTGCCTACAAAATACACAGTCACTACACTTGATAGTAAATCCAGTGAAGTGCTTTGAGACATCCCCCTGATGTAAAAGGCACTACATGAAATGCAGGGACCATTGTCATTCTAATGCTGGTTGAAATTTTGAAAATCGGCACTGCTCACTATTTATGTGCCCAGTTCATCTATCCCTGTGCTTTTTTATGCCAACTGACCATGAACATTTTGGGGGATTGAACTGATGTGAAAGTGAACTGCACTAAAGCACAGGTACTGAGAAAACATTAGGAGAGAATGGTTTCAGAGATCTGTCGATTTGCAGTGTTCCAGTATAAGTGCTTGCAGTGTAAATTTGCTCATATCAGTAACAGTTCTTGGAAGGTCAAAATGGAACTGCCCAGAATGTTTAAATTATGATTTTTAATGTTCACTTAAAGAGGTGTTCATGGAGCCACTTCTTTAAAATATTAAAACATACCTAGTTATTGATATGCTGTGAATCTTGTTCATGTGGAATCCTGTAGCTCAGTGGTTAGAGCACTCGCCTCACAAGAGAGACCTGGGTTCAATTCCTGGCAGGGTGAAATGTTGGGCAAGTTTCCTTACTGTTTACGTAGCAGTAAGTAGGAATCTGGTTGTTAGTTGATTGGCGGACAGCTTTTCCGGGGATAATAATCCCTGAAAAAAAGTAATAATTTGGTCACTCAATCCACGACTATTTGTAGGATACTGCTGTGCGCAATTGTCTGCCGCGTTTCACCCACAAATACAGTCAATTCACTTTACAGTATATTCTGTGAAGATATTGGTGCTTTAATAAGAAGTGATTCCTAATGACATTCCTTAATAAGGAAACGGCAAGTAGATGTCATTGACTTGTCAACCCCACCCCAACGTGGAGTCCTGTAGCTCAGTGGTGTAGAGTCCTGTAGCTCTGTCGTTAGAGCACCTGCCTCACAAGTGAGAGACCTGGGTTCAATTCCCGGCAGGCGAAACCTTGGGCAAGTTTCCTTACTCCACACGCTTGATAATAATGGCTCAAGAAAAAAAAGTCATAATTTGGTCACTCAATCCACGACTGTTGCTGTGTTTCTCCCACAAGTATACAGTCAATTCACTTCACAGTGTATTCTGTGAAGCGCTTTGAGATGTCTCGAAGATGTGAAAAGCACTACAACAGATACAAGTATTATTATTATTATGTGAGCCATCTTTAGAGTAGAGTTTCCTACACTAGAGTAACTACACTTGGCATTAAATTTAAGACATTTTGTCAAAAGACGCTATATATATATAAGTTCCTTGTTTGTTTTACCTGAGCTTTCTGTACCCCTAGCACAGCTGTCTTTGCCTAATGATAACATAATCTGTCTGTCACTCTTTATGTTAGAGTTTACTAGCTCTTATCTGGCCAGTTAGAATTGGTAATCCTGTTGTGCCGTCTGCACCTCATTAACTCCAGTCAGTCTTTTACAGCTCAAAGAAGACACTTTACAGTCGAGCATTATTTTCAGAACTTGTAATACACCCACACCAAGTCACTCATTTACAGATGTCCTTTTAAAAAAAACAAATTCTAGATTCATACTCCTGCTATATTTTTTGTGGACACGATGTGCAGAGAATTAGTCTTGGGTCTGTTTCAGTGTCCCATCTTTCAAACGCTGGGGGAACAGTCACTTTAAATTCTTTCATTAAATAATTTCACCTATTTAAACTTCAGAAACTTTAGGCAATACTTTTGTTGAGGTCTCCAACTGAATTTTTGATTTGAAAACTATATCTCAAACTATTTATGCCCTACTTTATCTGCACAAACATTGTAACTTCGCAATTCCCACTTTTTCACATTTAATAATCATTTCGCTAGTTTCTGGTTTGCCCCATAAATAATTTATATTAGCCCAAACCAAATCTTTTCATTTTATTCCCTATATCTACCACTGGGAGAAAAACATAATCTAATCCTTATACCACTCTAGACTTTTAAATTAAAACCTATGGCCCCCTAGTTCCTCCCCATCCCCCTGGCTCGGCCCCGGGATCCGTTACTGTGAAGCGCTCTGAGACACCGTCCGGCGTGGAGGGCGCTATATAAATCCAAGTTTCTGTTGTTGTTGTTGTAGTTCTCTGACTATGTCCATATCCAACAACATTATTTTGAACATTTGAATCATTTTAGTTATGTGCTTTGTGCCCCTCCTCATCCCTCCTTCAATCATTGTTCAATAAGGACAGGTTCAGATCTGAAATGATCTCTTCATAATTTAGCTCCATTACAATATACATTGCAATGTTCTTTTTCAGGTAAGGTGCCCAAAGCTGCAAAAGAAAATTCATAATGTAGTGTCGCCAGTGATTTATATCATGTTAGAATTATTTACTCTGAACTTCCAGTCAAATACTTTTGCATTTTGCTTTGTTCACAACAGCCTCAGCTTGACAGAAACCCAAGAGTCAATAGTTGCAACAAAAACCCTTTACATTTCTGCTGATATGGAGTCTTCATTTGACATTTCTTCACTTATCTACTTAATTTATCCAGATCTTGCATGCCATTTATCCCACTTAGATTATTCATCAGTCCCCATAGTTTGGTGTTATCAGTAAATGTTGTCATATTGCAAGTGTTCTATCCAAGTCATCATTGAATACTGAGAACAACAGGGAATCTAGGAACAGACCGTTATGGATCTCTGCTAGTCATTGCCCCAGGTGAAGCCTTTTCTATTTACCTTTGGCCTCCTAGTATTATGTTCCATGAGATTTAACCTTTAGAAATATCATATGTGGAATTTTATCAAGTGGCCTCTGATGGATTGCCATCATCCTCTAGATTAGATTCTTCGTCAAGAGTTTCAGTAGATTTCTGAGGTCCTTGATTCCATGTTGACTGCATTTTATAGCTTCTGTGATCTTTAGAAGAGCATTGAAAGGGTCTTGTAAAATGTGCTCAAGTATTTTCTCCATTATCAGATGTTAGCCTAATTGGTCTATATCTCAGTCTTGAATAATCGTCCAGCATAGTTCCACTGATAATAGTGCTAATAATCGGATAATAGTGATAATCTTGCATTTCTTTAAGAATCTAAGGGTGAATTTTGGCTCGCCAAGTAGACCTTTTAAACGTTTGAATTTCTTTAGGATTCTCAAAAGATGTGATAAGGCACTGTATCAAATGCAAGGATTATTATTTATTTATTGTGATTCTGATGATATCCATATTAGAAATCCTGGAGCCCAAATATCTGACTGTTGAATTTAACAACTGTTCCTTCTAAAAACTGATGGAAATATCTATTCAATATCTAAATATGTTTTCCTCACTTGTACTCGAAGAGACTAATTTGATGTCTTAAATGGTAACTACTGCTAACCTAGCAAGCAAAGAAAAATTGATCCCTCCTTGCTGCAAATTGTCTTTCCATTATTTTACTTCCAAAATTCCTTTTAACGAATCTAGTCCTCACTACTTTATGTTTCCTTGTATTGTGTTATGCTTGCTGGTTTCTTGGTATAATTTAAAATATCTAATTTTAAGAAACGTTACATGATGTGAGATTCACACCGCAAATCACAACGAGGTTCATAAATCACAAAGTCCCAGATTGCAAAGGTATTTCGCATGTACTCGGGGAACTGTTGCGTCAATTCACTGAAGAGAGAATTTTTTAAAAAAGTGCTTATACCACTTGAGACTTTTATTTTTTTTGATGTATGGAAATCTAGTCCTAGTATACTGAGAGTAGGTTTGCCATTCTATGAAGAGCTCAATCTCATTAAAGTAAGTTCAGCAGGCACCCCATGAGAGAATTCACAATTATATAAACCTGCCTAATAAGACAGAGGACGCTTTTCTACAGTGAGGTTTAAGTTATGGTATTTCTTAACAAGATAAGGAATGCAAGTCATGGGTAAATAGAAACTCTTTCCAGTAAACAAGAGTGTAATCTTACTTCCGAAGTGGAGTTCTACAGGTCAATGGAAGTTTCAGTGGTGTTCCTTATTAAGAATCTTACAAAGTAGAACAAATATGTTTCCCATATAATGGCGTGTGTAATTTTTATGGGTAGGATGAAGAGATCAGTGCATTGTTAACAATGGAACAGTGAGGTAGAGGGCATGTTTTGGGTCTTTTTGATGCCATGGCATTTTGTGAACTTTTTATGACTTGTGCAATCGTCTGTCAACAGATGTGCAAGATGAAAAGGAACGATTGGAAAAGTATCGGATGTTAATACAAACTTTACCGCGTGTTAACAGGGTCACTCTTGCAGCTCTGATTGGTCACCTTTACAGGTAGGCTAACATCTCTTTCACTTTACCATGAGCAGGAGCAGTGGCTGTCCTTATTGAGCATATTTCAGGTTATCCATGCACTAAATGGGAATGAAAGCAGATATCTGGTCCAGTGATGAATAGACACATTTAGAGGAACATTGCAACATTGCTGCAGCTAACAGGACCGTGACATCTAGGCAATAGTTTTAGTGCAACTTGTTCATTAATATTTCCTCACGCCTGTAGGTTTGTGGATAATCTGAAGCTCTTTTATATGTAACTGGTGCAGTCTCAATTTTATTGTAAATGTTTCAGTTTTGGCACAACCTCTTTCTTCCAGTCTATCGAGTGCCTTATTTTAGAGAACCCTTTGGTTGGCACAAGGTTGGAAAACTGGTGCATGAATTAATATACTGGAATGAAAAGGATGCCAATGTTGATTAGTCAACGGAAAAGATTAAGTACTTCACTCTGAATCTTTGGTGGACTTGACTTAGGTTATAGTCCGACATTGTCCTGAATTGAATTGTTGACAACAGCTTCACATGGTATGTGGAGAACTTTTTATTCACACTTCTATACACATTTTTAAGTTGGGTCTAATGTAGTTACAGATATCTTATGAATTCTACTACTTTTTGAATAATTACATGTTAATTCTGTAAGAATTTGCATGACAAATTGCTCTCTTTATACAAAAATCATAAGTCGGTGCCGCCTCTTAGGGAGGTTTCAATATGCTGAGATGTTTATTATCATTTCATGTTTTTTTTAAACTTTGTGAAATGTTACTCCTGGTATTGATATTCTCTGTATCTGTGACCATCTTAAATAAGGCATTAGGGACGGGACCATTTCAGTAATAATAATAATCCTTGCATTTGATATAGCGCCTTATCATGTCTTCGAGGCATCTCAAAGCGCTTCACAGAATATACTGTGTCCCACAAACAGTCGTGGATTGAGTGACCTGTTTATTTTTTTAAAGTAATATTTAGACTGGTTATAGCTTTTCATTTGGATGATGAATGGATCGGATTCCCATATGTTTATATTTTGGACTGAAGTCATAACTCGTATTGTTTTGATCTGCTTTGTGTCCCTAAAATTACAAGACCTTCATAATACTTGCTTTATTACCTTACATTTCATTTTCTGTTCTGAATTCCTAAGAAACTTATTTTGGCCTTTGCCTTGCTCACTTTGCATAAAGTGGCTGCCTCCAGGTTTGTTCCAGGTCTGCTTCTCTTATCGCGTAGTGCCAGCAGTCTCCCTTCTCTTAACCTTGTGTGTCAGTCTGGCTCAATGGTAGTATTCTAGTCCCTAAGTAAGAAGGTTGTGGGTACAAACCCGACATCAGGATTTGGAATCACATATAAGCTGACACCAATGCAATGTTGGGGGGTGTTGCATTGTCGAGGTGCTATCCTTCGGATGAAACGTTAAACTGAAGTCTCTCTGCCTGTTCAGGTGAACATTAAAGATCCCACATCACTATTCGAAAAGAGAAGGGAGTTTCTCCTGGTTTCCTGGCTGAAGTAAATTTGGTCACTCACTCCTTGGCTGTTTGTGGGACATTGCTGTGCATAACTGTATTGGACGTCTTGGACGTCCTCCCGACGTGAAAGGCGCTATATAAATGTAATCTTGTAGTTGTTGTTGTATTTCCTGTGAAGCACTTTGAGGCTTCTTGATGACGTGAAAGGCGTGATATCAAATGCAAGGCTTATTAAGAATGAACATCCTGATGAGACTGCATGTATTCTGTTGCTGCTCATTCAGAAAACTGAAGCTTGTCATTAAATCACTGTAAAAGTACAAATGTGTGATTGTGCTGAATCTAGCTGTCCCAGTTAAATGTAATAGGAGTAGACCCATGTACTACTTAGTTTTGAACACCAGAGAGTACTATCTCTTCATATTTCCCAGGAACCGCTATAGTTTGGGTTTTGTGCATTAAGTGCAAGTCATTGAAATGTCATCAGTTTTGTTCTGTTAAAACAGAACATTCTGTTTTACTGACTTTCCCTGCAAGTACAATTCCCCCAATATAGCTCAGTCTATCAAGGAGTACACATTCTACCGGATTGTACATGATGGGGAGAAAAAAGGAAATGAGACCATGAGGATTATATTATAAATATGAAGATATTTCCATGAAAAGTATATTTATGGAGTTTAAATGCATACTTGTTTTACTTGCAACAGATTGGAGCTAACATTTGATTTGTATTTAGAAATTTGCAATGTATTGATTAGGAATTGCCTGGATGGGGGGTTGGGGGGGGAGACAGTGCAGATTTTATTTCTCTCTCTCTCCAACCATAACCCCCAAATGTAAATGCAAATGTGATGCCATATGTCACCCAGCTTAGCGGATGGCATCATTGAGAATGCTGTAGGATGAAATCCCTGGTGTCAGATGCATTTTCTGAGTTTAAACCACATGAGTTTAAACCCAACAGTTGTTATGAATAATAATAATAATCTTTACATTTATTATGGCACCTTTCATGTCACGAAACTGCTTTACAGGAGTTACTGAATGACGTTATTACAGATCCTGCTGACTTTTTTTAACATATGCATATTATATATATTATATTTCCCCTTTCTACAATTTGATTTTATATCAGACCTTTGAATTAAAACCTTTTTCTCCTATTGAAAATGATTTGAGCATGAAATGAACTGCAAACACTTGCAACTGATCATGTATTGTGATGATCACGTGCACAGTAACATCATATGCAGTACCAGTAATCAGTATTGACAGAGCTCGGAGTTCCAAACCTGTTTGAGGCCTCTCCACTCTCATCAGGGTCATGCACACTCAACCCATTGCTGCCTCCAAACCATATCCGACTGTTTTCTACCTTCACAGTCTTTAAGTGCAAAACTTAACTCAGCGTGTAACCTGAAACCTCAGTTGGCACGATTGATATCCCTAATCCATGTCAAAATGAGATTCAGACTTCTCTCTGCAAATTGAAATCTTTTAATCAGTCAACCATGCATGTGAGGATGCAGTTTCACCTTTCCTTTTTATACTTCATTCACACATCACAGTTGAGTATCTATTAAAATACAATTATAAAGCAATCTACATATATTACAAACTACTCAGAACAGACCTGAACTGATGCAATTTTTTTAACTGTTTGATACAATTGTGTTATAGTAGCATCACTCCATCTTGTGTCATTGGCCCTTCAGCATTTCCGTACAGGATCCTTTTGTCACTGTTGTCCATGGTGGAGCACAAACAAATGGTGTGTGTGAATAATAATAATCTTGCATTTGATAGAGCGACTTATCCCGTCGTTGAGACATTTCAAAGCGCTTCACGCGGTCTACTGTAAAGTAGTGTGACTGTATATTTTGGGCGAATGTGTGGCTTTGGAAATTGGCTGTTTCCTTTTGTTTCCCTTCTAGCACAGGCCCATCGCCTCGTCACAAAATCACATGAGAGGTTTGGATGAGGAACGCCCTTTGGCCCGTCTGATCTCATGCGTCCAGAACATCCACCCTTCAGTCTTCCTATTTACAATATCAGATTGTTTCATGAGACCTTGCCTGAAACAGCCTTCCTCTAAAGCCACTGCAATTGTTAGCCACCCTCTGTGGAAAGTCAGTCTATTAGGAAGGTCAAGTCAAACCCTGTTATTAGGTGTGTCTAATATTACTGGTTCATTTAGAAATCTGATACCCTGTACCCACGGCCAGTGAACCAGCAGGCCTCATATATGTAATGCATGTGACGTTGCCAGCGACCTAAGGACTGGAAGCTGGCCAGCTCTGTGCACATGTGGAGTGAATGCGGAAGTGCTGACCAGAGATCGTGATCCCATTATAAGGCAGGTTTGCATATTGTTGACCCCCAACTGCTGCCCTTTTACAGGGTTCTACTTTATGAGAGTAATGGACGGAAGATATTGTCTTGGGAAGGAAATAAATTGAATTCCACAAGGTGTGGTGTACTATCGTAACACATTTTGGACTCGGATGCAATTTTATAGCTGACAAAGCAGCTCACAAAGGCAGAGAACATAAATGGTTACATTTACCTTAGTAAAAGGTTTTCTCAAAAGCTTTTTGCTCGAATCCTTGGCATTTAGATGAATTGGTACGTGCTGGAGACACTTTTCCATTTGGAGTTTTATCTGGAAACGTACCTTTATTTCCCGGGGTAACCCAAGAAATAATAATAAGATAATCTTATGCCGAAATGTCTTATAATTAATGCCAAGTGTAGTGACTGTTCTTGGAACTCTACTCTAAAGGTGGCTCACATAATAACAATATAACAATAATAAGCATTTGATATAGCACTTTTCATGTCTTCTAGACGTCTCAAAGCGCTTCACAGAATATACTGTAAAGTTAATTGACTGTATATTTGTGGGCGAAACGTGGCAGCCAATTGCCCACAGTAGTGTCCCACGAACAATCGTGGATTGCAGTGACCAATTTATTAATTTTTTTTTGAGGGATTATTATCAGGCATGTGGAGTAAGGAAACTTTCCCAAGCTTTCACCCTGCCGGGAATCGAACCCAGGTCTCTCGCTTGCGAAGAGCTACGGATATTTTCTGCCATTAACTACAAACAGTGCAGAAAGTGGAGAATACATATTTTGCACAAATACACTGGAGTTTATTGGTGTTGACCAGTGACTTGATCACTTTTTTCCTTTTTCTCTTTCTCTTTTTCCATTCTGTTCTTTCTGCTTCAGAAAGTACTGATACATTTGGGATTGATTGCTTTAGTTTCTTTGCTATTGCATTCTCTTGTATTGTGCCCAAAACGTTTTAGTTATCACATACTTTAAGTCTACTTGTCTCAGCTGTATCTCAAACCAGTGCAAACAGTTAGAACTGCACAACAAAGGGGAAACATTTCCACCTGGGTCTGAATTTACTTATTCACGTAGTATTTCAGAGCATCCAGAAAATTCGTAAATACAGCCTTATTTTGAATTCTGTTTTCTGTAAGTTTTTTTAAGTAACTATAGAAAAACAGCTTCATAGTTTAGACTGAATTCAACAATTTGCCGAATTCTAATATATACTTTGAAATGTTACATATGTAAAATAATTTTAGATCCAGGCAGAATTTTAACCCCATAAAAAGGTTATTGTGTCAGGTGTGAGAAAGTTCTTTGGGACTAGCTAGATGGAATACAAGGTCTGCTCCAATCCTGTCACGTTCATGTTCTTAAAGATTCTAAGATTTAAACATTATTAAAACAAAATGAAATAACCAATCCAGTTATATCATTCACCAGTTTGCAGTTTCTCCGGTATCTATAGTTTTTTGCTGCTGCAGTTTTAACATTTGGAGCTCCAGAAAAATTTGATTAATTGGATACAGATAGGTGATGACCAAGCCTTGTATTTAATGCCACTCATATCCTGATCGGAATTTTTTGATGAACTGATTTGTGAATTTTTATGTGCTCTTTTAAATTAGATTTTTTTCCCCTGCCCTCTTACGCTCCTTTCACAAGCTAGAAACAATTTTTTTTAATGTCGCTGAACCTCTCTTAAGCTTTTGGCACTTGCATATCAAACACTTGCAGAGCTATTGCTTTGAGTGATCCTTGGGTTTTGATTGTGGCCCAAGTCCCCAAAACCTGTACAAGCCATTGGAAGATTAATGTATTGTAATGTGTTAACAATGAAAGTCCAGTGTGAGATGCTTAAGTGCATACGTGTTCATTGCACATGTGGTGCTAGCTGAGATTTTGTGCAGACGCTGATGGCAATTCGTGTTTCGGGAAATAAATGTGGTGCATTGAATTTTCATGGTTCTGGTGATTCAGTACGATCAACCCATATAATTACTGTCAGTTTTCTGTGGAATGATAATGGGGATGGGAGTTCTATCCATCATTAGCACAGAATTGTTAATTAGCTTTTGGAGTAAATGACTTGGATGAGAGCATCACTAACATCGACGGAAACACTACTTTATTTAGACAATATGAATTGAAAATAATGGCTTTCAGAGATTTTACTAAATTTTTTTGAAAATCATGCACATGGCATTTGGGCTTAATTAAATCTCTCAAAGTCATATTAGAGGGAATAGATAGCACAGAGGTTGAGCACATTGTCTTTCCATCTCCTGATATGAATCCAGCCCAGATTGATTGCATGCAAATGCCTTCTCTCTCCTGGCTGCAAGGTTCCTAAGGGGAATGGATGATTTTGTGCAGCTTCAACCATTTCCTTGTAAGCACGTACAAAGCTGCCCAAAATGCAGCACAGGATTGACTAGTCTTTAGTTGACGCTACAGAGAGAGTTATTCGGGAATAAGAAATGTTGCAATGATGCTGTAGGGGGTGCTCTGAGATTGATAGTGCATTTCCAAGACAGAGAAGGTTTATTCTGGAACTGGCTCTTGCGATACTGGAGATTGCTTGACAGAGGCTGATACAAAAGTAAGGGGGTGGGGGAGAGATTTCAAATTCTTATCATCTTCAGCACAATAAGTCAGCTACTATTTGGAAAATCTAGAGGAACCTGCAATCAGGTGCTTTAAGGTGCTAGGTACCCAATCACTCACTACTCTTAAAAACAGAATGCAGCTTCTCCTGATGTCCTGGTCAACAATCCCGAGGATAAAATTAGTGATTCACTTAATGATTATGAATCTTTGCTGTGTGCAAATTGGCTGCTGCGTTTGCCTTTAAAATACGCAGTCACTATTCTTTACAGTCAATTCTGTAAAGCATTTTGAGCGGTCCTCCTGATGTGAAAGACGCTATATCAAATGCAACTATTATTGATAATTTAGAAAGATATGCAGGGAAATTCTCCAACTGAGGCATGTTACTGCTAGGTTATCTCTTCGGACGACATTCCCATTCTTGAGTTCTAATTCCAGACACGGTTTCCAGTTGCTTATTTTGTTACTGCCTACAGAATACTGGACGGAGTCAAGTTTTGTTGTACTGGGAAACCTACTGCTTTGCCTCAGGTCATTATAACCAAGAGGAATCATTTCCACTGTGACCTAGGGTCGTAGCCCTTACACCTACTTCAAATGTAATAACTTTCCATTTCTCCACAGAGTTTAGCAAGTGTTGCATTGGGTCATAAGGCTTGGTTTATATATGCCTACGTTGCTGCAATTCACTTTTAGTTTCTCCGAGTGTTCTGGCGAACAATTGTCTAGGTAGAATTGGTCATTCATGCTACTTTTGTTTGGGAGACATTTGCCTGCAAATGCACAGTCACTTCACTTCACAGCAATTACCTGTGAAGGGCTTTGAAATGTTTCGACATCAAATGCAAGGTTTATTGTCTGTTTAGCCTGTTACAATAAAATACAATGCAAATTTACATTTATATAGACCTTTCACTTTGGGAGGATGTCCCAAAGAGCTTTACAGTCCTGGCTTGGGGGTGGGAGCTGAGGGGGGTGAGGAGGGAAAGATGACTGTGACAAAAGGAGCAGTCAAAAGATGAAAGTCTTGAGATGGACCGTGAAAGAGGTGAGGAGGGAGCAAAACCCACTTAAAACGGAATTAGTGAAAACACAGAAAACCTGTTAAAATTGGTAGAACAGGTCATTTCTTCTGAACTTTACCAAGTTCCTCTGTTCATTTATGGCTTATCTTGTTGAATAAGATTGAAGTATTAATCGTCATTTTTCTTAATTTGTGCTTTGGGCTGTACATAGTTAGGCTCAACACTTGGTCACTGTCCTCAAAACCTATAACATTCCATGACTGAGTTGCTCAAATTATTTCTTTCTTCTCCAACAGGGTACAGAAATGTTCAGAAATGAATCAAATGAGCACACAGAGCTTGTCCCAGGTGCTTTCGTCATATTTATTCCAAACGGAGGGTCAAAATAAACAGGAGGAAAATGTCACAGAGGATCTTATCAATCTTTATGTTCGGCTCTTTGATGTAAGTGAACATTTTTGATGATAAACTGATAGTTTTCTTTTGGCTGAGCCATCATTGTTTTAGCAGTTAATTATTTCTGCAGAATTTTAATAAAAATAACTAATTTTCAAAGCAGACTGTTTTTGGCTTTAACTCGAGCTTTGAAACAAACACTGATAGAGTGGAGAGCCTGATATCCATCTAAAAACAAAAACAGAAGTTGCTAGGAACACTCCGCAGGTCAGGCAGTATCTATGGAGAAAGGAAAGTGAGTCAACGTTTCGGGTCCACAACCCTGCGTGAGAATTGGGGCATGTTGGGAGGGAGAGGTAAAAGAGGCAGAAGGGTCATGGACCCGAAACGTTGACTCACTTTCCTTTCTCCATAGATGCTGCCTGACCTGCTGAGTGTTCCCAGCGAATTCTGTTTTTGTTTTCAGATTTCCAGCATTGCAGGATTTTGTGTTTTGTTTTCTGATATCCATCGAATCGGGACTGGACTATTATGGATATGGATGCAGTGTGGCTATCGGGTCTCTTTTTTGGGGGTGTGTTTCTCCATGTTTATGAATATCTCTTTCTGCCTCTGTCTATTTTTAGTCTGCGTATCTGCATGTCTGAGTCTATTTTGCTCTTTCCGTCCGTCGCTTTCTTTGTCTCACTCACCATCTCTCTGTTTGTGTATGTCTCTCTCACTCTATAATTCAGTACATATCAGGAATAGATTGCTCCACCTCACACTGTTTGGTTAAATATTGTACCTACATGCATTAACTAAAATATTTTTTGCTTATTTTGCAACCCAAATTCACTTCCCTATTGGAGCTCGATGTAGATCAGCAGACAAACATATAGTTATAATGCGGTTATGAAATGTATTCATTGTCAGAACTAGCTTCATTACGGTAAATGTAGCCACCGATATACATTTTGGACTGAAGTCACAACAGTATTCAGACTTCAACTTAAAAATTTCTGCTCAAAAACTCTGTCTTTTAAGACTCCTCAAAGATCAGCCAAAGAGTAATTTTTTTTTGTCCAAGTTATTTGGTTAAGTCCAATGTGTCATCCTCCCCTACCTCTCTGACCTCTCTCCTCAAAACAATACCCGTTGCCTTCGTTCCTCTGGATCTGGCCTCCTCCTCATCCCCCGAGTCCTCTGCTCGGTGGTCGTGCCTTCAGCCACTTTGTCCTGAGGCTCTGGAACTCCCTTCCTCACTCTCTTCTCCTCGCCCCCTCTCTTCCTGTTTTCAGGTCCCTGCTGAAGACCTTTCTCTTCGACCGCGCCTTTGGTCACCTTTTTCCCCCTCCCCCTGGCTCAGCCCCGGGATCCGTTACTGTGAAGCGCTCTGAGATGCCATCTGGCGTGGAGGGCGCTATATAAATCCATGTTGTTGTTGGATAGGATAGGAGGGCACTTTGAAGATACTGTATCTGGGTTCTGCTGAAGCTGGCAGGTGGTTTCTAAATACTGGGCTTTAAATTTTGCTGAGCAGAGGAAATTGTTAGAATTCTACATTTATTAATTTTCATCAATCAGTGCTGTAAAACTAAACGGCAGAAAGAAACTAATGATTCATGCCCAGAGTCAATAGATGTACAAGGCATAGATTTATCAAGAAAGTGCTTGGACATTGGTAGCCTCCATGGAATACTCCTTGTTGGTGAGTGTAGATGTGTTTTAAGAAAGATCTATAGAACTGTAACCTTTAAAAGGGCCATTCACCCCAATGAAATGAGGGAGTATTAGATCACTCGTCTTTAATGATGATACTGGTACAGAAAGGTCCTTTCGTTTGCTTTGGTCGTCAGAATGGTACATTTACTGACCTTCTGCAGCAACTGGGTTTTATTCTCTGCTTCTGTGTAAATGCATGAACCTTTGGCATTGTGCACTCCGAAAGGAATTTCCCATTCATCGCACGCTTCAAAGGTTGGTAAATTTATCCACGATGAGAGAATACATCCTGGGTTTAGCTTCCATGTTAAAATATATCTTTGCCAAGTAGATGTTAATGAACTGCTGTAAAAAGTATTATAACATTATGTTTATTACATTGTGATAATATAAAACACAATGTGTTACAAATGTTTTACACATTGTGTTTATTATAATCTGCCACCAGGAAAAACAAATCTTGTTTTTACAATGTTCGTCGTGTAATAATATTGCTTCTGAAGTAACTGTGATATCCTAACACCTATGGCACACACTTGGCATTATTCATTAGTTCACAATTTTATCACTAAGTTAATCAATTCTAAATCTATTTTTATGCTGCAAAGCCAGAGGGCAGTTGTATATATTGGATGGAGATGTGATATGATCATTATCGCAAAGACAACATTTGCAGTAAATTTTTGTCTTGTACTTAATGACAGCAGTAATTGAATATTAGTTTTTCTGGTGCATTGGATGAGGCCTCTTGACTTATATTAATAATCAAGATATGCTCTTACTATTCATACAACTTTGATCAGTCTTGTGCTTTTTCTGGCCAGAATGCTCAGCTTCGTCTGGATGGGTTTTGTGATGACTTTACATCTTTAATTGTGCATGAGTTTAGATGAGGGATCTACTATGATAATAATAATAATAATAATAATCCTTGCATTTGATATAGCGCTTTTCACGTCGGGAGGACGTCCCAAAGCGCTTCACAGAACACACTGTAAAGTGAATTGACTGTATATTTGTGGGTGAACGCGGCAGCCAATTGCGCACAGTAATGTCCCACAAACAGTCGTAGATTGAAAATGACCAATTTATTATTGGTTTTGGTTTTGGAGGGATTATTATATATATGAAATTAGCATGGATTGAAGAGTGGCTAACGGGTAGAAAACAGAGAGTAGGGATAAACGGGTCATTCTCGAATTGGCAGGATGTGACCAGTGGAGTGCCACAAGGATCAGTGCTTGGGCCCTCAGCTATTGACAATTTACATCAATGATCTAGACGAGGACATTGAATGTAACGTATCTAAATTTGCAGATGACACTAAACTAGGTGGGAGAGTAAGCTCTGAGGATGATGCAAAAAGATTGCAACGGGATATAGATAGGCTAGGGGAGTGGGCGAGTAGGTAGCAGATGGAATTTAATGTGGGGAAGTGTGAAGTTATTCACCTGGGTAGAAAAAATAGAAAAACAGATTATTTTCTGGAGGGGGAGAGGTTAGATAGTGTTAGTGTGGATTTGGGTGTCCTTGTACACACGTCTCAATAAAGTTAGTTTGCAGGTGCAGCAAGCAACTAAGAAGGCGAACGGCATGTTAGCATTCATTGCAAAAGGCTTAGAGTACAAGAGTAGAGAAGTTTTGCTGCAACTGTATAGGGCCTCGGTGAGACTACACCTAAAGTATTGTGTGCAGTTTTGGTCTCCTTATTTAAAAAAGGACATACTTGCCCGAGAGGGGGTGCAGCGTAGATTCACTCGGTTAGTTCCTGGGATGAGGGGACTGACTTATGAGGATAGGCTGAATAAACTAGGGCTGTATTCTCCAGAGTACAGAAGAATTAGGGGGATCTTATTGAAACATATAAGATTCTTAAAGGGCTGATAAAGCAACAACAACAACAACAACAACAACAAGATTCCATTTATAAAGACACTGAGGGTCTGTTTCCCCTGGTAAGAGAATCTATAACCAGGGGACACAGTCTTAAGATTAAGGGTCAGCTTTTCAGAACAGAGTTGAGGAAACATTTCTTCACTCAGAGGGTAGTGAATTTACGGAATTCATTACCCCAGAAGGCTGTAGATGCTCAGTCCTTGAACATCTTCAAGGATGAGACTGATGGATTTTTAAAAAAACAGAGGGATTAGGGGATATGGGGATAGGGCAGGTAATTAGAGTTAGGTCTGAAGATCAGCCATGATCTTATTGAATGGTGGGGCAGACTCGAGGGGCCGAATGGCCTACTCCTGCTCCTAATTCTTATGTTCTTATGTTCTTATGATCGAATTATGCTATGCTTTGTACATTGCTTTTTGAGCATACTCCTTGTGCAATGATTCTTTGTACCTATTATAACAAACGTATCTTCTCACTGTTAGCATCGTTAGCTTTGTTCTGCTTGTGTTCAGTATTTGAAAATTATAGTTACCAAAACAAAGTTGAGACCAAACAATATAGAACAATAAAGGAGAGGGCATAATTTGACATGATAATGGTGATTGTCAACTGGTGATCTCAGCTTGAATTATAGAATAGCCAGAATTAACCAACAAAGCATAAGCGCAGGTAACTCGATGTTTAATAAAAGCGTGAAAGGAACACTTCATGATAAAGGCCTACATCGAGTGTCTCTCATGAACATTCATTGCTGCATTTATGTGATTGAAAGGCAATCAATTAATTTCAGTGGAGCAGTAGGTTGCTGGGAGGTCTGGGCTCCATACTGAGAGGTCATGGCATAGCACTAGCCTCAGTCAATTGGCTACCGCATTTCGCCCACAAAACACACAGTCATTCCACTTTACAGTATATCCCGTAAAGCCGTTTGAGACGTCTCAACGTGAAAAGGTGCTATATCAGATGCAAGGATTATTATTATTGTTGTTAGATTTGAGCATGAATAAACACTATCAAACATTATCCCAAAGTACATGTTCTCTAAAAGGGACATCAGGAAGCAAACCTTCTTCTCTGGTATCTTCAGTTCTGCCATCCACAAGATCCAGTTCAACCCAAACTCTGTCGCACATAACCTCACCTGTACTAAACTCTGCATGCTCATCACCCAATTTTCACCAGGCTTCACTGGCTCCCTGTATCTGAAAGGATTAATTTCAAGATCCTCATGCTCACATGCAAATCCTTTCATGCCCTAGCACCTCCTCTCTGACCTGCTCACACCCCACATTCTGGCAAGAAAAAGCTCTGCCCTGCGCTCACTTGGAACAAGCCTGATATATGCCCTGACCTCTCAGCACACATTTAGTGGATACTACGCACTTAATCTCCCTGGCTCAATCCTTTGACCTTGCCTCTATCTACCTTTAAAACCCATCTATTTCCTATTTCTTTAATCATGCCTATAGACAGACAGTTCGCCTCCCCTGCTCGGCATCCAATCCCACCACTGGGGGGCGAGGTGAAGGGATGGAGTTCAAGAGGATGGGGGCAGAAAGGCTGAAGGCTCAATCGTCGATGGTGGGTTAGCAGGGCGGGGGACATGGAGCAGACTAGTGCCCGCCAAACGGAGGGAGCAGGAAGGTTGGTAAGGTGTTAGTAGATTGCAGAGGTAGGGAGGAGCAAGACCGTGGAGGGCTTTGAAAGTGAGAACGGCGATCTTAAACTCGATTCTCTGGGGGATGGGGAGCCAGTAAAGCCGGGCGAAGATGGGGATGATCAGCTCACAGAGCTTGGTGTGGGAGAGAAAAATTGTTGTTGGTATTGTCAGAACTCTAAGTGCTCAGCTTTGTCAAGGACTTTGAGATGCCCTCCTGATGTGAAAGGTGCTATATAAATGTAAATTGTGTTGTAAAACCATTCAGAACCATTATAAAAATCGAATTTGTGGATTTGAATTAGCTTCTCAAGACTTAAACAGTTAAAGCTGGAACATTGGTTTGTAATTAATGGGCAGAATGATATCTTAAAGTCTAAGGAAGAGTGTGTCTTTGAAGGATAATGCACCATTGTTTTGTCCTTAAAGAAGGTCAGCCTGGAACAGGAAATGGGGTCTTCTGAGATGCCATCTTTTGGTACAGTGTGTAAGAGGTTACACTGATCATCTGCCAAAGCACTCAAAACAATGCATCAAATACAAATCAAGTCACAGACTGCTATTTGGGAAAGTGAATGAAAGAGATTTTGATGGAGATGAGGCAAGATCATTTGTTTTGTGATCTGTAACAGCTTTGGATTCAGCAAGGTAGCAGGATTTTTTTGGATAAAAATAGAGTGGCCATTCACAGGTTTATGTGGTTGGAGATTTTCAGCAGGTTAGCCTGATTAAAAAAAAATTAAGTGATTTGTGGTCCAGTTCACACTACATGCTAATGTGATTTCCAGCAGCAAACTGCAGGAGGCAGCATTGCACTGTTTCAAGCTTCACAGGAGATGTGCTGAAACTGGTGAAAAACAAACTTTTTAAACCTGATTTTCAATGTTTGCAAAGAAAAGTATGTGGATGCCGATCAGCACTGAAACTCAGTTTTGCATTGACAGTGAAGGCTTGATCATGGTGTCCAATGTAACTGAGTCGTTTTAAGGATCTATCTATCACCAAATGCTTTTGAGACAGAAACCTTACAGTCACGATTAATACAGCAAAACTAGTACATATTTTGTATCTATGCAAGAAAGCATGTAATACATTTGGGCTATAAAAGAAAGGGAAATTCACTGACAAGGACTGAGGAATTTTGACCACATTAGTGAATTGACCTCACTAGTGAATCGTGACTACATCCACTACTAAAACTATAAAAAAGACTAAAACTACTATGATAACACTACTGTATGTACAGTATTTATTGCAATCATGCACATGTTTCCTGTTGCATTAGTACTTAAAAAAACTATCAAACTCAAGAATTTGTAACTATTATGTTTTAGATCTATCACGTGGCAAAACGTTTTTTTGAGCAAAATATTTATATATATTTATTTGTTGATATATATTTACGCTTGTCTCAGATAGTATCAAACACGTTACAGAAAACAAAACAAAACATGTTATTATCCTGTTACAGGAGGACACAACGGACTTGGCCCCTTGTGGCGGGGGAGGGTGTTTTTGCCTCTGTGCACTCAACTTTGGAGAAGGGACCAAGGCTACCCCGCCTTGGGGTTCTGCCACCCTTTGCAAGGCCCGTTACAAATTGGGTCTTGTACCCCTCTCCCTATCCCTCCCCTCTTAGTGGACGTGTTCACAACACACAGGTTGTGCGCACTTTTTTGGGGGACGCTCCCTTTAAGACAGTCAGGAATCTCCCCTGGGTGCACCACATCCATGTGCGTGCCCGCGCATACCCTAATAAGGCACACTTGTCGCTTTTGGATGGCACCCTTGATGTGCACATGTTTACCCAAACCCACACCTGGAAATCTTGCAAATACAAACCCATATGTTATATACCCAACCTGTCCCAACCCTGTCACTGCAGCATCCCTGCCGGGGTTCTGTTCCCCTTTTCTACAGGGAGCAGTTACACTGGTGGGCTCGTCTCGGCTCTGCTGTCATTTTACAGGATGGTGAGCCTTTACCTCGCTCCTTGCCACTCCCCCTTTTATGGGGGGAGGCAGGCAGACATACATATATTTTCAGGATGCTGTTTGTTTACATCTCGAGTGCCCCTCAGTACATTTACATGGTTATACACACGTTTATTCACAGTTTGGAATGCGCTTGTGGGTTATCCGGTAAGCGTGGCTTGATGCCTCCCTCTCACGGATAGGGTCCCTGGATGCTTTATGAACTACAGTCAGCCTTAGTTATAACATGGTGTTGAGAATCCATAAAATCCCATTCTCATGTTATATTGGTAGCTGGTTTTACTACACATGCACACATCTGAACAGCTTGCAGGGAGCAGTCCAGCCAGATAGAAGCAAATGTCCGACTGCCAGACTGGTGTGTCACTTCTCGTTTCCTGTCCATGCAAAATGTGGCAAGTGACGCCAAAGTCAGCCATTTTTAGTCCAAGAAGCTAAAATGTCTGTCTCCTGGGCCATTATGTCATCAGTGTCACTTCCTGCTTTGCGTATGCACAGTTGAACCTAAAATTCATGTTGAAAATGAACAATTGAACCAAAAATCAAACATTTTAGCACAAAAAGCCAGCCTGTGGGAAACAAAGGGGCTGACAGTGGACATGCCCAGTGCACAGAATCCACAGAACTCTGTTTTAAGTGATTTCATGCTATAGTGAAGGGTATTATAGCGGGACTACAGTGTGTACACAGTACAGTATTTGTTCATTGCCATCGTGCCCGTATTCCAGGTTAAATTGTTGCACCTGTAAAAGTCATCAAATACAAGACGAGGATAATAAATCAACAAGCTCAAAACAGAATTGGCTCGGTCGGCTGTGACTGCTCTCACAAGGGTTTCAAACGATTGCCAGAGTTGAATGGTCACAGTTGAGTGGCTGCCTTCTTGCGAGCCACACACACGTGTAAGTCAGCAATGGAAGTGATGTCAGTGTGACAACCTGGAAGTGGGGCTGACAGACATATTTTGCAGACCTATTATACTGAAGTGTCTCTTGAATGCAAGATACGTGGTTAGAATGAGATTTACCCGTATATCTCTTGAATTAATGGCTGAGAGTGTAATGTTGCAGAATCCTTGTGTTTCCTAGATGTACTCTTAAGGTGACCATAATGTTATTGGAATGTTTCATTTTTCCTGTGCTGTGTTTGGAATAGGTTAATGAAGACCAGGTCAAACAGATGGATATAGAAAACAGCTATATAATGACGTGGAAAGATACACAGGTATGGAAATGTTAATTATTGGTTTACAATCTGAAATTGTATTCCATTTTATTTTCTTCCAAATTAGTCATTCACTTCATGTCTGGGTGTCGGACATTGCTGTGTCAAATTGACTGCCATGTTTGGTTACAAAACACGCAATCACTACACTTTACATTAAATGCTGTGAAGCGCTTTTAGACACCTTGACACCACGATAAGCGCTATATCAAATACAAGAATGATTTAAGTGTCTCATTTAATGGATCTTTAGTTATCATATGTGCAGCAATGTTGAAAGCATATCATTAATATAGATTTTAGTGAGTTTACAATATAGGCTTATTTATGCACTGGTTAGATGTATATTTGTATAATCTGACCATTTGTGGACCAATGCATGTCAGCATTATGGTGTACACTTGGCTGGGCTGAATAGCTTTGTGTTCCAAAGTAGTATGTGTTGATACTGAATTGTTGGGATGTTTTTAGATACAATGACGAATGTTATGCTTAGGCTTCTCCTAGTTGCCAGATTAACCGAATTGTTTTGTTGCATCTGAGCACGCATGTACCAGGGAAATGTATTAGCAAATATAAGCATTATACCGGTTTGAAACATTGGTATTTGGATGGTATTGGTATTTGGCCACACAGATTTCTCTTCTTTCTTACTCTCCTTACGCAGAATGCTGTTCTCCTGTAAGCCCTTATTACCCTTTCTGCTCTCAACCCTTGTTGCTCTTTCTGCACTCAGCCCTTAGTGCTCTAATTTTGTGGAATTGCTTCTCGTCCCAGTTTTTTTCTCTTTCACCTTCTCTTGCCCCTTCTTGCTTTCTTTCCACACTTTGGGCATTTAGCAGTGAGAAAAGACAAGGAGCAAAGCTACATTGACTTTTGTGAAGTAAGCAATGGAAAAGGTCCTTAATTCAATTCCTGAGTTAGCTGAACACAGCTATAATCAGCTTGACTGAGAAGGGAAAAAAAATTTAGTTGTCTGGTTTCTCATCCAGTAATCTTTGCTAGAAGGTGTTTAGGAAAGAAAAAACTGAGCTAGATTGGGGAAGAGAGGATGAGAGGGAAATAATTATAAAGCTCAAAGTAAATAAACAATAATTTAGTCATTTAATCCACGAGTGTTTGAGGGACACTGCTGTGCGCAATTGGCTGCCGTGTTTCGCCCACAAAATACACAGTCAATTCACTTCACAATATATTTTGTGAAGCGCTTTGCGACATCTCAATGACGTGATAAGGCGCTATATCAAATGCAAGAATTGTTATTATTAAGATAGCCTGCCGCTACTTATTGTCTAATTTATCCCTAAAGGTTATTTGGCGGAGTTGCCAAAGGGCTGTTTGCATTTCGATCTATATTGCAGCATGAATGCCTTTCTTCTAGAAAGGAGGGGAGAAGAGGTGAGAAGATTGTGGGGAAGAAACTATTCGAGGGAAAGAGAAGCACTTGACCAAATTACTGTGGTATCAATACAATTCAGTTGAGGGGAGGAGGATGGAATGAAAAGAAGAAAATGACTTCAGTGGTGAGCTTAGAAGATGAATCAAAAAAGGCAAATGAGTGGATGAAAAGGGCTGAAAAAAATTGTCATGGTTCAAGTATTATGAGGGGAGGGGGGGGGAGAGACGGTCAATGTGTCTGCTTGCTTAATAATTAAGGAATACAGTAAATGAAGTGCTGAAAGGCAGCAACAGTGAGACTGAATTTTGCAGCAGAATCATTAAAGCTCACGGACTGACTAGCCAGCCCAGCTGGTGGTACTGTTTGGATTGCATCCTTCATGCCTTTCTCACCCAGAAATTGCAAGAATATTCATGATTTCTACTTGGAATTTGCTGGATGGTTTTGGATGGAACAGGTTGAATTTAATCGCATGCAATGCAGTTTAGTGAGCAGACTAAAAATATTTACAAATACACTGAACTTGTCAGATTTTAATTGATATTATCAAAACTGCGGTGGTAACAATCCTATAATGTGAAGTTGATAAAATAAGAGTGTTATCAAATAACCTTGTTTTGGTAGAGTGCATTGATCATGGAGATCAACATCTGGAGTCCACCAGTAAGTATAATGCAGTGGTTTAAAAGGTGTTTCATTTGTACTGCTGTTGTGAAACTGCAATTGCCAAGTTCATTTCAATTCCTCTGCTAAGTGGCAGCTAGTTTTATTTCACGCAGGACGTGAATATTTTCTCAACCATTTATTTAAGAAACAAAATTCTTATTTGTGTGCCTGATGAGCAAAGGTACTGTAACTGACTGTTGACATTAGATCTTAATATGAATAACGAATAATGTAATCAACTTCTAACTTGTCTTTTCACAAAGCATCTTTTTCAAGCATCTATGAAGAAGTGAATAAATAAGTAGTGGCTAATAGATATTTCTATTCAGATTCCACAGACTGTGGACCTTATTATTGAGGTGTACCTAGAGAAGAAGGAGCCTGATTCCAGCTACATGTTGAGGGTAAGTGTGTGTCTCTCAAGAGAAATGTCCAATTTGTATGTGCAATTCTGTCTGACTTTAACACTTTTAAGCGTGGCGATGGATTTTTGTGCAAGTCCAATACCCGGTTGACCAAGAAGCAAATGGTGTCACCAGTTACTCATAACCTAGGCCAATAGAAAAGTGCGGACATATTTGCCTAAAATTACAGGACAATTTGCCCATAGTTGTTGGCGGGTGATTGGTGCTATTGAGGTAGATCTTACTAACAACCTACATTTTTTCACTTTATTGATAAAAACTAAACATGAGGAAATAACACATATTAGATTGTTACAAATTTTTTTAAACAAAACCTGGGTGGCCCATTTGTGGGGGTGGGGGGGAGCTGGAGGGTAAACCAGTGCAGGTCAGAAGGGCCTGGAGATCCACCAAAAAACAGACAGGATCAGTGTCCTAACTGCGGGGCTGCAAGAGCTCACCACCTCCTGCCTCTCAGGGCTCAGCACCACACACAGACCCAGAGAGAGACACACGCATACTCAGAAACACACACACGCAGATACACACTCAGACACAGAGGCGACACGCACAGACACAGAGAGAGACACACTCTCACAGACACAGAGAGAGACACAGACACGAGAGAGACACAGACACAGAGTGACACACACACACTCACAGACACAGAGAGAGACACACACACTCACAGACACAGAGACACACATACTCACAGAGACACACACACTCACAGACACAGAGAGAGACATACACACTCACAGACACAGAGAGTGACACACACACTCACAGAGACACACACACTCACAGACACAGAGAGAGACACACACACAAAGAGACACACACACTCACAGACACAGAGACACACACACTCACAGACACAGAGACATACACACTCACAGACACAGAGACACACACACTCACAGAGACACACACACTCACAGACACAGAGATCCACACAGACACAGAGACATACACACACACACACACACACTGACAGAGACACACATACTCACAGACACAGAGAGACACGCATTCTCAGAGGGAGAGACACAGACACACTCATAGACACAAAGAGACATAGACACAGACGGAGGAGAGAGACACATTCATGCAGAGACACTCAAACACATACACATAGAAGAGACACACACGGACACACTTATAAACCACAAACACAAACATACAGAGGAGAGACACAGACACACTCACACAGACGCTCACACTCATACAGAGGAGAGAGACAAACTCACATAGAGACACTCACAAACACATAGAGAGAGAGAGAGACACACACACACACAGAGAGTCTCAATAAATAATAATCCTAGCACTTTTCATGTCTTCTAGAGTCTCAAAGCGCTTCCCAGAATATACTGTAAAGTGAATTGACTGTATATTGTATGGAATGCTTCCTGACCTGTTCTGATGAAGAGTTGTGGATCCGAAACGTTGACTCACTTTCCCTTCTCCATAGATGCTGCCTGACCCATTGATTGTTCTCAGCGACTTCTGTTTTTGCACCACAGACAGTTGCGGATTGAAGCGACCGATTTTATTTCTGTTTTTTTTTCTTGAGGGATTATTAACAGGCATGTGGAGTAAGGAAACTTGCCCAAGGTTTCGCCCTGCCGGGAATCGAACCCTAGTCTCTTGCTTGCGAGGCGAGTGCTCTAACCACTGAGCTACAGGACTCCTAATCGCAGGGCCTCCGAGTGGAACGAAGCCCATTTCCCGCTTGCGCTGCATCGCGTCCAGAGCCGCCCAGCTCTCAGAAGCGGCGGGTAAACAGCGCGAGAGTCCTGGGCGCCAGAAACTACATTGTTTAGTGGGTTTGTCGCAGAGAACGCTGTTTATAACAGATTCTGTGGAAACGCTGTGACCACACTTTTCTATTGTCCCAGCTCATAACTGGCTAAGTGTATATAGGCAGAATACTTAGGAGAAGATACGTTTTTTCGAGGTTTATATGATGCCTCAAAGTACTTGAGCAGTTTATAACAATTATCTGATTTTTAAAAAATACATTTAGGTATCTCCGACTATGACAGCAGAGGAATTAACCCATTCTGTATTGGAAATGAAGAACGTTATCAGTGACAAGAAGGATGTTTGGGTTACGTTTGAAGTAATCGAGAATGGAGACCTTGGTAAGATAAAGAGAGAATTGATTGCAGAAACCTCATATACCAATGCTTCTCTTCCATAACAGTCTGATACTGAATAAGGGTTTTGCACAGCGTTTTATTTTCCAGTAACATTCATGCACAAAATCCTCTGGCAAGTGGTTGGAGCAAAATGATAGTATGGTATGAGGAAATCCAGTTTATAAATGTGCATTTGGTCATTCCACTGCATGCACCTGAAGCTTACAAACCTCAATAGTTCAGTTGAGATATTTCAGATTGTTTTGTCTTCACAATTTCACAGCGACTTGATTTTTAAATAAAACAAAAACGACAGGGTTTCTGTTGAACGGCGAGTTAAACCAGTTTTCTTCCTGAAACTGGAATTGAATCCAACCCAATGAGATGGCGTCAGATTTTCCTTCCTCTGAAACAGTTGACATGAAATGAATGTGAGTGTCTCACAACAGTTACCGGAGCTCGACTTGGCATTAAATTGCTAATCTTGTTCCGAAAGACTGCAAGATGTAACAAGTACAAATGCTACATTGGTGACTTAGGATGAGTTTTCTGAGGATGAGTTAAGGCGCGATGTTGGGTCATAAGAGAGAACTGATTGTGCTGGAATTGTGACCAATTATTATATAATTTGTCAAGAAAGGGACAGATTTTATATGTATACATCTCATCAGTACATAAATAAGGCTTTCTTCTACATTCTTACTAAAATCTGTACCAGATTTGCTGCATGCCGACTGCTGCACTGAAAGCCCAGAGTTTTNAAAAAATCATTTTGATGAGCACAAAAATTTAAACAATTAAAATCCACTTCCTGATAGTTTAGTGCATGAGTACACCACCTGGGAAGGACAAGATCAGGCTGTGATGTTCGCCAAGATAGAGAGGCCAGCTGATGCTCTCTGTCAAGATTCACATATGAAGAATGATCACTTGAACAAGTAACAGGAGGTCTGCAGGCGTCTGGAACCATACCCCAGCACAGATCATGAACTACATGAGCAGCAGAACATTGAAAGTTTTTTTTTGAAAAACAACAACAAGATTTCATTTATAGAGCGCCTTTCACGTCGGGAGGACGTCCCAAGGCGCTGGACAGTTGGGTCAAACAAGATCTGGATACTTTGATAGTTTTATACATAAACGGGGGGAAGGGAAGGAGGGATAATAATAGCGGTGAGGCTCAACAACAACGACAGATTACATTTATATACCACCTTTCACTTCGGGAGAATGTCCCAAGGTGCTAAATGTGGAATATGGGGCTCATATGGAGTATAAGCACTGACACAGACTAATTGGGTGGAATAGCCAGTTTCTGTGCAGTAGAGTTCTGTGTTATTGATTTGCTGAATTTAAGATCCTGCCTCACTTCTCACATCTCTAAAATCAGAGCACTTGGTTCACTGCAGCTATTGAATTAATGGACTAGGTAAAAGAGGCAATATACTGACCCTGTACAGGTTTGCCAGTTATATTGTACAAAAATTCAGAATACTTTTCAGAGGGTTCCCCTTCAGCAACTAAGAATAACAGTCAACGTTTTAAATAGGATATAATTCCTCCTAAAAGGCAAAAGTTTACCTTTTTTATTTCAATCGCATAAATGGCGAATGTACAATGGAGAACTGTGGATTGCATCATTACATATATCCACCAACACTCGTCTTGTCATTGTGAACGTTTTTTCATTCATTTCTCTTCATCTGCACAGATGGAGTAAACTGCGTATTCAATTCCATAGTTGCTCATGGGATATTGTGGAACATGCACAATGCCCATATTTATTAAAAAATTATTGAGTGAGAGACGAAACAAGGAATATCTCAACATCCACTTAATGAGTCCTTGATCTCGGTTAGTTGCCGAGTAGAGGAATAGAAGCCTAATTGGTGGTTTCTACATGATTTAGTTGCGATCTGATTAATTCAACTTTGAATATCATTTGCATGCAAATCTATTAGTCCAAGACTTTTTAGATATTGTTGAGTACCATGGATGCAAAATTTATGAAGACGACTCTTCTTAACCTTTCAGCTCTTGAAGGACTTTTGCAGCTCTAAAACCGTAATAGATTCTGTCATACAATGAGATTGCAAAGCTTTGTAATAGCAAAAAAAATCGAGTGAATTTGCAATGCCAGAGACAATAAACCTGTTAATCTGTGCATTTTACTGCTGAATGTTAGGAAGTGAAATTAGAAAACTGTAGACAACCAAAGATAACTTGTAGTAATTGTAGTTTAATTTGTAGAATGCTGGGAATATATTAAGATTGTAATCTTGAATCTGTTTTTTTAATGCTAAAATGGAATTGCAGTTCCTGACTAGGTTGCTTATTTGAACATGATCTTAATTTACATGAGTGCAGAAATGCATTTGCAGTGATGCTAAGGGCTCCTTACACATCTTACAGAAAGCCATCTACGAACCACAGTGGCTGAAGATGGAGGTGATGGAATAACCTGAAGGGCAGAAAGACTTTAAAGTTGAGGGGAAACAAATAGTATTGAGAACTTCTGAGTTGAATTAAAGATGACTACAGAAAGTATTCACAGAGATAACAAGGCAATAAAAAGGTAGATTAGAAAAGAAAAGAGCAACAGAATGCAAACTTTTTTTAAGATATGCACATAGTAAAAGGATTCGGGTGCAGTGCAGACAAAATGGGTCACTTAAGGTTATGGATAGAAACTTGATAGACCATGGATAAATTCCACATCTAGTCATTTGGTTCTTAAAATGCAGTTAAAGCTGTGTTTCAAAGAAACTCAAGCAATAAAGGGTCTTCAGGGCACTTGGACTTCAATCGTTTCAGTTCTCGTGGAAGGGTGTGATGCTCATCAAGCGAGCTGTAGGATTCACTGTTCCAGAATAGTGCATTTTCAATCCTGTTGTTTACGATCACATTTGAAGAATGACTGAGGCAATTGATAACGGTCTTCAGAAACAACCACCAAAATACTAGCTTAATCATAGAAAACAGAAGGTAGTGATACAAATAAAAATAACATTGCAGCGTCTAATGGAGCCCTGCCTGCAGGAGTGTGTTCTGATTCCTCGGCTGTTAACACGTTTCCAACACGATACCTTGAAAATTTGTAGATGATAAGAAGTTGTTCCCAGATGTTGGGCATAATAGAGATTGATAACGTTAAATTGCCTTGGATAAACTAAGCAGATAGATATGAAGAATGGCAGATGGATTTTAAAGTGGATGAATGAAAGGTAAAATCTATTGGTACAGGATTTCAATGATGGATTGTTTTAAAGAACTTATCACATTAAATTGTAATTTCCTATTAAAATAATTTATTTATATATCTGACGATTCCCTGTTCTCTAAGCTTTTTATTTTGTTACGTGTTTGATTTTCACAATTTGTGTGACTTCATTTTTTCATTACTGTTCTGTCTGGAGAAAAAATTATTTACTTCTGGAAAATTCATACAACCCTGTTTTGGCTTATTGTGCTATTGAACATCTGAATAAAATGTTTATGCTGTCAATCTTTCCTTCCCCCACAGAGAGGCCATTGCACCACAAAGAGAATGTTCTGGATCAGGTCCTCCAGTGGAGTTTACTATCGGAACCTGAATCCGCTTACTTAATTGTAAAACAGTTTCAAGCTGCAAAGGCAATCAAAACGTATCTAGGTATGAACGTTCTTTTCCTCTGATAACTGAATATTCAATATAATAATCCTTGCATTCGATATAGCACCTTAGACACTGTGGGAGCAGTGTCTAATTCTGTCTGAATCTTCATTTATGAGTAGAGTATTAGAAAATGGGTTATAATCTAATTGATGACCAATTCAACATGAAAAATCCACTTCAGGAGATCCAATAGCGTAAAAGCAGTTTAATGTAATCTTCAGAACAACTTACGCATCTTGACTTGTTCTAATTCAGCTCTTGTTTTCTATGACACGTATTGTACACCATCATTGTTCACAATGGTGTCTTGGTATCTTGAGATCTGCTGTGAGGGGCCTTTGTAGAGATTAATTTACTTTATATGATAGGAAACTGGGATATCACTGTCTATTAGGCTCGGTTCTTTGTGCTATATTACAGCAACAACAAATCACATTTATATAGCCCCTTTCATATCCGCAGGGTGTCCCAAGATGCTGCCCAGTCGAGTGTTTGCAACTGAGCTGGGGGTTCATATTACAGTGATATGCAGACCTGATTTATCTAGGTGTGTTGGGGTAGAGGTGGGGGCAAGGGGATGCAGAGTAAATCAGGTGAGAGCCACATAATCCATAACGGATTCACACTGGAGACTGGCTGTCACGATTGTACCCTATCTATATTATGAACAGTCATTCCCTCCCTCCCTCACCCCCAAACAGGAATTTGTTAAATGAGGAGGCATGGAATCTAATCTGATTTTCAAGGCACCATTGGGGAGAAATTCCACCTTGGTCAAGATTTACACTTTCTGTAGCATTTTAGAGCATCCACAATTTAGCAAGTTGTTGAATTCAGCCCCAACTCTTCTTATCGAGACACAGACTTACAGAAAACCAGCTTCAAAATTAAGGCTGTGTCTCAGTATTTGCCAAATTGTGAATGATCTGATATGCAGCACCAATAGAGTAAAGCTAAACCCAGTTCAAATTTCTCCACAGTCAAATCACATTCTTTGCTTTTCTATTGCTCACTTTGAAGTATGTTTTAATATATAGTACTTAATATCCTGCACAACAACTTCAATCTGTACCTTTGTTGACTTTTCAACACCTTTTACAGTGTTGTGGGTGAAGTATTATTATATTATTATTATTATTATCATCATCTCTAGCAATGATTCAGCCATTGCAATTGGGTCAAAGCAATAGTTTAGGAATCCCCAGATTTTCAATTATTCAGTAGAAGGAGCAGCCATCAGTCAGAATGGTGTAGGTCAGGGGTCAGAATGTCCTGTCACGTGGAGACATTTCTTCACGCATGAGAAGACTGTTCAAACTCCGGGAAACCACAGCTGCAAATTCCACCCTTGGCTCTTATTTGGTTTGAAACGTTCCTTGGCGATTGGTTCAGCTTTCTGTCACTCTTCTTGATGTTATGGAGTTAATAGTTAGTGATGATAAGATTAGTTCAGATGAAGGTGGCCCATCTGATCTCATTCCTCCAGAATACCCACCCTCCATCATAACATTAAGCTGTGTTTTTTAATCAGGTTCAGTATCCTGCTCCCAACCATCCTACCTGATAATCGTTTCTTTATTATTAATTATTATTAATTACCTCTGGATAATGAAAAACTTCCTGGTATCTTTCCTTAAGTTGCTCTTTGCAACACTAAAACAGTGTCATCTTGTTCTGCTTTCCTGGTGCATCCTAAAGTATTGTTCTGGGTTTGATTTTTCAATCCCATTTAAAAATGTTTTACCCCTTTATAAGGTCCTCTCTGTGTCACCTCTCAAGATGAAGAGCACTGGCCTGCCTCATCATTGCTCATAGTTCATTCCTCTAACACTTGGGATCAACACTTGGAGTCCTGTAGCTCAGTGGTTAGAGCACTCGTTTTGCAAGCGAGAGACCTGAGTTCAATTCCAGGCAGGGCGAAACCTTGGGCAAGTTTCCTTACTCCACACACCTAATAATAATCCCTCCAAAAAAAAATAATAAATTGGTCATTTTCAATCTACGACTGTTTGTGGGACATTGCTGTGCTGCTGCCGCGTTCGCAAACAAATATACAGTCAATTCACTTTACAATATATTCTGTGAAGCGCTTTGGGATGTCTAGAAGACGTGAAAAGCGCTATATCAAGTGCAATGATTATTATTATTATTATCAACCTGTTGTTTTCTCCGCTGCGGCATAAGGGAGCTGCATTTCCACATGTTGTATTATTCATCTGAGTAGGTTACTTTGTCAGCAGTCGTATGGGCAACATTGAAGATTTCAGTTTATGCATTTTTTTATAGTTTGTTTTTTCTCTCACTCTCTACTGTTTTGCTTTCTATTGTTTTTGCTTCATCATCATGTTTTCAGTAGACAGGTTGTATTCAGTTTCTTGTCGTAACTTGGAAGTAAAATGTAGGAAAATAAAATTGGTTTGAAACACTGTTGTAGTTATGAATATCCAGAATCAGGAACACCGCTGCCAGTAAAATACCACTGTCAGTAACATGGTCAGTATTACAAGTAGCATCTTTGGTGACACTGGATAAAGGAAAAATCCCATTCGTGGCTAACATTACCAGAGGCGCTATACATGACTGGAGACTGGAATTTCAGTTCAAATGTTAGGCAACAAAGGGAATTCAGTGCCATCACCAATGATAATTTACACTTATATAACGCTTTTCACATAAGGAAAACATCTTAAAGACTGAGTTGGAGTCCAAGCTGGGGTAGGTTAGGGAGTATAGACACTGAGGAGCTCCCAGAGATGGAGGTGGATACCAGGTGGGGGATTTCCTACTACCAGATCCAGTGGCATTGAGACCAGTTCTAACAGTCCGATTTCTAAGGTCAACTAACTCAGAGTGCACTCTGATTCGAACCTACAACTTCTCTGTGTGGCCTTGTGCTGCATGACACACTCGAGCAAATTCTATTTTATTGTATTTGTGAAAAGGGTATTCATAATGAAACTATACAAATATTGAAATGCAGAAATTAATGCACATCTGGTGCGGGCTGCTGTTTTGGATAAATCTAAACAAATAATATTTCATAATTCAAGTACATTTTGCAAAGATTACTTGGGAGTCTTATTACAGCTGTCTTTTCCATAAAAGTACTTTGACATTTTTCAGGATCTAACTTCCTCATTTCCACAAGTGAATTTTCAGACTTACCCTGCTATTCAAACATTCTCTATGCTATAAATGGAAATACGGAAAGCCAACAGTACTCCAATTGTCCAAATATTGTTTTATCACTGCCTTTTCTTATGGTAACAGCAGATAGGCTAATGTAATTTAGCAGGTACACTGTTATGCTGCTGCTATATTATTTGGGTATGTACTGAACATGTGGTGTAAAAGCTTGATCCATAATCTGAAATTGACTATCTTAGATACAATGATCTTAAATGATACGTTCAACTGACAGATTTGTTTCAGGATCAAAGAATGGACATTTTTAGATGAAATGATGCAATCTATCATTATTGTCAAAAACAAAACGGTGATATTTCCGTGAGTTTCTGTGTCAGCCTAGACAATGGGTTCAGCGAATCTAGTCTGGTTCACTTCAGATAGAGATGAACTATCCAAGGCTCACAGTTTACCAAGACTGAGTTTTCTCTACTTGATCAAAGGACATAACACTTTTTATTCTTCTTAGCATTGTTCTAAACATTTTCCCAAAAGTATCTCTTCAGATGAATGCAGTTCATTTAAGTCAAGATTGGCAAAGTGCTTGAATGGGAAACCTGCAGTGTAAATTGCATCTCAGTTCATCCCAGAAAATGTGCTTCTAAAGTAGAGTGCGCTTCCTGTAGGGCATTTTATGTACATTACACTGACCATAAGTACTTAATAATAATAATAATCCTTGCATTTGATATAACTCCTTATCACGTCTTTGAGACGTCTCAAAGCACTTCACAGAATATATTGAAAAGTTAATTGACTGTTTTTTGTGGGTGAAACACCCACATTTTAATTAAGATTTCTGCTTAATCAATACAGTATACATGCGTGTTCTCTGCTGGAGATGTACTTCATGTCCCAAGGCACGTTTTGTTATGTGAAATGCGATTTATGCTGTTTTCCCCCTGTTCAACCACAATGTTGTTAAGCAAATCTCCATTTCCCTTCCCCTCCATTTCTAATCTGTCCCGAGGTAACGCAGTTGACATACTGTGATGTTGATTTCTTATCAGTTTTGCAGCTTCTGCGTTAATAAGAAAAACATTTTAATTATGTTATCTTCAATTGAGTAAAGTCAGGTGGTTAGTTAATGAGATTATAAGTGTAAATGTGGTCACTCATTGGATGGTACATAATGGGATTTGTTAATATTACAGCCAACAACTGCATGCGATTAGCTGTTGTAAGGTAGCTTTGTGAGTGGTTATCAGATGAGGGTCCATGACCATGATCATGTCAATGTCTTGGATGTCAGTTCTAATTTGCATCCACATTTTGGTCCATTTGATAAACATCATCAGACGATCCAAGTGGAACATGAGGTTCTGGAACTCAACAAATATAACTTCTGCTTACAACTGGTGTATAAAGTAAGCATCAATATGTTGATAGTTTCCAAATCGAAATATATTGGGGTAAGCTGTGGTAGATTGTTTTGCAGTGCCACTTCATACAACACAGAAGGAAACCATTCAGCCCAACGTGTCTGTGCCAGCTCTTTGAAAAGAGCTATCCAATTCGATCCCACTCCCCCGTTCTGTCCCCATAGCTATGCAAATTTGTCCTCCCCAAACAATTATCTACTCTCTTAAAAGTTGTTATCGAATTGGTTTCCACCACCCTTTCATTACTTAAGGTACATGTTCATTTGAGGCTTGGGCTGCCAGCTGCCAGAAGGTGTTACCTGAAGTCCATATTTGTGAGCACAAGTTCATATATAAAAGTAGTAAATGGCAAGGAGGAGAGTAGTTGACTGCAAGATGTCATAGACAGACTGGTGAAATGGGTAGACACATGGCAGATGAAATTTAATGCAGAAAAATGCGAAGTGATGGATTTTGGGAGGAAGAATGAGGAGAGGCAATATAAGCTGATGGTGCAATCTTAAAGGGGGTGAAGGAACAGAGAGACCTGGGGGTTCATATAAGCAAATCTTTGAAGGTGGCAGGACAGGCAGATAAAGCTGTTAAAAAAGCATATGGGATACAAGGCTTTATAAATAGGGGCATAGAATACAAAGGTCAGGAAGTTATGATGAACCTTTATAAAACACTGGTTAGACCTCAGCTCAAGACTGTGTTCAGTTCTGGGCACCACACTTTAAGAAGGATGTAAAGGCATTGGAGAGGTGCAAAGGGGATTTATCAGGATGGAACCAGAAATGAGGGACTTCAGTTATGAGGAGAGGCTATAGAAGCTAGGGTTATTCTCCTTGGAGCAGAGAAGGTTAAAGGGAGATTTAACAGAGGTGTTCAAAATTATAAGGGGATTTGATAGGGTGAACAAGGAGAAACTGTTTCCACTGGCAGGTGGGTCAGTAACCAGAGGACACAGATTTAAAATAGTTGCCAAAGAACCAGTGGAGAAGTGAGGAGAAATGTTTTCACACAAGCGAGTTATTTGTATGTGGAATGCATTGCCTGAAAGGGTGGTGGAAACCAATTCGATAACAACTTTCAAGAGAGAAGTAGATAGATATTTAGGGAGGACAAGTTTGCAAGGTTATGGGCAGAGAGCGCGGGAGTGGGATTAATTTGGATAATTCTTTCAAAGAGCCGGCACGGACACGATGGGCCGAATGGCCTCCTTCTGTGCTGTATAATTCTATGATAAAGGGCTTGGAATCCACCATGAGAGGTAAGTAGCTGCTGCTGAAGCTCTGCATCTGCAACAGGTGGAACCATTGCTCAATGAGTCAGGATGTGTGTCCGAGCTAGTGGCAGGAAGCTGGTAGCAATGCTGTACTGCTCACTGGGAAGCTCACAGGGAATTCCTGGTACCTGCAATCTACCTAGTGCGGGCTCAAACCTATGCTTGTTGGATGTTAGATGACCAGCTTGTGACTATCCTTTGTGAGGGATGGTAAGCGGGGTCTCCTTAGAGCTCAATTAACTCCAAGGTAACATGCTTGGGCAATGGAATGGAGGTCACAATAGTCCAGTTCCTGAATGAGGCAGGTCTGCAGTACTCCAGGGGACTTCTAATGACAAACACACAGCCTGGCTCATCAGCAGGACTTGGAGGAACAGATGCAAGTATTCTTCCCACTCAGCCCCTGTTAACCCTGCAAGCCAAAGCCCGAACAGGTAAGTGGTCTTAGTTAGATAAGCAGCGGGCAGCTTGCCAGATAGCGCTTTCAATGGGAAGCTATGAGGTTTTAGCTAGTTAAACTCAAGCAGTTCCCCAACATACACACTAATGTCCCCAAACCTTGGCTCTTGCATTTAATATTCTTTGGAATTAGGTCAGTGAGGTGTGTTCTCTGGTGAAAGAGCATTCTATTTCCAGACTCATGGATTTCCGTGTGCAGATGGCATACGGGAAACTCTATCTGGTTTGGATAACCTTAAGCCTGGTGATGGATTTCTGTAGGTGTCAGACACCCGATTGATCCCCCCAAAACTACCTACATTTACTTTTAATAGTTTACAGTGACTCAATGCAGTCTATGTAAATAATTGCATAGCATTTTCAAGGAGCTAAAACAAAGGCCTGCAGTGGGAGAGTGTGGAGAGCTAATGCAATTTCACTTTGTACTTAAAAGCAAAGAACATGAAAGAACCTGGAAAAGCTGGAAATCTAAAGTGGAGGGAAGAGCCATCAAAATTGCTATCTGGAAATAAATTTCAAGACCGCTATTGTGTCCTAAAAGATGAAAAGCTGCTCCTGTACAAGGATATGAAAGTGAGTGTACATTCTACATTGATTGCTTAGTTAATGTGCTTAAACTTGTTGGGCAAAATAAATAGCCTCATCTCGGTACTTTAATAAAAGGGACGTGAAATATTAAAATCTGGTTGGTTTTAAGTTAGTAGAAAGCATTTCACAATGAACAATCTTGCTATTCCCCCATGCTATTTAGGTATTGTGCTTGTTCTTTTTACACATTGACTGAGACTGCTTTGGAAATTGAGACAACTGCTTTACCTATATATGCATACAATATAATACATTGCACATATATATAGCGCCTTACACTTGGGAGAACATCTCAAAGCGCTTCACAGGCCTGGCAGGGTAGGGTAGCTGCCAGGCCCGAGCTGAAGTGGTTGGGGGTAAGGCACCCGAACTTGTGGTCAAAGAGATACATCTTAAAGTTGGCTTTAAAAGTGCGGGTCGGGGGAAGATTCAGGCGGAGGGATTCCAGGAGGGAGTTCCAGAGAATGGGACAGAATGACCAAAAGCACGCTCATTGGGGAGGGTTCCAGGAGGTGGCAGAGTTAGGGTGGAATGATCATTGGAGAAATTTGAATTTGAGGATGAGGATCTTGAAGATCTTCCACTTGCTGAGGATGGGGAGCCAGTGGAGCTGAGCAAGAGTGGGGTTGATAGGCTCGGGGAGCCTAGTGCAGGAGAACTATGACTGTAGAGTTCAGCATTTGTGCAGGAAGGTACTGGGGACTCTGTCGAGCAGGGATAGAATAGAATAATCGTTAGAATAACCAAATCTGGACACGATAGAGGCATGAATGAGGATCTCGGAACAAAGGAGATTAATGTTTAACATACAAGAATATATTTTTGTGAGTAATATCCATTGTTTATGCATTGAAGGCATTAAAATACTGTCTTAGTGTTCTAACTTAGAATTGAGGTAAACCATGAAGTTATTTTGAAACATAGATCGCTGCATGGACTTCATAAAATACAATACAAAATCACCTTTCACATCAGGAGGACGTCCCAAGGTGCTGTAAAAATTGTTTAGGGGGATATATTTCTTTGGGTATGATTTAATTTTCAAATGTTTTGACTTTGGGACTGGAAACAGAATAGTAGTGAGATTTTCAATTTGTTTCTTTGAATACATTGGTGTTCACTATAATTAAAGTACTGTTTCTTTCAGCAGTCTAACTCTGGTGCTAAAATGTCCATAAACTACTGTTGCAAATCAATTTGACCTATCTTCCTCAGGAACATGTTGTTTATTGCCTAATATCCTACAATGTACTGATAAACTCCATACTATAAAAGCATGGTTATTGGGACAGTTTTATGAACAGAATAAGCTTTTTGCTGTTATATTGTTCATAGCATTGTATAAACTTGTCAGAATCCTGGCACTAAATGTAACTTATCTGAGTAAATCATTGCAAGCACTGTATAGAATAGAGCTGTTTGTACTGTTACAGAATCATGGATATTACTGCATTGGAGAAGGCCATTTGGCCAATTGAGCGTAAACTGCCACTGACTCCTTCATTTATGGTGTCTATACTTGTCCCAATTTCATTGTCCTTTTTTGTACCATTTTTATATTGTTCCTCTTCAATTGTTCATCTAATTCCCTTTCAAATATTATTACAATCTCAGGCCCAATGTGGCAAAACATTCCACATTTTGATAACTCGAGGTAAAACAATTCTGGCCTTTTCAGTGACGGTCCTGGAGATTATGCCCCCCTTTTTAACAGGTTATTAGTCATTCATTATCTAGCTTCTCAAAACCCTTCAGAATTTGTAGATCTCTATTAAATCCATTCTTAGCTCTGTGTCCCTGGCAAAATATTTGAGGCGATTCTCATACCTTTAACCCTTATCGCTGATACCATTTGTTTGAATTTGTGCTACACTTTTTCCATGGATCTAATGTCAATTCTTTAATGGGGATTCAGAATTGCACACAATATTGTGTGCGCTAACTGTGACCTATTCAATGTCCTTACGTAAAATGAGCATTACTTGCTTGCTGACATTCACTATAAATGTGAGCTTGTATGGAGATGGTGGAATTTCAGAGCATGTATTTTAAAATAGATAAACACAGTCGCGAGAGTGTGAGATTGCAGCTGATGTGATCACACTATTTGCCAAAGACAGTCAGAACTATCCCAAGTTCTATAAACATATTCCCATTCCCTTCTGGATCAGATCAATTTGTAGTAAAGAAAATACTGATGCAATTTTGGAGATTTCCATCACTTCAAAAATTACATTTTCCTATGACCTTTATGGTTTCATACCCCAAAAGGTATTTCTCTTTCAGTTGCTGATCGATTTTTTGTTATTTCAGATTTCCACCATGTTCCTTTTTGTTGTTCATTTCTAGCCATAGTTGAAATCAAAAGGTTGCGCACACCATCGTGTCCTAAAATATAAAAGGTGTGATTTTAAGATATTCTGAAATGAACAAGGTGCAGATGATCAGTCCTGAAACATGAAGTTTCCATTTTGGTTAAAATTCTTAACTAAATTAATAATAATATTCCTTGCTTTTGATACAGTGCCTTTCACGTCAATCTCAAAGCATTTCACACAATATATTGTAAAGTATGTATTATGCAGACTTTCCAACATTACAAGACATTTGGAACTAAAAATAATAATCCTTGCATTTGATATAGCGCCTTATCATGTCATTGACACAACTCAAAGCACTTTGCAGAATATACTGTGAAGTGTAGTGACTATATTTTGTGAGTGAAACATGGCAGCCAATTATACACAGCAGTGTCCCATAAACGGTTGTGGATTGAGTGGCCAAATTATTATTTTTTTATTATTAGTAGTATTGACTACAGTGAAGATGATGAGACCCTTTTAACAAACAAAAGGGAAGAGGAGTTTTGAAGGACACTGATGCAGCTGTTTTATTTAAACTTGCATTAAATGGTTTCATAAATATATTTTGACATTAAGCCTGCATTTAATTAAGTAAACCAAATCTGCAGGGTATTTTCTAAACAGGTGTTGCAGCAATGTTCTTGTTTATTTCCTCAAGTTGTTACCTTTAATTATTCAGGGTGAGAGATTGGAGCACAGCACATCACTGTACATAAATAGAACTAACTTCTGAATTAAGCATAAAGTTTAAACAAACTGTTAAAAGGAGCGTTGGCTTCCTTTTCATTGATTATGAATGGAAAAGTAACCTCATTTATTACCAACAGACAAGAAGTTATGATATTATAAATGAAGCATCGTCTAACTATTAACTATGCATTAAACGCTTCCGAAAAGCTCATCCCTAACTTGAAGTTTAAAACTCCTTTCCGGCAGACGAGAGCCCAAGCCAGTCACTGTGTGAAACTGGGGTTTTGGATTAGCGTCCATTTTATTTGTTAATTATTTTGGGAGGTGCGCTGTTACCGAATAATGTTTGACACACGTAGGCTGAAGGCACATTTCCATTGGAAAAATATATTCTGAGGTTTAGAACAACAGCTGCTTGATGCCTTTACCTGGACTCCAGATTCACGAACACCCACTCATTACATCTCGGGCATGCTTCTGTGTTACTTTGCTGGTGAGCACAGTTACATGATGTACTTAGTGAAAACGTGTCATGTAAACGCAATAGAAGTTGCTCACTCTATCCTCAGTTTTGTTTACAGCTAGGTATGTCTTTGTAATAATGACATGTCCGTCTAGTGCACTAAAGCAATACATTTGATATATTTTTAAGTATCAGCTCAAGCCTTCTCTGTGTGCTGATTCCATTACAATTCTCTTTTGAATAGAGTTGAAGTACCTCCTCTCAAGCTTGTTATCAGCTACATTGCATTGGGTGCACGAAGAAGACCGATATAGCAACAGTTAACTCCTGAGTTTAGGCTTGAGATTGATTCTTGGACAATACTTTGAGTTTGCTGATTTAGCTGAAACCAAGACTTAATCGTTGCGACTGTGGAGAACAGAATTAATACTTTTTTTTGCTTCTTAGCCTTCAGTTTGATTAAGAGTTCAAAGCACTGCAGGGATGAGTTTAAAATACAATAATGGATCGCAGTAAACACCAGACTATGATTGTTTTCATACATGTACAGCTCACCCATCATTATAGTGCGTAGAATGAAGGTGAATCTTCAGCCTGAGATTCAGTTTGTGGCAATTCATTTTTTGAACAAAGATCAGTACTCAGTCAAAACAACAATAATTTTGATATAACATAATTGATGGCTTTATAAAAATATCTGTGGGGTAATGTTTGGAGCAATTAATGTACTTTACCTCAAATAGATTGCCAAAGTGATTATGATCCATTCTGAACACATTGTGTGTCTCAGGTAATGGGGAATAATAATCCTTGCGTTTAATAAAGTATTTTATGCCCTCAAGACGTTTCAAAGTGTTTCACAGGATTTTTCTGTAAAGTGTAGTGACTGTGTATTTTGCAGACAAATGTGCCAGCCAATTTTCTCCCACAAACAACTATTAAGTGAATGAACAATTTTATCTGGGTAATGGTTGGCCATCAGGAGGAACACTTTCTAACTTTACGAATAGTGCTTTGAACGTGCGTACGGGACCTAGATTTAACATCTCATCCAAAGGATAGCATCTGCAACAACGCAGCACATTGCAGTGTCTTAAAATGTCAGCCTAGACTGTCCTGCATACAGTTCTGACACCTGAGGCATCACCATCCATGGTTGCACACTTCACCTCACTAAGCCAGTCCGGAATCTTGAAGTCTTGTTTGACCTCAACTGTAGGAAGTTTGCACTCATCCACTGGAGTAACCCGCAGGTGACCTGGTGGGGGCAGGGGGAGAAATCATTTGCCGAGATGAAATAGAGGCAGTTGGTTAAGTATGACTCGAACAATGCAAGTGTGGTCCCATTCAGGTGGATGAGGGAGGAGATGCGGTGGAGGAGGATGACATGTGTTGAACTCGGCAGAGAGATCCAGGAGGACGAGGAGGCAGAGGGAGCCCTGGTCACAGAATAGAGAGAATATCATTTGTGACTTTGACAAGCGCTGTCTCCTTGCTGTGGGCAGGTGAAAACCAGACTGCAGGGGCTCGAGGAGGGATTGGAGGGAGAGGTGTGACTGAAATTGTCCTGAAACAATGGGTTCCAGGATTTTGGCAAGGAAGGGTAGGTTGGAAATGGGAGGGTACTGTGAGAGATTAGAGGGATCGAGGGTGGGGTTTTTGAGGAGGGGTGTGATGATAGTCGTTTTCAGGGGGAATGGAACAGAGCCTGAGGAGAGAGACTGGTTGACCATGTCTGCCAGCAGGGGGGAGAGGAGGGCGAGTTGAGTGACCAGCAGCTGGGTGGAGAGGGGGTCGAGGTAGCAGGTGGTGAACTTCATCTGGGTGATTGTGGTTGAGAGGGAGAAATGGGGGCAAAAGAGTGTAAGGAGTGGGTGAGTGGCAAGAATAAAAAGAATTGATATGTTAGTAGATGACTCATCCGTTTGGTGGAGGCATCTGTCACAAGGTCTCGTATCCTTAAAATCGGAATCAAGGCAGTTAGAACTGAGGTCAGGGAGCATTTCTTCAGAGAGAGTTGTGAAGGTGTGAATTGCTCTGCCCCAGAAAGCTGCAGAGGTGAAATCAGTAGCAGTGTTTAAAAAAGCAATGGATAGATGCTTGGGTGGAAGAAGTGTAAGCGGTTCTGGTGAAAGGACGGGGCATTGGGATTAACAGATCTGCCAAGATCTGATAAACTGGTGAATATGCTGAAGCCCCCTCATGCTCCTTCAGCGCCTTGGGACGTCCTCCCGACGTGATAGGTGCTACACAAATCCAATTTTGTTCTTGTTGTTTTCCTATGTTCCCATATGTACCTGTTCTGTGAACGTTGTGTCCATTCACATGGAATGTTGGGAATGTGGCATATAGTTGATTTGGAATTATAACTCAATCTCATTCAGATAAAGTTACATCATTGTCTATCTGGAAAGAAAATAACTGGGTAACTAAGAGGGATAGAAACAAATAAACAATTTAAATATTGACGCAAAGAAAAGCTGCAGATGGCATTGCAGCTTGTTGAAATGGTGCGAACAGTGTCTGTTGTGAGCAGTTTTAGTACTGGAGTGTTTCAGGTTAATATTGATCAGCAACAGTGTCTGTTGTGAGCAGTTTTAGTACTGGAGTGTTTCAGGTTAATATTGATCAGCAAAATTGTCTGTTGTGAGCAGTTTTAGTCCTGGAGTGTTTCAGTTTAACATTGATCAGCAACAACTGTTCTTTTTAAAGAAAAAAAACAACTAATGTTCCACAGCAAATCTCTAGCAATGTTGATGAACGGAGATATAGCAAATGTGTCCCTGTACACAATTGGAATAACAGCAAGATCTTTGTGACAGGAGAGCAGGGTAGTCGTGCAGCACTTTGCAAAGAAATTAAAATGCGCCACAGGTTTCAAGGATGTGGTTGCAGGCTGCAGGGAATATGTCCTTATCCTGCAGGCTTGGTTAAGATTGTCTCAAGGCTTGTCTCAAAACGTATCTCTTTGACCGCGCACTTTTTGGTCATCTTTCCCCACTCCACCTCCTTTGGCTTCCAGGTTGGGTTCCCAGCCAGCAGTGTTAAGTGCTTTGAGACATCCTCCAGAAGTGAAAGGCATAGAAGGCCCAACCAAATTTATAAATATATAAATGTAAATTGTATTGTATTCTTGGCGCCACTGCACCAAATCTGGTGTTGTGGATCTTTAGGCTGAAAAAGGCTGAGGTTATGTGAAGATTTTATTCCCCAGCTAACTCATTTCATGTGCATAATAAAAGTCAGTACATGGGTATTAGCAACCATTGAAGAGAACTTTTTGTTTCCTCAACACCAGCCAACCTTGTTACCTTTGAAAGCGAAACCAACAAGTGACGATGCTGTAAATCCTTTAACCTGCACTACTCGGCTGATTTAAAACATTTACATAAGTTTTCTACTTGAAAATTTGGCATCAAAGAAAACCAAGTGTGGCTTTCATTGCACCTTCCTTTTTCGCAGATGCTAATGTGACCTTTGTCACCAAGGATATATTCCTCCAAGTTTGTAAATCACATCATTCACGTTTGAATTTTAAATGGATCATAATATCACTAATCATCATATAGAAACTGACTCTAAAAAGGTGTGTTCTGATCATGAAGTATTGCACTGCTACAAAGCAGAGGCACAATTTGATTTCACTTCAAACTTTGTTTTGCTCAATAAATTGCATAGAAACATGACATCAAATTATGCAAGCTTTTGTATCATGCTAGTTTTAACATTGCCTGTCTTGTTCTTGATTTGGGAGTGTTTGATGGTGATACCAGCTACTTAAATAGAAAAGGTGCCCAATCCCTCGTATTGGCAGATCTGCTTTGATCAAATGTCAGGTGGGGAGGGTGAGCAGAATTACATTCCTTCACATATTCAAGTGCCCATTAAAAGCAAGTACACAATGGTAATTTTTTTCAAATCAAACATTACCTTGCCATTTACATTATTCTTATACTCTAAGCAAGTGCAAAATGTTATATTATTGTGAGAATGCTTGATCCAATTTTATTGCATCTATAATAAATGCGATATTAGATATCAGTATTCAGCCAGTAATGTTTTACTTAATGAATACTGAGCAGATTTTGGGAATACCAGCTTAATGATCCAATAACATTTATTGATCAGACCTTTCTCTGATCACTATCTAATTAAAATGTGTTCATTTTCCAGAGCAACAAACCAGAGAGAGAAGTGCTCATCAAATCCTTAAAGTTTTACCTTGGCCTGAAAAGGAGACTGAAGTCTCCATGTAGGTAAGGACACACTAACTTGCGAACTACATTTATCACTGTGCTTGCAGCTTCACCAATACAAAATACAATTCTCTTTTCCGTATTGCAGCAGCACAATGCAGAGTTTATCAGTGACAGTTTAATATTCATTGGGTCATCATCCAACAACAACAAAGTACAAATTGACTGTAGTACTAACCCAAATTATCTTCCAGTCCTAACTCAGTATGCATGCACGCGCTTACATACTTTTTTTTAAATGTTGACTTGCTCATGTGGAGAACATGCAGATAGTTGGGATGCAGATAGTGTCATTCCACTGTAATTATACATTTGTGTTACCACATTTGTATCTTACACATGTTGATTGTGCCTGTTTTATCAGCTAACAGATTCAATATTTGAATTTTACTTTATTTAAAAATAAAAAATTTCCCCTCCTTTCAAATTACTATTCATTCGGTAAAACTGTCTCTGGATAAAATATAGCCCCAGAATTCTTTGCTTATGTTTTCTCATATGTCAATCTAAACAGTACTTGTCTGTGGTTTGGAAATCATGACTCTTATTGTGAGAAATCATCAAGTGTTTCAAAGCTTTTCAGTCAAACTGTTCAAGTGTATCAAGGCTATTAGTCCAAAAGTAGTTTGATGCATTTGCACTTAAACTGAATCATAATATCACTAATAATCCACATGAAAGTGACAATAGAAAGCATAAATTCTTTGCCCGCATTGGAATATGCATTTAGAATGGGTTTAAATGGGTTTCTGAATCAGAGATGCACTTAAGTAATCCATTAGATGGTAGGTACAGCAAATGAAAGCAAATCCTGTGCTATAAGAGCTTTACATGCATAGTGTATCCCATATTTTAGCCACGTTTATATTTTCTGTTTATGTGACATTACCTTTTAAATTCTGAGTTTCTAGACTTGTCATCTGCTGCAGATGTCACGCTCAGAACCAACCCTCAGATCTTCCATATTCAATGCATCCCATTACTGATGCTGCTTCTTGCTTCCCTTGTATTTAGTACCTTCTGAAGGGCACAAAAGAAATCCCATGATAATCTGTCTCTCTCTTTCTCTCTCGATTACACAGCCTGGGCTTTACTCTTTATGCAGAAAAACAACAATGGTAAGTATTGAATTCACATTCTGGACTCAACACAACTTATTCCTTGTGAAGACTAGCTCAAAGATATTTTCCCTGGCAAGGCAGATGTTTAATACCAAATTGAGACTAACATTAAGCATGACAAAGATTATGAGCAAGAAAGGAATACAAGGATATGGAGGGTGGAGACTTGTGTGGGAATGAAGAATATAGCAAGTATTTTTGTGATTCCAAACTCGTGAGCCAAATAACCCGTTTTTGTACTGTACAATCTATGTAAATTTATGTAAGTGTGTTTAATACTTGAAAGGATAGAAATGAAGAGATTCAGAGAAGGAAATCGAAGCAAATGAATAATAGTTGATAATAGTTGGAAATGTAAGAGACTAAACAATAACAGGTTTGCTTATGGCACAATTGGGGTGTGGAGCCTGTCATTTTACTTACTTAAAAAAAATCCCAAATATGTAACCGTAACCTTCTGCCTCAAGCTACTGCCCGGCTTCTCATATGCCAAGAAATGTCTGATTTCCAGATCATCAGGTCACCACTGATATTACTTCAGCAATACAACGCAATACAACACAACACAATCCAATACAAATCACAAAGACCAGGTGATTCAGAGATAATTTTTTCAATGCGGGGAGCCAGATGGCGCGCACAGTGAATGCGGAAACACTGACTAACAATCACATCCCTTTATAACACGAGTTAGAATTTTATAATGGGGCTGTACTATAAATGGATTTCACAAAAATTAAATAATCTATTTTGAGCAGGTAATGTCATATTGAAATCTCATATTGGTAATGTTAAATTAAAACAAAATGTGTTGATGTGATAAGGTACTATATCAAATGAAAACAATATTATCATTGTTTACCTATAGGTATTTGTGCTGTGATAAAGAAGAAACTTATACAGGATGGCTGGCCAGTTTGCTGATCGCGCAGGTAAGAAACTGAGTGGAGCCCTAGTTATTCTTCTATATTAAATATCTTAAATCATTATTCTTTTAATATGCTACATTCGCTTACAAATTCACTTTTGTAGTCACTCCACTAGACAATTTATCCTGTGAAGCTTTAAAATATCCTCCCAACATGAAAGGTGCTATATTAAATGTAAGGATTATTATTCTTGTCAGTATTACTCTTAGAAATAAATGTTAATGGTCAGCATCTTTTAGCTTCATATGTTTCAGTAGAAGGCAGCACCAAATGTTTTGGACATTGATATTTAAGCAGCTTTTGGCTACTACTTTTAAGGGTGTGTTACCAAACTCAAAACGTTAGTAGCCATTAGTACCCTAGTGTTAATGACCTGCAGGCTACGAAGTAAAGCATTGACTGGTTTATATAAAGGTACATGGTGCTGGTTCTCAAAACAGAACAAATATAAAAGCTTGGTTTAACTCTCAATGTAAGCCTTTCAATTCTTTCTTGACTGTGTAGTGCAATTTGAATCAAGTTGAAGTATTTTTTTAAATGGATGGAAAGCATTGCTTAAAAACATATGTAGTTAGTGAAAGTGAGAACTGGTTTCCAGCACCGGTAATTGTTTAGTTTATTTCACTGTCTTGAAGTGCAAAATCTTTTTAATGATAGCTCCGTGGAGCAATGCAGCTTTGCTAGGAATACGCTCAGAGGAATATTAAACATCTTGAAAGCTTCACTTTTAAATCCTTCATTTTTACAAGTGCTTGTTAGTACATTGAATTCTGTAGTTTCTATGGAAACGGGCATAACATTCTGACCGAATCCTTCACAACTACAAGAGGTTATGCCACAGAAACACAAGTTTAAAGGTTACAGCCGATCTTTGAAGGATAACTCATTAAGCATTGGAAGATTTGTTCTAGGCTTATTGACAAGTTAACAGTGCAGTTGCATGCATTCTGCTGAAATCTTGAGCGTGAGACAAGGGATGCATATTAATTTAGTCAGCTCCTAATACAGAGCCAGTCACAGAACAGGAAAGATTTACAGAGATAAAAAAAGGGAGGTTTCATGCATTATGGAATGAATGCACTATGAATGTGTTATGAAACATTACAATTTTCCAGTTATTCCTAAAGACTCTGTTGTCCCCCCGACAAGTTTGTTACCATGTTTGCTTCTAGAGCAGGTTCCCACATCTTTGTTTCCAGCTAGCATTCTCATAAGTCCTGTTCCTGACCCTGGAGTCATAGTTTCAGTGATGATTCACAGGATGCCGATTGACGTAAGCTGGTATTCCATAACGAAGTACTGAAATGTAGTCAAACATACATTTCAGTGTTAAAATCTTCAAGCCCAACCATTTTGCAAAGTCCAAAGTTTTCAGAACCCCCACCGTTGTTAGCGGTCACATGTCTATGCTACTCACAGGATACACTTTTTACTCAGATTGAGTTGAATAGGTAGCCTGTGAAGAAACATTGAAACTGCAGGATTGGGAACAAAAATTGTTGACCACAGTGAAGATCATGAAACGATTTCAATCCCAATCATTTTGCCTAAGTTAGTGAGGGAGGGGGAAAGAAGACACCTGCAGCCATCTTTTGAGTCTTTAGATATGGATGGAAAATTGCAGTGTTTCTTGCCTGTTTCATCCCAAATCAATTCAATGCTAAACTATTTACATTGTGTTCAAGTTATAACATAATTAAACTCTTAACTTGCGAGATTTAGCTATTGAACTTTCTAGCTGATTATGGGACTTGTGTAATATCAGGATGTGACTTAAATAGATTTTGGTCTATTGACAGTAAAGGGATAGTAGATTTGTTGATGCATTGCAGCTTGTTAGAAGCAATAATCCAAAAAATAAAGTTTATAACCTATCCACTGATTCATCAATAAATAATCTAAGAAAACTAAAATATAACCAGTAACTCGCTGAAAATATGTCATGCGAGGTATGTGGCACGGCAGAAACTTGTTCTGCCGAGTTTGATGAAAGAAAATTGAATGTGTCATTCAAATAAAGTGATTTTGATTCTAAACTAATGGACGTGAGCTATCAGTGCATGATTTTGTAATTCTGTCTGCACTTCAGAACGATGTTGCCAAAGGACTTAATACTGATATCAAGCTCTTTGGCAACATTAATATTAAACAACAGGGTGGATTTTAGTTCTGAGAATAGTGCAGAGATTTATCTTTCGTAGATCGGGGGAGAAAAAAAACATCTTTTGTGTTTCTGCAGCATGAAGGTGACCTTTGGCCGGCACTTGGAAAGATCCCAATTACCTCTTTGATGTTAAATGCAAAACTTTGCAGCAAGAGTTTAACACCAATCCAAAAAAAGGCTGAAACAAGAAAAACAGAACGACCACAGGTAAGTTACTTGTAAATAAGTCATCGCTGTGTTCTGAAGATTCTCCTAAATCATGGAATTCCTTCTGTCACACTAAATTGAAATCTTTTATTAAAATGTGAAAAACAGCAAATACGATTAATAGAGATGAAATGGAATATTCACATCAAATGTAAAATAAACTGTTATGTTCATCTTTAATTCATTAAATTGGCTTTTTACAATAATATTTTGAATATTGTGATTAATCCTGAGTATCACGAATCAGCTATGGAGCAGTGTTCTAAAACCCTTCAATTGGTATGTTTTTAAGATGAATGTTATCAAAAGGGACTTGTAAATAATCACGTTTAATCAGTATTGTCAATATTTGGAGAAATGAAAAATTGGGTAATGGTTGGTTGGCAGTGAATTGCAAGGCAAATATATCAGCACAACCATTCTGAGAAGGTAAATAAACATTGGGCAGGTTTCTGAGTCTAACCACCTCTAACATTGAGTTCTCATCTTAACTCTGGTCCTTACATAGTTTTACATTACCTGCTTTTGACTGAACCCTTCCCCCCAAAATACATTTTTTTCTAATTAATATATATATTAATATAGTAGATAATTATTTGGGGCAGACAAGTTTGCAGGGCTATGGGGAGAGAGCGGAAGAGTGGGATTGATTTGGATAGCTCTTTTAAAAGAGCCGGCACAGATACAATGGACTGAATGGCCTCCTTCTGTGCTGTTTAATTCTATAATTTTAATCAGAATATGAGGCAGTGAAGCATACAGAGAACATGTATGGTAGTTGGAATGTTAAATAATATTAGGTCTGTAGCTGCTGATCTCAGAGTGTGTGTTTTGGACATGTCCAATATGCCCATTGGTTTATTTTTCAAAACGTTTCCAGTTTCAGCAATCCCTCTTCTAATAATGTGCCCAAATGGAAAAGGATACACAGAAAAAGTATCAGGATATTACCTTGAGATTTCAATTGTATGTCTATTGAGGTCATTGTTGATCATCTGAATAAGATTCAGAGCAGAAGCAGCACTGAGCAAGAGCAGAATGTAATTTCCTTTTGCTATTCAATGAAATGTATGAATGTATCTGCGTTTGGACTCTTAACTGACCATGACATTTTCCACACATTGGCAAACGTTGAGGCAATCTATGGGTGCATATCTTACCGCTGCTTGTGCAGTGTTAAACTGGTAATAGTTTAGGAAATGTTTTTGGTCAACACATCTATACCAGGATTTCTACTTGATGTCCTTGCATAAGTTTACCCATTTAGGCTGGGTAGGGATCATTAGAAATGAAACTCAGGAAAGCAATTTTCATCCTGTTTATTAGATGAATATCTAGTTCATTAGATGAACATAGCTCAGGAAAGTTTTCCTGTGAGATATTCCACGACAGGAAGGAAATCTGCCAATCTAAATCACTAGATATCATGACACCGTGGATTAACTGGCTGTTGGAGAGAATTATTAAGTGTCTCTTCAGACTCCCTTGAAAACGTTGTAATGATGGAATTAGGTTTGAATATAAAGAGACCATTGATCACCACGTTATATGTATAGCACAGGGTTCTTTAATAATGCTTTAGTCCATTTCCTCTCATAAGAAAATGCAGACATGTCATGTTTCACACTGGTTTAGGGAATTTTCTGCACCAATTAATAAGACTGAAGAATGTCATAGAAACTTGCCTTGAAGTACTTGGAAGAGTTTTACAGTTGTGGATTGGAAGAATTGGTGCCGTTAATGTTTGTCGTCAAAATAGGATGCTTTGTTCAGCATGTTGATTGTACCTTGGGCTCTTTACCTGCACCAAGTGAGATAGATTGCTTGCTCACAGCAAATACTTGATGAATAATGTACAAGAAAGCTGTAACAAGTCTGTTACAGCATATGGTTCCACAAAGTCGAAAGAGATTGGACTCACCTCCTTAGTTACCTCCAGCATCAGCAGCACATCTCCTCACCACAGTGAAGAAAACAAAGTGACAAAAGCTGACTTTGACTTCACCCAATGCTCCTTACGATGTAAAGATGTAAACCTGCAGCATTGGTAAATTAATTTACAAAAAGCTCTAACCAACTTATGTCTACGTTCTTCTGGATGAAGGATGTCTCAGTTCATCAAAGTATGCAATACTGAAATCTTTCAAGACCAGCACTGAGAAAATCCATATAGTCAATTTTTCATATTTTAACCCCAAAAATCATATCAATATAGAAATGCTGTGGAAACATAATATTAAATATTAAAACCTTTCAAATTATAAAATGAATATTATAGAGCTAACACTGCATTGCAAACACTAAACATTTTATGAGGATTACATACCCCTCCCCCCCATACTTATATTAAGGCTTTCAGAGTACCATTATTTATTGACGGGCGATTCTAATGTAAAAATAGGTTAACTGGTGACTGTCCGCCTTGTCTGCTTTGAACTGAGCTTTGGACTGAGCTGGCTCCAATGTGCCTGGCAATGTTTGAATTGATTCAATCCTCTGTGCTGATCTCAAGGGGAGACAGGGATTCTTCCAATTTGGCTTGTTAACCTTCTTAAGTGAAGGCTCGAATGGGTAGGGTAGTCCTAGTTGATCAAGTAGCGGTAAGCTTGCCAGAGAATAAAATTAGCTGGTTAAACTCCAGCATTAACTCAACGCACGCTCTGGAGTCCCCAAGCCTTGGCACTCATCAGCCTGTACCTAATACTCTCTGGAATTAAGTAAGCAGATGAGTCCCTCTGGGGAGAGAGTGTGAGTTCCATTCCAGACATGGGAATGTTTCATGCATAAGTGACGTACATATATGGAACTCTCTGGTTTGGGTGCTCTTAAATGGTGATGGTTTCTGCTTGCTGAGGTTTTGCAATTAAGTGTTGCCTTAAATTAAGTGATTAACTTATTTTTGCAGGACTATGGGAAGTTGAAGCTAAACCATGTACTTCGCCAGACATTTCGCGAGGATACACTAGGAAGATCATCTCACATGGCTGCCTGCCTAGAATCATCAGCTGTTTCCCCTGCCACTGGACAGCAGCCAACCAGGCTTGCTTTATACGCAGGTCAAACAGATTTCTTGCATAGCAGCGCAAAGTCAAAACATGGGAGAGCACCACCAGTTCGAGGTCGACCAGAAGTCATCTCTAATAAAACAGTTTTGGAGGCTGACCCAAGACTGCATTCAAAACTCATGCAGGAGTTAAACTCGGTGTTTCTAAAAAAAAAAATCACTGGTGAAGAATGAATAATCACTATTAATATTAATCCAATGTTACTTATTTTAAAAAAAAATTTTCATGTGAATTTTTGTTCTAGGAAATTGCCTAAAATCGGAACTCTAAACTAGGCTGTTCAAATGATTTACAGCTGTTTACATTTTCTCATTCGCTCCTTATTTAATGAACATCAAGGTAAAGCTTGCATCAAATCCAGTTGCATTGTTTTAATAGCAGCTCTGGATCAACAGAAATACTCACTACTGGATTTGGAGCGTATACACCTTATGCTTTTCCCTTGTTAATGTTTAACCACCACATTGTGTTTGACATCTTTGGAGCTCACATTAAATTTTAGTGTGAACACATTAGGGGGATTGAGAAGAGTTGTATTCTGTACAACAGCCTCCAGTTTAAACGCCAGTTTGCCAGCCAGATTCAATCCCTGGAAGTGCAATAAATCACTTGAACCAAACTTCACCTATAAATAATAATCCATTTGACTTGGGCTGTCCATGTGCAGTGAACATTAAACACCGATTCACAACAATTCAGCAATAGAACCAATTTTTTTCCAAGAGTAGGATAGCAAAATGCAATGGTTAGCATGAAGCAATATGCCGGGAATAAGGCCTTACAACAGCATTATCCTTGGTCATTTATCTGTAAACTATACTCCAACATATGAAATCTAATAATAAATATTTATTACAATTTAGAAACAAGTGGCTGGAATTCTGAGATTTTAAGTGGGATACTGTACATAGCTCCAATACTTTTTGTTGCTTTCCGTGTGCCTGACTTTACTGTTGGGAGTGCGTGCTGTCATTTTTAAACTCTGGTTTGCAATTGCTGGACACTACTTGGGCGGGGGATGAAACTGACATACATTTGTTGATTTAATGTGCTGTCATGAAAAGAAACTGATGGTCAACAGAGGGGACCAAGCCACTAGCATCTCATTGTTAGAGCAACATAGGCCAATGTAGCAACGTGGGGGAATGGGTGACCAGTGGGATTGGGGCACAACATTGCTATGCAGTGCCCAGGTGGCATTTATTACTGTTGTTATTTTACATGCAGTATGAGTCCAGTTGAAGAAAGCAAGAGTGTAATAAAAGGGATGTATTTCTTTTTGCTGCAGAAACATGGTCAATACGATTAAAATGGTTAGTAATTCAAAGCTTTGCAAACGTTTAACTCAAACCTGTTTGCTGATGGATTTATCAAGTTTACACAATGATTGTCATTTTGAGATGCTCACTATGATAACTGTCATAACATTGAGGCTTGACTATGCAAACTCCCTGCTTGTCGGCCTCCCCAGCTCCTCCCTCCATAGGCTGCAGATCATCCAGAACTCTGCAGCCCATGTCCTCTCCCACACCCGCCTCTGTGACCCTATCACCCCCATCCTCGTCTGACTCCACTGGCTTCCCATCACACAGAGGATACACTTCAAGATCCTGGTCCTCGCCTTCAAAGCCCTCCATGGCCTTGCTCCCCACTTCCTGTGTGACCTCCTAACCCCTACCATCCTGCTCGCTCCCTCAGCGGGCTCTGGCCTGGTTCACATCACCCGCCTCTCCCAGCCCACCATTGGCAGGTGGGCCTTCTGCCACTCTGCCCCACCCTCTGGAACTCCATCCAGCAGTCCTTCCGCCTCGCCCCCTCCCTTGCCTCATTCAAGACCCATCTGAAGACCCTTCTCTTCGACCATGCTTTCGATCATCCTGCTTCCCTCACTGCCCTCCACCCTCCCCAATCCCGATCCCCAGCTTGGATCCGAAACACTGACTGTCCAGCGCCTTGGGACATTCTCCTGACGTGAAAGGCGCTTTACAAATGTAATTCTGTTGTTGTTTTTGTTGTTGTCTTAGCAATAATATAGAGTTGTGTTTCTTAACATTTTTGATACCAGGGACCAGCTCAGTTTATTTTTAAAATGTGATGGACTATTAGTAAATGAGCATGTCAGCTCACTCAGGCTAAAACAATATCTAATATAGTTTGGCATCAAGGTTAACACAGACTGGTGATGATCCTAAGATCAATTGATGTTATAGAGGACTGAACCTGCCAATTAACAATACACAGTCTCTACTGGAAAACACTCGGCTGGCATAATTCAGATCAACGGATTTGCTTATTGAATTCACAACGTCAATGGCAAATGAAAATAGTTACTGAGGTGACTGAATTTGTGGCATCGCAAAGGTCCCTTTTTAACTCTGATTGCTTACTAACTTTCAGACCATGGCTTGATTTGTAGCCTCTACGCTCTGGCCAAGCACAGAGGTGAAGGAATGCTAGAATAGGTCTCAAGCATTGTATGCATGGATTTGGGGGATTTGCTGTGAAAGAGAGATTCACAATTGCTCAGTTTTTGCTGTGATCAAGTATGAGACCTGCCATTAGAACATTTAAAAATAGGATAAATCTGACTATATGCATAATTAATTAGCAGTCTTGTTCAAGTGAGCTACAGGGATTGCTTGTGTTGAAATAGAAAATTGCACTGGTACAGTAAAGGGTGGTTTAGAGACTGAGGTACATTGTTAGAATAGAATACAATTACCTTGTACTCCAATTAGCTCTTCCCTTGCAAGTATCTGAAAGTAACACTTGCTGCTGAATCCGTGTTTATTTGTTCATTTTCAAGCGCAAACATCTGCTTTGACAAGCAGAAGTAATTTCACCAAAACATATTGAAGCAGCTTTTTGTTAAGAAAGGTTTCACTTTGTAATTGACCAATTTTCTTCAGACTCTGGATTTTTCATATAAAAGCTTGCTGTGGGTGATCCATATATCAGTTTTTCAAAATCGGTGGAGATTTTATTGGCTTGGTTATAGATTCAGAAATGTCTGTCTCATTGGTCTAATTGGAATTTGGATGATCGCAGTAAGATAATACTGCAGTTAATATGTGTGTTTATATGACAAGCGGTTTCATTTAGATGCCCCATATGTATATTTCCGTGCAAATGTAGCATGCTGTTGCTGTAATCTGAATATATCAGACCTCCATCACAGACAAGAGTAGAATTCAGTACTATAACATGCTTTTGTCTAAAGTGGCTATAGCAGCTGCATGAAATTGGTCTTCTTCACACATACAGGCATTTGTATTGATATACTGAAGCTCTACTCATGCCCACAGGGTAACATGACTCAACACATAGCATCTCAGATGGCAGTTCAAAATGTGAGAATAGGAAACGAATTAAAATGAATGCTCACTCTTGTACTGTCAGAAACCTCAGCGGAGTACACTTGATAACCAGAAAGAACAGGTTCCAAGATGTCTCTCCTCAAGTTTATTGGTTGTTCTAATGGTTATACGATATTAATACAGTGCAAGATCACCATTAAAGGCAGTCACCTAGATGGGCATATTTATTGGTCAGGTGACATTATTTGTGAGTTTGGGATTTTAGTCATCATCAACAAGTGTCATGAATTGTGACTTGTTCTCACTGAGGTTCTCACAAGTTGAGATTCTCAACATTCTGTGCCTCAAAGCTGTTATTTGCTACTTATATTGTCGTGTTATTTTTCTTCACATTTTGACTGCTTTTAATCCTTTCATTTTTCAAAAAATTCTACATTCAGTCTTTTTTGGTAAGAGTTCAGATGTGGATGTCGCCCTCTATTGAAGCAGACTCGAGCACAGGAATTATAATAATGATAATAATCCTTGCATTTGATATTGTGCCTTATCACGTCTTCGAGACGTATTCACAGGATATATTGTAAAGTGGATTGACTATATTTTGTGGGCGAAACCTGGCAGCAGGGTCGCACAAACAGTCGTGGATTAAGTGACCAAATTGTTGTTATTTTTTTTGAAGGGATTATTACCCCCCCAGAAAGCGATTCTCCAGTCAACTAACAACTGGGTTCCTACTTACTGCTAGATAAACAGACGAGTGGAGCAAGGACACTTGCCTAACATTTCGCCCTCCCTGGGAATCAAACTGATTAATCGAACATTAATCTAAACATAATTTAAGGGGTTTTGGCGTAATATATCTTGCAATTTGCCTGCAAAATATAAAGCTTTACTTTGTAACTTTCTCCAAATCACAATAAGTTCAATAATAACGTATATCGGACAGTTCTATTTTATAAGTGAAGTCAAAAGAGTCCACTGTCCCCAATTCACTTACTACTTAACCAAATAGGACTAAACCTTGCTAAGATTTTAGGCAATAATAGAATCCACTTGATGGACAGTGGAGGAAGGAAGGGAGGACTGAACAGTTATTCTGTTCATCAAATCTCACATTGACTGAATCTTTTAGATGCACTTTTTAATTCCAGATCAGCTGCAGTAAATTCAAGATTGCCATAATGAAGTGGATAGACAGTTTCAGGTGACAATTATAACTGAAACAAATACAGTACCTTAATGTATTTGAATTAGAGATCCATGCAAATGTAGTAATTTAATTATGAACTGTTAATTTCTTCCACTTTTAATCAGTCAAGAACACTCGATCAACTTCTGTTCGACCGAACATTTGATATAACCATATTTCACTGTGATTTTAAAATGAGCTAAGATTAATCTGCATCAGAAATTTTCTTATGGATAAAGGGATTAAGGGATATGGGGATAAGGTGGGTAGGTGGAGTTAGAATAGATCAGCCATGATCAGCTATTGAATGGCGAGGCAGACTCGAGGGGCCGAATGGCCTACTCCTGCTCCTAATTCTTATGTTCTTATGTTCTAAAATGTTCTAAAAACTCATGTTACAGCACAGAAATAGTTGCATATGCACAATTAATAACTCCCCTTTCTGCCCCTGAAGAAAATTGTGAAATCAGTAAAGGAAGTAATAACACTTTTTCATTGACATGGGAAACATAGTCTGAGATTTAGCTGCACTTTCTAAAGTGATTTCCAGCCATTATTCTCCAAAGGAAAATTAACGGTCTTAAAATTGAGGAGAAAAAACAATTATGTGTGTGGGGGGGAGTTTTAAGGATCATAATTAACTTAATTGTAAATACAATGTAAGTAATTTACAAACCAAATCATTCCCCCGCCTCCCCAAGTCATTATAAATATTACTCCTGGAATCCCCCGTTTCAATCTAAT